ACCACTAGTCTGGCGACATGTAGAAATGCTAAATAATACACGGTCGAGTACACAGTGTGTCCCCAGATTGACTTCACTGTATACGCAGTGGCGGATTTGCAGTCCAGGCCGCCCTAGGCCCCAGGCCACGTCGCCGCCTCTGTCTTAGTACAAATCATATAGACTACATAATGAATTTACTTTATTGCCAATTTTTAAAATCGATTCAGAAATTTTAATTTAGTTAACTCTTAATTATAACAGCTGCTAACTGCTATAATAGACTCTTGCAGTGAGCAACGACTTTTCACTTTAGAATATTCAGGTACGTACTCTGAGTTTGAGTTAGTTTTTGTTATCATTAGTGACGATTGGCCGCCCCTAATCTCTGGCCGCCCTAGGCCTACTGTGCCTTATGGAAAATCCGCCACTGACTGTACGTATAATTGACAAAAAATGTTTGAATCTGGTTTTTATCTCGGTTTTGATGTTTCTCGACTTGCTTGTTCTGAAAAGAATTTCAAGCACATTTTTACTTATTAAAATACAAGATGGCCGTGACAATTGTGAAATAATTTTGTATTGCGGTTGTTATTATTATGACAGATAATAATAATTCCTTTGTTTTATTTACACGGAATACTTGTTTACAAGATTACAAATCAAATATTGATTTAATCAATGTGATTCGATATTTGTGAAATGTTGCATATTCTAAACAACCCTTTTGTCGTATTAATGACCGAAATGGTACTCAACATAAAATTTTCACGGTCATCTTGGATTTTAAAAAGTAGAAATGTGCTTGAAATCCTTTTCAGACCAAGGAGGCCGAGATCCCAAAACATCACAACGAGATTCGAACATTTAAGATTAATTACACCGATTTGTACCCCGAAAATGTTTTTGTACCTGTACCTACCGATTTTTAAAAAAACACTATTACATTACGGCATTACAAAAATAATGCAAAATTACCAGTTTTTTTGTGGTTGAATTAGGTACTTTTTGGGAAAGGTCATTTTATGGTTTTTCAATTACAGGTAATTTATTCGGTACAATTAATTCACTTTATTAAGAAGTAATTGAAGGAATTTAGAGAAGTTTCATGCATGCAGTATTTTAATGAGTCGTGTTAGAATCAAAGAGGGGAAAGTCTTCCCAACATTTTTGAGGGAGCAGCAAATAAATACCCCGGAATTATAATGTGAACACAAAGAGGTCATCATCTAATTAAAGGTTAATTTAGTCGTTTTAAATGAAATATTTGAGGAAATATCATCATCATCAAACCGTTGAATATCTAAGCGAATCCACTTCTTGGGATGGAAATGTAATTTCAAAATTTCTGTCTGTTAGGTCATTTACACCAGCAACAAATGATCGGTGCAAAGCAAATCTTTTTGATGTTGCGCGAAACAAACAGACATTGATTGGAACATTTTTATGTTAACGACATAAAATTATGTTTCAAACGAATCTCGCTCGTAAAACGCGTTTTTATTGCTCACATTTTTTGAAAAATTCTCAACGGCCGGAATATAAAAGTGTACGACCGACAAAAATAAATTTACTGCTGTATGTTTTACATCTTATTTACTGTCAATGTGGAGGGGAGTGTTCGGTATTAATTTTCCCCGGAATTTAAAAAATCTGCGGTATGCTGAGAATTTAATCTGGCACGAATTTGAACAATTACCTGAACATAAACTCAATAATTTTGAATCTTAGACTTGGACGTCGCAGAAAATTGTATGAACATCTTTTAGGAATTACGTACGTTAATAAGTACGAAAATGTCCCACAATAAATAGACGTATGTCGTAACTATCCACATTTTGAAGATTTTTGAACTTTGGCTTATCAATCGTTAAACTTGGAGATAAGCCGGAAGGTGAAAGGTAGGTATTTTGTTTACGGAACCTACGATTTTCGCCCGAATTTGCAAACATTCGTCTCGAAATAGAAAAAAAACACATAAAACATACACTAAAAATAAAACGGCTTACACAAGATGAAACCTACGCGAAAAAAATGCTAAAAATATAAAAGGACTTACCCTTCGGTCTATCGAAGGATTGCACAGAAATATTTCGCATTTCAAAGAACGGCTTCACATTTGCACAAGTACTCAAATCCTGCTGTAAAGTCCTTTTAACACGCGAATTTTCGGCGACGCGAGACATCGCGACACAAAAACAAAACGATATTAAAACGAAACCGTTCACGTTAAATCGGAACATTTTGGATTTTTTAAAACGAGAGGTTGAATTTGAAAAACGAACGCGATGCACACATTTACGCCACTGAGCAAATACTACTGAAAAGCACCAAAAATGAAATCCAGACCGACCGGCTATAGTGAACATGTGGGGGTTGCCCGAACTCGTCTTCTGCGTGCGCATTACACCTGTTTTCGCAATTACCGCCCGGTAGGCAACACACATTACTACTACCTGTAAATCTCGTTTGAATGTGTAGCGTCCCCATCTCTTGTTGTTTGTAGCAACTACGTATTACTAAGGCATCGGTGTTCATTAGATTCCATTGAAATTGAATCCTAAAAGATTATTTAAAAAACGTAAGCAGAGGTATGTCCCCAGAGGTCCGGCCCAAGGCGACCTTCAAACCTGATTTTCAATTGTATTTTAACAGCAATGGAAATCTGGTCACTTCTGCACTTTTTCAGTGTATGAAAATCGTTCAAACGTTCTCCTTTTGAAATTGAGAAGGAAAGAAACGGTAATCAAATATTTTAGGGCCTAAACAATCCAAAATTTCATACCTGGCCTATTCGACATGTATTAATAGGTACCTATGACTGATTTCTCATTTAACAAAAATGGCCCCATTAGTACAAAATGGTGCAGTCTCCAAAAGATGTCAAACTGTTTCTCTAATCATGAAGAAGTCTGAGGAGTATTAAAGTCTTGAAACGTCATGATGTACGGATGTACCCTGAAACGTTCTGAAAAGTCCTCAAACGGTCATATACTTAAGAGGCGGTCACGCGCATGAAATAGTTACGCATTTTAATTTATTTGAGAAGAGTGCTTTGGAAAAACAAAACGTTCTTTTGTTGTGAACAAAAGGTTGACTTATTTCAAGTAGTGTCATTTAGGTTTATGCTAGTTGTATTGCGAAAATGCCTTTTTCAAGTGCGGATCAAAGAGATATGATCCAAATTTACTAAACTTCTCATCGAAATGCCCACGTGACTGCTGCAACATACTTGCAGCGTTATCCAGAGGGGCAACAACCTAGTTTGAGGTATTTTTGCATAAAAACTTGGGCGAATATGGTTCTTTTAAAAGATGTAGACAGCAATATGGTGATAGACCCAATGAATATGATCAGGAATTTTGCAAGCGGTTGAGATGAAAATCGAATTTCTACTTCTCTGACAACGCTGCAACCAGACAGATGGATCAAACTGTCAAACTTTTGTTGACAACAAAAGAACGTTTTGTTTTTCCAAAGCACTCTTCTCAAAAAATGAAAAATTGTATTTTTAGGAAAAATGTGGTACTGAACCACTATGTGTGGTATATCGTTGTAAAGAGAAAAAAGACGTAATCCCAAAACGTCAAAATTCAATATGGCGCCCATAAGAAAAACTACAGTTGCCACGTGTTTCTCTGTCATCTTGAACGTAATTAAAAACAGGATGCCATATTTGAAATCTCCGTCAAAAAGTGTCCGAATAATGTGCTAATTAGAAATGTCTACTACGACTAGTTTATCATAAAAAAATTAAAACCGAAAATCAGAAATTTTCGTTTTTTTGTGATATCTTCAAAAGTATTGAAGATATTTCAAATTTCTTTTCAGATTCTTATTCAGCACGGAAATTTGCAACTTTGCCCCCATTTAACCAACTTTCTATCTCTTAAGATAAGTGAGATCCCCATAGTGGCACTCGAAAAATGGACACCGTGTATAATAACCTTAAAAAGCCTTGAAGAATTTCTTGAGAGGTCTGAAGGCCCCCGATAAGTCCTGAAGAATACATACCTAAGGGTCTTGACCGGTCATAAAATGAAGCATCGAAAACTATATTGTAGGACTCGAAAGGTTTGTCGAGTGCTGGAGGGTCCTGAACAATCTTGTATGGGCTTGAAGAATCTTGAAGTGTCCTCAATCTTCTCAACAGTTTTTGGTTGCACCTAATGAAGAGAAGATATTCTAACGGATTGATAGGAATGCTGTAAGGTGCTGAAGAATCTTGAGCAACAACAAACGCTCGTGCAGAGTTTTGAAAACCTTGTAGTATATGAGATTGTTTAAAAGTTTTACAGATTTTTGAAAAGGATCTTATAATCATTTTTGAAGAATACATATAAGACTAACTCAGGGTCTTCGAGTACCTTGTGTTCTGTTCACTAATTTCGTCTCGAATTTTGGGAGCCGTTGTGAAACGAAAGCCTCTGGATTATAGCTCAACAGCTTTCCATAATCGAACAATGCCCAATATTGTATTTTCTCCCAATGAGTGTTGAAAGAAAAACTGCTTAGTTCATTTCTTTCTGACCACCCCCTCTATTTAGGTACAGATCTACTTTATTCTGAGAAAAATTGCTTCACAAATTAATTGGCAGGCTGTGGGCCAAATAAAAAAAGTGTTTGATTCTAATCCCTCTCGTTTATGTACGTCAGCAGGTACGTGTTAATTTTGGAAAAATTTTACATTACATCCCAGTTAGTTTGATTGATTTTAAAGATATCATACACAACGAAATCCCTCCAATATCAAATAGTAGTAGGTACAGTAAAAAAAATTATTAACTTATAAAGAAGCAAAAACAATAATATGAACTTTCATCGAGTCAAACCAATAATAACAGCTTAATGAAAATGTATTGTGAAATAAAGTTTAACTTCTCAAGAAGCTTCGAATTAACTGTTCACTGTGACTTTATATTTAGGTACGTTAATTCTTTTTATAATTTGCTAACACCAACCACTAGTATAATTTTCCAATTGTGACTAATTTAACGTTACATTTATGCAAGTAAATGGGCCACTTTTCATTGAGCTTTTGTAAGAGCACAAGTAATGGCTAATTTATTTAGTTTTTACCTTTAAGTGTCGTGAAACAGCATCTTAAGACGAAAAATGGAACCAGTTCTAAAATATTTTGACATATTTGACTATTTAGTGTTTGCGCTTATGTTAATCATTTCAGCTTTAATAGGCGTTTATTTTGCGTTTTTCGCAAAAGTAAAACAAAATACAACATCCGAGTATCTAATGGGAGGAAAGACGATGGGTACATTTCCAATATCCATGTCGCTAATAGCAAGGTAATAAACCACATATTGAGCACTTATATTTTTTATTAAATGAACAATTTTCAAAAACACTAATTTGAAGTTAGAGGAAATTTCTTAAACTAAATTATTTCCTCATTTGTGATGGAGTAATTACCTACTTAAGTACTTGAGCCATCAAGGTTTGTAGTCCCTTTATGTACTTAGATCATGTTATTAAGAATTATTATACTATTAACAAAAGCTATCAATATTTAAACATGTACTCCACTACAAATATCTAAATGACTACAAAGAAAATTATCATTGGACGCTTTTTCCTATTCCTCTAACTCAACAAACATAATACCTAAGTAGCGGAAAACATTTACTTCTTTGATCTCTTCTTCACCTTTTTCGTTTTTCTCTTACGCTTTAACTGATTTTCTTTCTCATCGTTATCGGAAGAACCGTCAGAACTATTCGAACTCCACCCTTTTTTATCCTTTCTCAATTTGTTTAACAAATGGTTTCGAAATTTGTCCAACTCCTCTTCCAAACCGCTACCTTCTCTTAGAACTATTCTCCCAGTCTCAATGTCGTCCTGATAATGCATCACCATTAATTCAACTTTCCTTAAAATGTCTCTTTCTTCATTAGAAAGTACCTTATTTGTGGTCTCTTGCATACATTTCTTTTTGCGTTCAAGTTCCATGTCGTAGAACTTCTTGGTTGACATGGCTTGCGCCTCGAGCTGTTCGGGATCTACGGCTTCCCACTTCGAAGGTATAAAGCCAGCCGACATAAGATCTTGGCTGGTGGTCGCATTCACACGAATGCATTGAGCACCGTTCTTGATGGATCTCTTAATCAAGCTCGCGCCGTCTAAAGGTTCGTCTCCAGAATCGTCACAATCGTTATCAGAATTAAGGCACAAAAACAAATTTTCTAAATTATTTAAAAATTCGCTAGGATAAATCTTCCACAAATCCCAAGATCTCAGTACGTTCAGCACTCTACATTTATAAGCTTCCTTGTCGATAGGCGAGTGGAGGTTGCCCAAAGTGATTTGCAGCTGTTTGAAGATGTCAGGAAGGTACTTTTCGAATTCTAAACGATAAATTGGGGCATAACACTTTCTCATACCAGAATTGTAAAGAATGTCAGATAAAAGGTACAAACGTGACACCTTCTTGGGGGCTTTCGTGTGCAGATTCTTGAAAGAATCGAAAATAATTTCAATAACGTCACGCGCCGCATGCACATGGTTCAAACAAAATATCATAGTTTCCCCCACTTTCTTTTTAGTCATATTTAACGAATGGATTAACTCGACAAAACGAGACCGTTGAGCATCAGACAGTGCACTTTTATCTACTTTAGATAATCGATGTAATACAGAATCAGGCATACCTTTAGTGTAATCTTGCATTAACGGGGGACACCATAAGGAACCATTTCTAAACATACGGAAGTGTTTTGTGGACCATTGCTTAAATGTTTCTCCATGGAGTATCGAGTATAATCTCCACCGATAGTACACATGCTCGACCGACTGATTATTAAATAGAAATTGAAAAGATTGGTTGTTCATTTCTTTATGCATCATCATCGCTTCAAAAAGGGGGCCCTCGCGTACAACAAACTCGATCATTCGATTTATGGTCATTAGCGCAGTTCGATCTGACGGAATAACCACCTTGACTACAGAATTGTACAACAGTTCTCGCATTTCTTCATCTGTTGTCGGATACTCAAATTGCTGTTTTAGAGGCTGAGCATTAAACGGAAGACCGGTGTATGGCGGTGGTTGGGAAAGTTTCTCAAGTTCCGGTGGAATATAAATCGGACTCAGAGGTAGCTCCACGGATTTTCCCCAGTTAATTCTCATATTTTCGCGTATGTTTAAATCAGTCATGGCCCTCTGCGCATCCTTTCGGCTCATAAAAGCGACAAATCCACAGTTACTTGTCGGATTCCTATCTTCCAATCTTGGCCACATTATTTTCACGCTAGCTAACGGACCATACGAGCCAAAGAGTAACATAAGACTTTGCTCTGTCATCTTCGGACTAATATGAGCGATAAACAAGTTTGTGCTACTGAGATCGTTGCTGCAATATCCGAGATCATCCTTGGTCTTTTCCCTTTCGTTGCGTTCTTCGTGTCGTAACTTAAGTTCCTCCTTTAAAATTTCCAAATTGGTCTTTCGCTTCTCTTTACATCGTTCCGCCTTAGTTTCTTTGATTAATCGTGCACATTCAATCGCATTCTTTATTGTGGTGTTTGAAGCGGGTTTTATTAAAGGTTGAGGATTGTAAATCTGCCCTCGAGCTTCCACTTCCTCTTCCGTGTTTGCATTTAGTACTGCCGACCTTACAAAAGTCTTGTTCAGTGGACCGGTGGGATCTTGAAAGGTTTTTATGAATTCTTGAAAGGCCAAAGCCGTTGCTTCCTGTTCTTCTCGCCGTTTGCGTTCGATTTCTCTTTTAGGCATTGTTTATAACAAATTTAAGAGATTTGAATAATGACTGACTGTTGCTTGGCAACTCTAACCTATTTTTTTTTCATGGCAAGAGGTGATGTTCGCCTGTTTTTCCTTCAGGGTCTCGTGGTCATCAGCTCTTCTATCCAAAGTAATTTATTGTAAGATTTTTCCTTTAAATGATATATTATGCAAGTCGAGCATACAGTGGTAAAGCACAACCTTCCTGCTAGCCTGCTGGGTGGTGAAAAGATCGTCCTCCATGGCAAGCAGAGAACCATTTCTAAAGTTTGCGATAAAAGAATTCCCACTGATCCTAAGTGAAGAGGAAATCACTATGATTCACTTACTAGGAATTTAAAGCATTTTAGTGCGTATTCAAAAAATCATAAAGAAAAGCAAAGGAAAAAAACATACTTAAACTTAATTGCAACTTGAAATAGTTTTTGTATGCGTTTCAGTTTTGAAACTTTTAAATTTGAAATTGCAGTTATATATGAAATGTCTCCTACTTGATGTTCTAAGCTAACAGTATTATTTTCTTTTGATCCCCTTTTTTATATACCTAGGGAAACTCATCTTCTTTGCCCATTTGAATCAGATCAAAAACGATTTCACTCACAACTTATTCTAACAAAATTGAATTTCCCTCAATTTTGGTCTCCAAAATTACACCCCTAACAACAAAATTGTCATACAATATTTTTAGCACATATTATACTATCTAATCTTTTTTTTGTTGTATCTGTTCAAATAACATAAAAAAAAATAGTAACAGTTCCGGTTTTTGTGGCATATCTTCGGAAGTACAGTACAGTCTCGATAATCCAAGGGGCTGGTGATACCTCGGATTTCGAAAAACTCTCATTACACCTAAAAATTTAAAAAACCAACACTATTTTTAGTAGAATACACGTCACCCGCTGGCTTGGAGGGAGTAGCGTAAAATATTGCAGGTGCATGGTGATTATATTAAAATAAAATAGGGTTTGCGTTTTCAATTTTTTTCTTTTGAACCTCGGATTGCGCAGAACCTCGGATTATCGTGATTCTACTGTAATCATTATTTTCTAGCTTTCTTTTAAGCATGATAGTAACTCTTTCATTACGCATCTTTTCTCTAATTTGGCCATCATCGTATCTTTTATAGTTTTGGAGATCCCCATAGATACACATCCTTATCTTGGACCCTAATGTATATTATCATTTTTCGCTAATTTCACATCACTATTTAAATTTTAAACAGAACGCCCAAAAAAAATGAATTCCAATTTTTTGTTTAAAAAAAAATACAGATACTAAGAATAAGTAAAAGGACAAAATGGAAACAGAATTCAATATTTTTTTTCAGTTACATATCAGGAATATCGATACTGGGCATGCCCGCCGAAATATACACTTATGGAACGCAGTTCTGGATGATAATGTGCACTGAAGGATTGGTATCGTTAACTATGGCGGTTGCTATACTACCTGTATTTTATAAGTTAGAAATTACATCAAGTTACGAAGTACGTATTATATCGAATGCGAAAACGCTCCATCAATTAGCCTGTTGCAGTACTTAAATTTACGATTTAATGAAACCGTGAGATTGTTGGGATCCATTTTATTTTTGACAAAAATGATGCTTTACATTCCCATAGTTATATATGTACCGGCACTCGCTTTCAGTCAAGGTAAGCACATGCGTAATAACGATGGCCAGGTTTAATTTTGTATTTATAGTTACTGGAATTAACCTTCATTTGGTAACACCGGTAGTTTGTATCGTCTGTATATTTTACACAACTTTGGTAAGTGTTTACATTTCCACCACAGTGAGTGCACCTTCTATGAGAAACAGTGCAAAATACATCAGCATAATAATTAACAACGCATCATCCGTTAGAAGTACAAATGGTATAAAGGTTGATATTGTCAGTGAAAATACCATAAATAAAAGAATGGTGCGCTCACATTCTCTGTCCATTTCGAGTGCTAGTTTTTTGTTCTAACTAAAATTTGTTATCATTCAAATCAAATTACAATTGTCATTACAACTGACAAATTCAATGTACACTTGTACCGAATGTAGACACTAGTACCTATAAAGATGCATTTTTACCAAATTTTTGGGAAAATAAGGAGACATACATTTATAGCCATCGAGAGGGTCTGTGCATAAATTTCTTAAAGATTTTTGCAACATCCCAGATTTTTATTGTTAACATGGTAAATGTTCAAAAATATTAACCAAAATGTAAGGGCTTAATATTTCACCCATATTAATTACCGTCACTTTCAGAAGAATCTCTTCATTTCACGAATTGTTTCATTTTTCAAATTTTCAGAGCAGTAATAAGACTGAGAAAATCCTTTCCAGAACATTCTGTTATACTCCCACATCTTTTAAGTAGAGTTTTCTGGAGATTTACGTATACCCTTCATAGCATAACATTCTGTGTTAGATTTAACATGTTTCACGAAGTCGGTAAATGGTTCACATATTTTCATAAATTGAAAGTAAATGTTTTCGATTTTTCAAATTAATAATTAAATACAAACATACCTTATCAACTTCCAGGGAGGATTAAAAGCGGTGGTATGGACCGATACGGTTCAAACGGTTGTGATGACCGCCGCACTGATAGTGGTGCTAATCATGGGTACAGTAAGTGTGGGAGGATTCGCCGAAGTGTGGAATCGTAACGAGCAAGGTGGACGCCTCGAATTTTTCAAGTAACTTTTTTTCTTTAAAAATCGCCCACTGATGAAAGCTTTTTTTAGTATGGACCTCGATCCATCGATACGGCATTCGTTTTGGACCGTTACTATTGGAAATTATTTTTCGTGGTTAGCCGCCTGTTCCATCAATCAAGCTATGGTACAAAGATGTCTTGCTATGCCGACACTAAGATCGGCGAGAGTGTAAGTTTCGAAAAGGAAGAGCTCTCACTCTGAGGCCTTTACTTTAGGACACTATTTATACTGATGTTTGGTTTGGTGTTTCTCATCACCATGTGTTGCTATATGGGGTTGGTGATCTTCGCATCGTATCACAAGTGTGATCCCATCACAAGAGGATACATAGCGAAGTCAGATCAGTTGCTTCCTTATTTTGTAATGACAATTGCTACCGCAATGCCGGGTCTTCCGGGATTATTTGTTAGTGGTGTGTTCAGTGCAGCTTTAAGGTTTGTATGGTTTCCGTTGTGCTACACATTAAAATGAATACCGTAGCTCGATGTCTACCGGGTTAAACTCAATGACGGGCGTGATATTTGAGGATTTGATAAAACCTAGAATGAAAACACCATTAAGTGAAGTAAAAGCGAGCTTCATTATGAAGGTTATGGTTGTTATAATAGGAAGTATTTGTGTAGGATTAGTGTTTGTCGTTGAGAAAATGGGAGCTCTAATACAGGCATCCGGAAGTATGGGTGCAATTACCGCCGGACCCTTATTAGGAATATTTACCTTAGGAATGTTTTTCCCGTGTGCCAATTCGACGGTAAGTCCACTTGCACCTTTCCCTGTCATAAAGGCAAACATTTCAGGGTGCCTTAATTGGAGGTTTAGTTAGCGGATCGTTAGTCGCCTGGATTTCAATTGGAACTCAAATAAACATGGCGCAGGGTTTAATCAAATTTCCTCAAAAACCCATTTCTTTAGACGGTTGCGATTCAAGTTGGGTCTCCGAATATTTAAGCGTAAGTTTGACATCAGACGGCCCGCAGAGAACCCTCGACCCTCCCTTTGTATTGTTTCGATTGTCCTATATGTACTACACTGCAACAGGTTTAATTGTAACTGTTATTGTTGGTCTCACTGTTAGCTTTTTAACCGGTTGCAATAAAGGGAAAAAAATTAAAGCGAATTTGTTCTCACCTGTTATACAAAAATTTGTGAAAGATAACTTAAGTGATTTAGCGCAAAGAGTTAATGACACTAGCAAAAATTGTAATAGCGATAATAATGATATACAATTAAACCAATTAAAAATTTAGTATCTGATTATTTAAACTTAAAAAAATCACTGGAGTGACTGTAAGGGCATAACTAAAGAAAAAGGTTAGCAACACATTAACTAATGCCCTTAATTCCAAAAGGATGTAAAAATCATAGCTGTTTCACCTAAAGATTCCTTAGCGTCAGTACTTCAAAGATCGTGTACCAGTCTACTGGAATTCATGCGGAAATGCAGAAACAGTACCTGTTGGCATAGAGTAAATAATATAAAGAGGTGTCATGGGATAGGATATTGTTGCAGTAGAAAATCTTGTAAGGAAGTGTTGCTATCTTGTGCTGTTGTATCGCTGTATTACCATATAGCAGCATGTAACCTGTATTACCTATTTAAATATACTGAACAAAGTTGAGATTTGAATTACATCATTACTTTGCAAGAGATACAGACCATGATACTGTCAGCATTATATTTAATCACTGGAATGTGATATTATGCTTCCTATGCAAGGAGTCTTTTTAATTCTTTCAGGCCATAGACCTATTTATTTTATTATTTTAACGCCTTACCTTTACCCAATTACAAACTTTATTTGAATTTAGCTAGCAATGAAAATTAAATAGGTACAGTGAGAAAATATGACTGATTATGCGTATAATTTCTAACGTTTTTTGTTGGATTAGCGGTACACGTAGACCGTTTTAACACTGCTATAGCAATTTTGTGTGGAATTTACGCAAACAAGGTCCTTTTGCGCAATTCACTAATGTGGGAGTGCTGTAAGTATAGTGTATTTGTGAGAGAAAAGATCAATTCCATCCATACTACCATTGTATATAAAGATGTATATTATATACAATGATATTTTTTTTTCGGGACAGAAAAAGGCAGTATTAACCTTCCTTTTTTCCAAAAATCGACTGCACCAAAATTTCTCGGGAAAACACTTTTTCTTATTAATTTTGGTGCGTAGAATCCAAAACAATTCGTACTTTTTTGATCAGACTTCTCAATCAAAAGTTATAGACTAGAAACCAATTTCGAAAGAAAATTCAAAGGGCTGTAACTTTTGAACTAGCAGCCCAATCTTGGAACTGTTTGAAATTATGGATTCTACAGGCCACATTCTATAAGAAAATTTTTTTCCGGGTCGATCTGAGACAATTTTCTTTTCGGGGCTCAAAAAAAGGCAGTGTATAACCTTCCTTTTTTACCAAAAATCGACTGCACCAAAATTTCTCGGGAAAACACTGTTTCTTATTAATTTTGGTGCGTAGAATCCAAAACAATTCGTACTTTTTCGATCAGACTTCTCAATCAAAAGTTATAGACTAGAAACGCATTCAAAAAATACTACATCGGAACTGATTCGGCACTGGGCAGTTCCGCACAGAAAAATCAGGAAAATTCTCTATTCGCTGATCTACTTCCTACTTTACGAAGATTGAATTACTTTTATGGCTTGAAGATAAAGCAAAAATCTACGTAGGCGTAGGTTGTGTATAAATATTATACACAACCTCATTCTTTCACACATTAAGTTTCATTCCTGACTATTACTATACAACATCGTTAAAAAATTTCACAATTACTTTCACTTCATCAAATGACGCTCGGCTTAAAGATGACCAGTTGGGTCGAAATCGATAGCCACAACAGACAATTAAAGAAACGTGTTTAAAAAGATTTTCTTTAAACCCCTCCTCGTAAAGTATTGAAGTCACACAATGCGTTGAAAATGTATTTTTCTGAAACCACTTTAGAAAGAACTACTTTTGAGTTTCGTCTCTAAAAAGGGTGAAGAAAATGTGATTTTCCTCTCTAGTGAAAAAAGAAAAAAACAATTGCTATGTTAATCTTTAATGACATATAAATTGAAAAGTACGCGCATCTAAACTGCTATGTGAAACTTCATTATTGCAAAAGATAATTTTTCAATTTTGATAGTAGTTTCAGAAAAAATGATGTATACAACTTGAGAAGAAAGTGTGTCTCAGGCGTCAAATTTTGAACTCGAGTTGAAAAACTCCACTTTCTTCTATAGTTGTACGAATAACTATTACTTTATTGTGTGTTTGTTTATGAATACACGATTTCTCAAAATTTTGTACGATTTGTTCAAGATGATTTGATCATAATTTATTCGATCATTTATTTGAAATTATAAATATCTTTTATGCTACAAACAGGTAGCACAACTTGTAAAACTAGAGAAAGAGAATCTTTTAAATAATTCCACCTACTTGAAAGTATACAATTACCAAATACAGTTTTTATTTTAGAACTTCGAGCAGGACTATCTACTTCTTAAAGTTTACCTACTTACTAGGATGGCAAACTCTTGAAGTTTTCTTTAAGTTCATACGCACTGAAGTTTTTCAATTAAACAAATCTAGTCTAAGAGGTAATTAAAATTACACTTCTTTACTGCTATATCACAGTGAAGATACAGTTGCTAATGTGTCAAAGCGTGGGTCATACTTTGAGTCATAATTGGGTACGAAACCATCGGTTGAGTGGCATTTGACAGTGCAATTGCCTGGGAAGTGTTTATCGCAGTGATTTGATTGTTTCTATGCAGTTCCAGCTGTTGCGTGGAAGCCAAATTTTGTTGTGCCAGCAATTGTTGGTTGGTACTGGCAAGGGCTAACTGTTGAGAGACATTGGCGACTGCCAATTGTTGCGGGGTATTTGCCAACGCTAACTGTTGAGCTTGAGACGTAAGTTGCGCCTGGGACGTTAGTTGCTGACCGAGTTGTTGCGTGCTGTTTGCGATTGTGAGCTGTTGACCTTGAGACGCACTGGCGAGGACCAGTTGCTGATTGGCGACATGCGGGGCTTGTGAGGTTAGCTGCTGTGAACTTGCCAGTGCCAGTTGTTGGGCTTGAGATGTTAACTGCGATTGGCCTTGTTGGGCCGCCAAATTATTGGCGAGATTCTGCTGCGCGATCGCCAATTGCGCTTGGGAACTGTTTGCTATTGCCAATTGAGATGGAGGATTAGTTGTCACTGCAACCAAACTAGTTAACCAACTTTTAGACCATTTTGATCTTACCAAGTATTTGCTGACTAGGTGCCAAAATTTGCGCAGGCGCGATACTAACGGCCGGACATCCAGCAATTGACACATGATTTGCGGACACAGGAGTGCCTGTAGATACAGTTGCTATAGACACTGGAACTGTGGCTACACTTGCTGTAACGGTACGAATCACTTGCTGCGCTTGAGGAGGAGTGTTATTCTGTGGTAAAGTATTGGTGATTGTTACAGCCGGCACGGACACTGACCCATTACGTTTGCTTGAAACTCGTAATGTAGCATTTTGATCTAGGAGGAATTCATTTGTGGCCGTCAAGTCAGATACCTGCAATAACTTTTGTAGAAATTGTTGCATTTTAATGTAATTTTATTTTAACAGAAATTTTGACAAACCTGTCGTTTAAGTTGCGCAATTTCTTTGTGAAGCAAGCTATTCTCTTCCTCTAACATTATCGTTCTCGCATCAACACCACTTAACATCGGAGGACTTCCAGCAAAATAACCTTTAAACAATGGGAGCCTTCTGTTACAATCACTATCCAGGTACTCTATCTCATTTGATGCTATAAAGCGCCGCTTTGGAGCCGGAGGACCAACTTCGGTTTCTTCCAGTGGAACATTACTCCACCTCGAGATCCCTAAAATCGTTCTCCTAAATCCTGGTGTGGCGCAACATTCATTTTTACCTGGTTGTGTGATTATAACTTTAGAATGAGAACTATCTAAATTATTATTTACAATAAAGTTAGGAAGATCGAAGCAGTGCTTAGTATGCGTATTAGTGTGTATGATATCCAAAATTTCTGCCTCCTCCTCTTCTTTGCTTATATGTCGAAATTTGCACAAGACTCGCCTGCGATGACAAAATAAGTGTGTGTGTATTGTATAAAATTACGTAATACCTGCATAAACCTTTTCGATACTGATTACAAACTGGATAAGTACCAGGTAACTGAGCTTTGCGCGTTGCTTCCGCTAGTATTTGATTCGACATTTCGCCATTTTTTTTATATTCATCTTCTTCATCTGGTGTACAATGGATGAATCTAAAAAAAAACATGCTTAGATATATTGATCTACGACATCCCAGAAGACATTGTTTACCTACAGCTAAGATATCGAATAATAAGCACTACCAAATAATTTAGGTCAGTTGACTGCAGTGTTTCTTATAAAAAAAAACCTTAGCGAAGATTCAAAAAGAGCATGGGCCAATCTGAAAAGGACGTATAAAACCTGGAAAGGTTCCATGAAATAAGGAATACTGAAACGCTCTGAAAAAGTCATTCTGTGTAAAGCTGTAGAATGTTTTGAAAAAAAAAGCACCTACACGAATCTAGAATTTGCTTAGAATTCTCTTTGAGTCAAATGCCTTCTTATTTCACAGATCCATTAGGTTTTCCAGAGGACAGCGGTTAAACTATTGTAAATTAACTACAGTTGACTCTCGTTTATCCAGGTGCCACAGTTTGCGGATAACCCGGCTTCAATATTAGTTGCGGATTATGTAGGTTTTGTCAATTAATCGTAATGTAAGCTGATTTAACATGCAAACAATGTAATAGTATTTTGAATTATTAGCCAAGTACATAACTTTTTACTGGCGATAGAAGTTGACTGGCGAATCTGCTATCTCCTTGAGCCAGTAAAGGTATTACCTGGCATATAATGCACAATATTTTATTTGTTACTCATTTATAAACAATAATAAAGATAAATAATTAGTTCTTAAATTGATCTCAAAGAAATGTCTCATGTTATCCATGTAATAAAGCCTATGCATCAATTGTTGTCAATGAAATTCTCATATATTATTGACTTGTACAGGGTGGCCAAATAAGAATGCGAGGTACTGTATCTGGGAACCTGTCCATCGTAGAGGCTTGCGGTAAAAAAAATTATTACTAAAACGGCCACGAGAAAAACCTGGAAAATATTTTTAAGTTTCTGAAATGGCCGCTAGGGGGCGTAACTGCAATCTGGAATCTAAAAAAAGTGATTTTTCTGTGAATTCCGCTATATTAACCTAAAAAAAATACCCGGTTTTTGAAGACGACGATAATCTGAACCTTTTTTGTTTGACAATTTTTCCTGTATCTCTAAAAATGAAGTGGTTGGAGGTATTCAATGGTTTCCGTAAAGAACACCCTGTATCTTCGAAACGACTGAGCCGATTTTAACAAACTCGGGTTAATTGAAAAGAGTTATTCTTCGGCTACAAATATTATAATATTTGAAGTTTTGTTAGTTTCACATATCGCCGCTTGAGGGCTTTTTTCGACATTCCGACAGAAATGGTTAATTTTCTCAAAAAAATTAAATGCACTGGTTCGATTTTTTTTTCATGAAAAAGTAGCTAAATGATGCCTAAACAAGCTCGCGAAAACCGCATCTCGATATCTTGTTCCTAACCTAAAATTTAGGCCAAAGAAAATTTTATACTCTCAAAATTTTATTTTTTTAAGATAATTTGTTCGGAATTATTTTTATTATACAGTGAATTTTTTTAAAATGCGAACATAGGAGTTTGCATGCAATGTAATTTCCCTATGTTCGATTTTTAAAAAAACACATCAATCTATTGAGTAGTTCAAATGAGTAGTAGATACAATTAACAGCTGTCACATTTTTAAAAATACCGCCGTCCAATTTAATTACGAAATCGGTTAGGTTATTGCTTAGAATGTCAAGGAGGACACTTTGAACATTTATTGTAATTGTTTTCGGTATTTATTTCCTATTTTCTTCATTTATGTATTGAATAGATCAAATTAGTAGAATACCAGGTGCACATGACCTACAAATAATTGAAGGTTGGTTCACAATGAGTTGTGGTGTCGGTGCGTGGCCTGTGAGGTCAAGTTATCGTAAGTTTAAGAAAAATGTATCGTAAAGTTGCTATGGCCTCACATGGCTTCTTTAAAAAAATCTTACCGAGTGCTCTTCATCATAAAGACACTCGTTCATAGTCACACAAGTTGCGCGATTTGGGAATGTGAACCGCGCACACCTCATAGATTGATGTGTTTTTTTTTAAATCGAACATAGGGAAATTACATTGCATGCAAATTCCGATGTTCGCATTTAAAAAAAACTCACTGTATAATTTGTGGCCCTAAGGTGGATCGATTTAAAAAAGGAAGCTTTTAATTTTTAGGCATCATTTAGCTACTTTTTCATGAAAAAAAATCGAACCAATGTATTTAATTTTTTTGGGAAAATTAACCATTTCTGTCGGAATGTCGAAAAAAGCCCTCAAGCGGTGATATGTGAAACTAACAAAACTTCAAATGGTATAATATTTGTAACTGCAGAATAGCTTTTTTGAACTAACCCGAGTTTGTTGAAATCGGCTCAGCCGTTTCGAAGATACAGGGTGTTCTTTACGGAAACCATTGAATACCCCCCACCACTTCATTTTTAGAGATACAGGAAAAATTGTCAAACAAAAAAGGTTCAGATTATCGTCGTCTTCAAAGACCGGGTATTTTTTTGTTAGGTTAATATAGCGGAATTCACAGAAAAATCACTTTTTTAGATTCCAGATTGCAGTTACGCCCCCCAGCGGCCATTTCAGAAACTAAAAAATATTTTCCAGGTTTTTCTCGTGGCCGTTTTAGTAATAAATTTTTTGATCGCAAGCCTCTACGATGGACAGGTTCCCAGATATACAGTACCTCGCATTCTTAGTTGGCCACCCTGTACAACAGGTCAGCTATCAATTTTACAAGTCAGTACCGTTGCGTTTTGTTTTGTTACTCAAAACGAATTACCAAACTCAAATGAGGCCGGTACAGCGGCGATTACAAGATAGTGTGGAATAAAAAATGTTTTTATTTTGCTTTACCCTGTACCATCATTTAAAAAAATTCCTTATTACCTGTGATGCACGCAATTCATCGATAATATAAATAATTACCATATAAAAATATAAAATAAACCTACACAGAATATTTCTTAAATCTATTTATACTTACTTGCAATTCGGCCTGGGACACGCTGTATTTTGGAAGTCATGGCAAAAATTGAGGGTGCGAGACTCATTTTCATGTTTATATTTACAAAATTTCCTCCCACAAACGCCACGTATAAAATCGCGACATATACTATCGATATTCCCATCATTTTGTCTGTCATTTTTGAGATCCTCATCGGCCATTGTTTTGCTATTAGAAACCCTGTAGAAAAAGAAAATAGATTTTATTTTTATGTCGCGATGAAAACTGTAATATGAAATTCTTGTTGCACAGCAGGAAGCATCCCTCTAACACCCCAACGCTCTAATTTCATATGACCTTGACTCGACTAATTACATTGCATTTATAAACGTGCGAGCGTTTCTTAGTATCTAACTGACACTAAACGCATCGAATAATTCAAAAGAAATAATATAAATGTTGATAAATGATAGATTATCAAAATCTATTTCCATATGCGGCAATATAAATAAGCATTTACCAAAAATATTGCGAGCATTCCCACAATGGATGCCGTGGCCATTTTCTCTAAACTTTTCCTGACCATAATAACGATCAGTCGAATTCACACAATGAACGATTTTGGCGAAGAGACCTGCGAAACTCTACCGTCAGAAATAAACATCATCAAAGGTATACGGTGGAACTGTCGTCGATAAATTTAGTTTTTCAATTTTTAGAGGAATACGACGAGCTCGGTCGACTACAGCGCACTTGCCACGGCGAAATTGCGGTCAATAAATGCGAAGGAAGTTGCAACAGCCAAGTGCAACCGTCGGTTATCACTCCGACTGGTTTTCTAAAGGTAACCCACGTGCATGTGTTTTGTAAAGCTGAAATTGTCGCCGTAGACGTGTTACTGCTGCCGCGAGAGTTTTCTACGGGAGCGGGTCGTTACACTGTCGCACTGCTACGATCCCGACGGTATGCGATTAAACGCAGAAGAATTAAAGGCGATGGATATAAAATTGCGCGAACCCTCGGATTGTAAATGTTTCAAATGTGGCGACTTTAGTCGATAAATGTGTTGTAATTTTAATGACAGTATTAAATACTATTAAAAGCTGATATCATTTAATAAGAATCTGAGTAAGGGGCCAGTTTTCAACGGGTGGCCCTTTAAGTCCGCTAATTAAAAAGGAACCAAATGGTTTACATTACACATCAAGTGTACTGCAATTTTCCAATCATTCCATCATAAAATCAATTTCATATAAAGAAATATGCATTAGAGTACGATTATGAATCTAAAAATCTTGTCCCCATTTATCTACATGGGCACTATTAAAGTAGTAGTAGATACAAGCGTTAATTCCTTAAAGTATTAGAAGGTTTTCATCACTGATGCCCGTTTGCACCGACAAATTTAAGCGGAGCTTAGCTTAAGCGTCCCTTAAAATCCATGGCAACCATTGTCTCAATAATCGTTGCCATGGATTTTAAGGGACGCTTAAGCTAAGCTCCGCTTAAATTTGTCGGTGCAGACGGGCATGATAAATTCACATATTTTAAAGTCGAAATTCACAATTTTTACAAAGTATAAAAGCGCATTTCTAGAGATTTAAATTTTCGTTGGCGTTTTAGACCTTTCAAGAATCTTTTAAGAGTGTCCCTTTCCAGTGTGTGCCCTTAGCTTTAAAAAGTGCATAAGTATATTCATGTACATTTAGGAGGATCTTGAATGCTGTGCAAGGGAGTAAAACTTGCTGCAACGATCTCTACACGGTTTCCATATTTTAGACCCTTTACCCTTTTTCAGAGTGACGAAAAAATGAAATTGCACCTATCTTTGCGCTTTGGGGCTCAAAAAAAGGCATTGTATTACCTTCCTTTTTTACCAAAAATCGACTACACCAAAAATTCTCGGGAAAACATTTTTTCTTATTAAGTTGGGTGCGTAGAATCCAAATCAATTCGTACTTTTTCGATCAGACTTCTCAATCAAAAGTTATAGACTAGAAACCAATTTCGAAAAAAAATTCAAAGGGCTGTAACTTTTGAACTAGTAGCCCAATCTTGGAACTGTTTGAAATTATGGATTCTACAGGCCACATTCTATAAGAAAATTTTTTTCCGGGTTGATCTGAGACAATTTTTTCTTCGGGGCTCAAAATTAAATAAATAAATAAAAAATGATATGTCAAAAATCTTGATTTCAAAAAAATATGTAAACTAAAAATGTTTAGCCCTCTTCACCACCCAACTTTTTTGCATTTTGTGTATCAGGCTTTATACATGCATAGTTGGTATTTTTTAAACGCAACCCATTTAACATCAATTTTTTGCATTGTTTCCTGATTACATTGGTGTATCACAACCTATATATTTTTTATATATTATATATTATATCATATTTTTCAAAACGTTGAAATGACAGGCCGTTTTTTATTGATTGATCCTAGTTACCATGGATACAATAAACAATACAATATCTCAATAAATCCATGGACTACTATTTAAAAACCATAAAAAGTAAGATTTTTATTTTTGATTCATGACTAAAATTTAAAAAAAGTATAGGCTGTGATCTCAGTTGTAATACATCAATGTAATCAGGAAAAAATGAAAAAAATTAACGTTAAGATATACAAGGAGTTGCATTTAAAAAATAGCAGCTTAGAGTCACATCTCAGAAACAGTGGTCCAAACATTTGTTTGACTACGCAACTAAACTCTACGTAAAAATATCTAAAAAAACAGTTTTGCCTTTTTTCCATCTTACATGGCTAGTAAAATATGATAACATTTCAAAAAATTAAACTTTTTATTTTCACCCTGTATCTCAGAAACAAACGCAGCTAGATTGATTCTGTTTGTGGTAGTTCTTCCAATGTGTATTACCGGGTCCTGTGTGCATATTGCCTCACATTTGTATATGTACTACCAGCAGTGAAACACCTTGAGTGTTCCATTTACAACAAACAAATTGGTATAACCGGAAGTGTGACCAACTTAAAAATATTTTAGATAAAGTCTTATTGACATCAGTCCACTACCAAATTTTCAAAATATTCTAAGGTCTCCTTATAGCCAGGATTCGACGTGGGACACCCTGTATGTTCACTGCACACAAAAACGTTAACATTAATTCTCTAAGTAAGTCGCCAAAACAGACCGCCATCATGAATGCTGACCACCTTTTCTTCTTTCCCACTCATTCAATGAGAACGTATAAAATTGCGCTCTTACCAGTGAATCAATCGAGAGGTAAATTGAACAATGAATGCAATTCCGAAATGGTCTTCTGTTCAATATCTGCAAGGTATCCTAAAACACGTTGAGTAGCATCTTTCATTTCATTGTATCGATGCAGAGCTTCCATTTGAGGTTTCAAATCAGTTGTAACACCTTGACTAGTTAAGCTTGCGATCTCGTTGTCTAATTGGTGTTCACGTTCTTGTAACTGCTGGTATGAAGGCAATTTTTTTGTTTTCCGCCTTTTTTTGTCCATTTATCGCATTCTCACTATCTAAAAATGAACAGAATGTAAAATAGGACAATACAAAAATTTGTTTTAGACAATCAATTTAGGAGGAGGGGGGGGGACAATGGTGCGCATCTTCAAGTTAATCCTATGGCAGAAACAGTACAATATGTCTTCTAGCATTTATTTTGTTAATTTTCCAGAAACTGATTTATTAGACATTAGAGGGTTGCACATTTCAGTCGGAACACCCTGTATAAATAAATTATACATTGTCCCTCGATTGTTTTTGGGTTGTGGAATTTTAAATGTAGACTAATTTGTAGTGAGGCAAGTAGGATGCAGAGGCGGATTTAGCAATTTGCCGCCTATGGGCCAGGCCTGATTGGCCGCTCTAGCAAGTACCAAGGGGTGGGGAGAAGGGGGGGGTGAAAAGGTAGACCCCTTTGGGTATAGTAACAAACGAAGGAAATATAATGTATAATGTATTAACATAGATAAAACATGAAACAATGTCTTTCTTTACATTTTACAATAGCTTCCTTCTGGATTGGCTTTTGGCAAAAGTGTTTATTATGTCGTCAAAGTCCAATTTCTTCGTCAGATCAGATTCTATTGTTAAGACCGCCTGCCAATTCAGACGATTGTTGCTCATGTTTGAACGAAGGTAGCTTTTCAATCGTTTCATCACAGAAAACGACCTTTCAGCCGAACAATTATGTAGATACTGCCATGGTTAAGATAATTTTTAAGCAGATATCCACATACGGGTAGAGTTCTCTCAGACCGCGATCATTGATCATTTTATGAAGATCGGCGAATGTTTTGCGGTGCTCGTCATCTACACAGGTGCACCTGGCTGATATGCGTAACATTAAAATACTGAAAATACTATTATGCTATGATCCACAAAGTCGTGCGAAGTTGCAAGAGGCTGAGACAAAATTCGGGTAAATTCGGCAACGCTCGCCGCAGTCGGCAGTGCCGAGAGTTACAACTACTACTACTACCACCACAGGCCACAGAACATCTGTGCTACTGCTACTAGTAGTGGGCTATTACTGTACAATTGCACATGCAGTAAGTACCGAGTACGTTGATTACGCACGCACTTTCTTTGACTACTACATTGTGGCAATTTTTTTTCAGAACAAAATCTTAATTATAAGGTTGGTAAAACGGAAGGTATCGTCTTTGACAACGCAATTTTTTATCCATGATTAATTAAATACACGAAAAAAAAAACGATTTTTTCCGTTTTTGCCGCCCTTTAAAATCTGCCGCTCTGGGCCATGGCCCGTCCGGCCCATCTGTAAATCCGCCACTGGTAGGATGAACACTCAGGGTTGAGTTTTGACTCTACCCCATAAAAAATACCACACGCAATTGAGTTTACCTCTGCGAATCAATACACACATCATACAGGCGAGGCACTAGGCCCATCATCACAACGCAATAACCACTACCAACTGTAAAAACTAAAATTGTATCAATTAAGTAAGGGTATTCTTTTTCGATGACTCTGTAGCTTCAGCAAATAGAAAAAGGTGCATCTATTGTTTTGTGGAATGGTGTACCAATTTATGAAAGATGCTATGGACCTTCCCCGCTAAATGAGACGAAAACAATTACAATAATCGTTGCCATAGATTTTAAGCTACGCTTAAGCTGAGCCCATCTTAAATTTATCGGGGCAAATGCCCATTAGTCCAATTCTGAGAGCTGAAAAAATGTATCGCTCGTGGTAATTCTTTTGTTTGTAGTTAATTTACATTACGTACGATCTATAAAGTTCTTAGGATTGTAAAGCCTGGTGTACAACGTACCACGAAGTGCTTTCCCCTCGGGATATTAGAGCCTGTGGAGAAAGCAAAATGTCAAAGTCGTGGGGGGTCTCGTACATCAAACCCCTTTTAGTCATCCCCTCTTACTAAAAAGTCACATGTATATCAAAACTTGATTCGAGAATTCAATAAATGAAGTGTCACTCCAGTCTTTAGATCAGACAAACTGGTATACGGTATAGTAATGTTTGGCAAGTTTGTTCAGATACGTAGGTATGTCGTTCTTATCCCAAGATAACTTTGGTCTTTAGTGCAGACATGGCTGATACTTGTAGCCGTAACGCTCATCGCAAACATGTGTATGTCGTCCTCAAAAGTGAAGACAAGAGTTGCGGCGGCAAATGCGGCAGACGAGTGTCAGGTAACCCCGGTCATACACGTTCTGCAATATCCGGGATGTGTACCGAAACCGATTCCTAGTTTCGCATGCACAGGAAGATGTGCGTCTTACATACAAGTAAGTGAAATTCTCTAGTGATCCAGCTATAATAGTCTTACCTTGAAGGTTTCTGGAAGCAAAATTTGGCAAATGGAGAGATCTTGTATGTGCTGTCAAGAATCTGGAGAACGTGAAGCTTCAGTATCACTATTTTGTCCCAAAGCTAAACCGGGAGAGAGGAAGTTTAGAAAAGTATTTTCATTATTATTATTTAACACGAATTTTTACAAAAAAAAGCTTACTAAACGCTCAGTCGGTATAGTAGACACAGACTAGTTTATTTCCATTATTTAAACCTAAAGGCTCGTTTACACCGCAATGAACCAACGTAGTTCGTGTAGAACAGCCAAAGGAAAAAGCTGCTAGCATTGTTTATTAAACAAAGCTATTAGCATTTTGCCGGAGCTCCAATTAAATGAGAACCGCATTACTAATAATAATTTTCTAACAGGTAACAACAAAAGCACCTCTAGAGTGTATGTGCAGACCATGCACGGGAGTTGAAGAAAGTGCGGTCATTCCACAAGAAATTGCGGGATATGCTGATGAAGGTCCACTCTCAAATCACTTTCTAAAATCACAATCTCAGTGATTTTTTTAAAATAATTTCTTTAAAATTATAAAAAAATATAGAATAAATGGATTATGACTTTTATTCAAATCTAAATTTGATAAACAACTGTCAGTATTAGGGTGCACTTTTTGTGTTTTTAGATATAGATAATGCGATCAAATACGAGTCGCGGTCGAAGTCACCTTTGGAATTTTTGTTTACATGAGAATTCGTATTTAACATGAACGACTAATAGATGGTATGGAATAAAAAGCAGGTATATACTGGGATTAGTAATATTAAATGCATTTAAAAGAAAATGATCCATAAAGCAGTAAAAATATTTCATCTTTATTATAGTTGTACGGTCTAGTCATTGTCCAAATCAATCTTTAATTAAAAGGGGCATCAAGTCTGAATTATTCTGTAACAGAAAGAACACTTTCTAGGACGTGTTACTATAGCAGTAGGTATGTACTACCCTTATAGATTGTTAATATGTATGATCTAAGGTACTACCACCAATACCTACCTAAGTTGTAAACTTTTTTTAATATTAAAATGTGTCAAAGAGAAAATGACAGACAGTCTGATTAGGAGGCGCAATATGTAGTCCAAAACTGAATTTTTTTGTACAATTTTAAATGGCTTCCCCTATTTAATGAGTATTAGACTACCATAAAACATGAAAAGGTATAAAATTATGGAACCATTGTTATTGGTCAGATGTATCCAATGCGGATAGTAAAACATTGGCCAAAATCCCAACAATTAAAACACAAAGTGTTGAATCAATTTAGGGTGTAATTAGATCCATTAAATTCGGTTTCATATTCTAATTGAAATAAAGGTGGAGAGACTGAAAATTTAATCAGTTTTTCCTTGGGCGACGATAAAAATAATACTACGGAAATGGAAACTAACAGTTTGAGAGCATCGTGTACAGACACAGACAGAAAGTACTGAACTCTCTTTAGGAGCTTAAAGTATTAAAAGAAACATACCCAATTATGAATGCAGTTTTTTCTTAACAATCACATGACGCTAGAAATTCCCCTAAAGTAATTCTTGTATCAAGGATCAAAAGATTGGGAACATTTCACATATTTCCGATATATTAAGCTAAAAAAGATACCTTATCATCTAAATCACACAATACCAAATGGTTTGTTTTGTATTTGCACTTTTATTTTGTCAATTGCCTGGATCTCATTTATAAATGTTTATGTAACAATTTTGGCAAATTTCTTTTCATCAATATATAGTTAAACCGTTTCTACGTAACCATTTTATTTCATTTTCCGGTATATCCAATCGGTAAAAGGTACATCCCAGACTTTCTTCCTTTCAGGATTGGAGAATTGTATCACTGCAGCAGCGATTGGAGATGTCGCACTTATTTTCTGCTCTGTAAACAATGCTCGAATACAAAATTGGCGAGAAGTAGAGTTGTTTCATATGTACAATACACATAAATAATATACAACATACGCATTAAAAAAATAGTTTCGAAAATCAATTACAAAGAATCGCAAACTTTGTATCGAGGGGTAGCAAAATCGAGTTTGGAAGATTTTTAAACAGAAACAATATCAATCCGGATTTTGTCGAGTAAGATATTTACAATTATCATCAGTCAGAAAAAATACTGTATATGTTAAAAACAATTATATACAATATCTCATTAAAAGTTCAATCTCTGACTAGGAGCAGTCACCCGGCACAGTTTCAGATTTACTAAGACTATAAAGAAAATCTAAAACCGAATGTGCAGCTGTATATTTTATACAGACCCGAATAAATAAAATACATATATCCATATATGTATATAAAGTTTACATACATATATTTATATATATAACTTAACAGTATGAAAAATTATGATGCAATAACAATTTAGTATACAACAAACACAAAAACAACGCAATCGGCCATTTTCAATGACGAACAGTCTGCAGTTGCTTTTTCATTGTGCAGGGCCTAACAAACACTTAAATCGTGCAAAAAAAACTGTTTGAGAAAATTTGAATTAAAACGTCACTTTTAAACATTAAAAAACACTAAAATATATATAAATGTATGTATATAAATAATAACACAAAAATAATATAAAAATTAATAGTTTGTTAGGCCACGCTTTAAAATCAATGAATATTAAATAGTTCAGGAACACTTAAGTTTACAATTTTTTGAGTTTTTCCAAAAATGTCACAGGGCACTTAGTACTTTAGATTATTTTATCCCGCACTTATAATTTAAATGTAGTCTCTCGCAACACTTTTTATATAGAATTAAATATATAATATATATAATATAAACAATTGTATAAATTTGAACTAATAGTTTCAGTCACGATTCACTTTCACTTTTTTAAGTTCCTGTATGTAGGACCAAAGCTAACTCCAAGCCATACAAAAACAGGTTTTGTTAAACGAGACTGGTTTCATCTTCCGACAACGAATCGTCCTCGCCCTCTCTCACTTGGGTAATGAAGCAAGTCAGTTGTTTTAAAGCCACACCTAAACAAATATTGCCAGTGTTAATTCGATTTCTTATAAATTGAGATTCGTACCTTTTCCTTCTTGTTCGTCCGGATCGTTGCATCCTTCCCACGCTATAAAACTCTCCTGAGAGAAAACGTTGTCTTCGTAAAGTTTGTTGAATATTTGCAACAAAAGACCTATAAAAATACAACAATTTATTTACGCGATATTAACCCACTAACAGCCAGTTCCACAATTACAAATATTGTTGACATAAGGTATTGAACACCTTATCTTCTATTCTACTATTTTTAACCATTAAGGAGTTCAGTTAAAACACGCATAATATAAATTTAACGAATACGATTAAAGCTACGTATTTGGTTTTGTCAATTCATCAACAATATCTAATACTTTTATCAACTGTAATAATTACTAAATACGAGCACAATGGTAAAAAGTAACGCTTATTTCTTTTGGTCCAATTATTATGCATTTTATGTATACAGGGGGATGCTCCTAAATATGATGTAAATACCGAAGAGGCTAATTCATTGGTTTATTGTATGACTAAAAGTTCATATAAACATAGGTTCGCAAACAGTTTGTTACCCAACTACAGTGTGTACGAATTTCAAGATTTGAAATATAAGTTACGCCGATTGGTACAATTTATTTTGTTTTATAACACATTAAAAATGAAGTTTTGTGTTTCTAAATAAAATTAACCCCTGCAAATATCACAGGGACTTACACCATTGGTCATGTCAAATTTTCTACCCATGAACCTTTTGTGGTGCGCCACTAGTAGATTGTGAAACAAGAATTTAATTTTCCGATTTAAACTGTTTGTTTGGCCTCTTGTAATTTTGTAGTATATACGACAGTTATAGCTACACGGATAATTTAATATTTGCATTTGCAATATTGTGACTCCACTTTGCCATACTAGAAATTTATTATAATGCACAATCATTTCCCAGAAAATAATAGCACAAACTGCCAATATCCATTTCCGTCACCTTACAGCTTACATAAAGCAGCGAAAGGGTTTTTCCGATTAATTACACAACAACAAAAATTGTCACTACTAAATGCAATACACTTAATTAACACATAAGTGAACATAGCCTAAGACAAGCAGTAAATAATTTACACAGTATAAACGTCACAACAGTTATCAAAGAAACTTGCCATGAAGCTGGACTGTGATGTTAATATAGTTTGCTAATTATACAAACCTTGCGGATATTCTAATTTATGCAGAAGGGATTGGAGAGCACATAAAGATTGCAACTCATATTCTGCTTTGCCATCTACAAACTTGGTGAAGAAATGATACTTTTCCACCATACTCGCAACGTTCAGTTTGTTATTGACGATCGAATGGGTAAATATTGCGGTCGTCAATCTACGAATGAATTGATTTTCTTTTACCGCTTCACCGACATTGGCCTAAACACGAAAATAAATATCGCAGTTTCTCACATTAGATCGCACTCACCGTAATCCAGTTATTAATCTCGTCAAAGGAAGCTGCAGAGTTGAAAAAGGCCAATAACTTGTCCGATATTTCCTCGTACGATATTTTCTTTTGGGCGAATAAGGAATTATGATTGGGACTTAATTGACTACTATCATTTCCGAGCATAAATTCGAAAGACTAGAATAAATAATAGAGCGAGCGTTTTCCAAAAAAAAATGTCCACTTACGTTAGCTTTAAGAAACTCATCTACTTGAGATTCTGGCATGTAATCAGAGAATTTCTGTCCGCAACTGTTCCAATTCGCTTGTAAGAAATTAGGTCCTTTTTCTTGAATAATTATTTCAAATATATTTTTGAGGACGGGCGAGGCGTGTCCGTTTCTAATTAGCACCCCAAAGCATTTATATAAATCACGGAATGTAATAGCATTTTCGTATAAAACAGGAACTAAAAATGCGCAATGAGTGAAGTCGGGAAGCAAATCTTGTCTTACCTATAAGTTCGGCTACGTAATCCCAGACCTTGGGAATATCAATGATTAATTCTTTGGTGTCATTTAAGACAACTTTTAGTCCGACGCAATAATCTTCCACCGACAATGTACCGGCTTGTATAAGGTACGCAAACAAACTACCGGTTTTACTGCGCGAGGTTTGTGATCTCTCCAACACATGGTGGTACCTTTAAAATGTACAAAATCAATACGAGCCATAGCAAAATATATATCAACTAGGAAACAATGCCACAACCAACTTTTGTAACTACTAAATGCAATACACTTATTGAACACATAAGTGAATATAGCCTTGAACAGCAGTAACAATCTACACAGCATAAACGTCACAACGTTTATTGAGAAAACTGTCGTGAAGCTGGACTGTGATTTGATGGGGCAAATAGTTTTAAAAGGCAACCAAATGTTTTTAATTTGGAATATTAATTTTACCGTGTTAGGAATTTCATTCAAATTTTTAATTGTATAAAGAAAATTCTTTTTTGTTCATCGTACACAAATCGTATACAAATACATAATCGCTTGAGACAAACTGATGGACTTTCATCTTAGAAGAGTAGATGAAACCAAATAAATTAATTTCAATTGAAAAGAGCATCAAAAATGAATGTAAATTATAAACAATATTTACCCAATTGAAATAAATTGTGGAAGCACTTCGGAAGGAATCGAAGATTTGATTTCGTCATTGCTATCCTGAAGACAAATCTCATTTAGGTATTCGTCGAGGATATTTTTGATTTTCCGGTCTAATAGATCCTGATCTATTACAGGTGGCGCCGGTGCTGGTGGAGCGGGAGATGGTTTAGGTGTAGGTGGTATACTTGGAGCAATATTACGTGGAGTTGTGGAATTATCGCGAGATCTGTGTTGTGACCCAGATCTTGAACCTCGACCTAAAATTGTGTATTTTAAAAATGGAAAAAATACGATGATATCTTCTTTTTTTACCGTCGTAAGGCTGCCTGTTATACCGTTCCATACTTGAACCCTTTAAATAATAATCACCTTGCCGCATTCCTGTAAGAAAATATTGACAAAGTGTTCACCACATATTGTACCGCAACATACCTTGATGATTTTTTTCCTCTATAGATGCAAGAATAGCGTACGAATTTGAAGTACTCATAGCCGCACTGGTAGTTTTACAACCAGAACCGTCTCTCCAACCGCAGAAAGAGTTTTTACTACCGAAAGTTGTGTCATCTGTACCAACCTAAAGACAAACCTTAACTCCTAAAAATCAACAGGTAATTTACAAAAACATACCGTCATATGCCTCAACTTATCGGGTTGAACAGTAAATTGCTGTGGTTTATTACGAGAAGACGGTATAGAAGACCATTCTTCGGGATTCGTAGGATTTCGTCGTTTTTTGTCCATGTTTGAATTAATATTGTTACCTCCGAGAGATCCACGATCTTCTCTTCTTCCAGATATCATAGGTGGCATAGCGTTCATTGCCTATTAACCGAGACGGTTAATACCAAACTAATTATAGCCTAAGATTGTTGTTGTCTTTCGTATTTATACCAATCATGAGACGATTGCAAAACATAGCAAGTACAACGCATAATATACACAGTGCTTTAGTATCGGTGTAACAAAGTACGTTACCCGATTCAGGGACTGTGAAAAATAAAATTTAAACTTACCTGTATGTTAAGTTGTTCATTTTCGGCTTCCTTTTGAATCTGATCCATTGTTTTTGGATTCAGATCTTGCCTTCTAGGAACCCACTTGGATAACCGCAAGTCTAGAACGTCTTGAATCATAAAACTGAAATGCGAAGCATAATTTCCATCTTTAAGTTTCCTAAAAACAACCTACCGTACTCTACTGCTAATTTTTCCGTGTTTCCTATCTGATAACTCCTTCATCGTCATATATATATTGGTGAGATTTACGTTTTTCGAGTCCATCTCTTTGCCCACCGTTGTTAATAGTTTACATAAACATTCTAAACTTTCTTCGTTTTTGATGGTCAGTAAGTTTTGCAAACATCTTTCCATGATGTGGACGGTCAACATGTGTTGTTTAAACAGTTCACCTACACGCAAAAGTATAAGTACAACTTGGCCAGAAAATGCCCATTGTAAACTTACCAATAAATCTGACATTTCCTACCGATTTCATCCGCAATCTACGGTCGTATTCTTCTAAATCTATTAATAAATCCTTTTCCTTTTCGGGATCTGTACACTCTTCGATTTCCTTAACTTTATTATTTCGTTCAGTCTCGTCTATAGAATTTTTTTCAAACTCTAATTGACATCGAGTAATTAATAATTTTCTAAAATTAACAAATTCGTTTCCATCTTTTTTACTAGCTCCGGTTGCGGGTACCTAAAAAAATTCTTAGTTACGCCGGTTAACCACACAGCCACAGTACAAACCTTCAAAAGTGCAAGATGACTGCACAATGAGGCGTACGCTACCGAAAAATTTGGTTCGTCCACGGCTTTTTCGAATACTAAATCGATAACTCCCTGTAGTCTTTCGGTCGTGTCTATACTAAAGTTTTGTATTTGTTCTAATAAAGTGTTGAATTTTTGCGGCGTCAACTTATTGAGAACGCCCCTAACTTTTTTATATAGTTCTTCAGTCTTCTTTTCGTCTTCAGTCATGTTGGCACTTGCGACAAATCTGGCAGGTTTCCAAGCGTTTTCGACTTCTCTTAACTTAACATCGTCTTTCAGCGATATCGTAAGACGATTGCTACTAGATTTAGATCCTTTATTACTATTGCCAATTTGACCCTGTTGACTTTTTCGTTTTGTGATATTCTGCAAAAGGTAAGTACAATAAACACATTCACCTTTTCAGTTAAACTAGACTGATTAATAATTTAACTATAGGGTTTTCGCTATAAAAAGCGTTGCACGTCATCAACAGAAGAAAATGGCATGCTAATTTCAATCAAGATTTGGCGGATTTATATTCATTATTATTTAGTTACTTTTTGGGAGAATAAGTTGGCAGATTCGGAATTTTTTTTACAATGTTGTCAAACGTTATATGTTGACATTTGACACTTTGGTTCGGTTTTTGGGTGTGAAAGTTTTCGGTTATTCTTGTGGTTGTTGTTATTATTCATCTTCGCTCTTAGTGCAAAAAAAATGTGTTCTTTTCAGAACAAAATTGCTGTTTGTTTGTGTACATTCTACCGTTATTTGCATTTGTACTCGCCACAATGCCGAAATATTTGAACAGTAAAGCGAAGGAACTCCTTGCGTCTTTAATTCAATATTTTGAACAGGAACGAGATAATGGGGGTCCCTTATTACCATTGGGTTCAGTTCGAGAGGTAAGAATGGTTTCAATTACTTCTGACTACTTCTACTAATTGTGATTACCTTCAGCGCGTTGCGGCAGCATTACATTTAAACATTTCTACGGTCAGCAGAATTTCCCAAGCTGTTAAACAAAACGAAGCTTTTATATCGCAGATCTCGTATTTGCATCCAAAAGTACTGGCGATTACCACGGAGAAATGAAAACTTTTTACATTGGTTTGAAAAAAAGTTATTAGTAAATTTAGAAGAACCAAGTGTTATCGTATTGGACAATGCTTCTTACCACAGCACCTTATTGACACAAAATCCGAACAACTCGTGGAGAAAAGCAGATTTTCAAGATTGGTTACACAATAAACTTGCACTTGCGATTGTAACCTCAGAAATGTGGAAAAATTCAATTAATCACACCGAAAAGATAATAAAGGAATGGTATGAACGCGAAAAACAATTGGATATTGCAGAAATAGCCCCAATCATTATACTGAATGAAAATGATAGTCGAGTGATGACGATTAACCGGACAATAAATAAAACTGCAATTACCTAAGTGACGAGAACTGTGATTAAAATTTATTTTCTTTTATGTTAACAAAATGGAATGTTATGTAGGTAGTCTGAAAAGTATCTTTTTACGATCATATCAGGTTATGTTGATTATCATTTAATGTAGTTCAATAAAATTTCTTGTGTTTTTGTCTCGGTTGAACTTACTCCATTACAGCAAGAGTTGGCCAAATAACGTAAAATCAGTCAAGATTTCAAGCAAGCATTAACTTGATATTTATGTACTGATGGCCAATGCAATGGTTTATAACTTCCGAAACATTTACATAATGCCGCAATGCCCACATTCCTCCTCTTTCTGCTCACAACGGCAGCGATACGTTATAAACAAAATGCGACTACAGATTTAGTAGTAGACTGCACTTTCCTTGAACCCGTCGCAGCACAGTAGGAAGGGGTTTTATTTATGCACAGTAGGTTGGTTTCACAGAGTCCAAAAAATTATCTCTGAATTTTCTAGTTCCTCTGGATGGTAGAAACATAACCTAAAAGTGTTTCCTAAATAAAAGATTAATATATCAGCATACCTTAGAAATATTTGGCAATGCCGTGTATTGTTGACGTCATCAAATCAATGACGTGCAACGCTTTTTATAGCGAAAACCCTATAAAACAGAACAACTGTTTCTAAAAATTTGGATCTTAAGAGTCTATTGATCAAAGAAAGTTACGAGGAAATACATTTGAAATTTGACTAGTGAATTTTGGGATTCTGGCCCTGCGCAAGTAACATTAAAGGAACAATTATTGTTACCTACTTTACAGAACCAAAGAAATATTATATTGATTTCTGATAATGAAATACTCAAGAGTTCTACTGTAATGTAATGTCGATACAAAATGCTTTAGATTTAAGCAACGTTGAACCTCAAATAACAAAAACATTAACACCTAATGCTTACCCCTCCGCGTTGTGACGACGATTTGCTGGGATAACTGCTACTAAAACTAGGTACAAAGTCTGTCGGTCGGCCTCCCGGTGCATAACGGCTGATCTCACCTACACGCTATTTCATTTGTTAATACAATTCAAAAGAGGGAGAAAAAATACTTACCCCCCGTTCATCATTTGCTAGAATATCATCCGGTAGATTGTCAGGTTTTATATTACTTTTGGGGTCCGCCCTTAAACGCATGAGCAGTTCTCTACCATATTTCTTCTTTCCCTCCTGATTGTAGGGGCTCCACTGATCTAAAATAATCGTTTCGGTATAGCCGGACACACAAAATGACGCCTTTAACTTACCGTCTTCGTAAGGCAAACTGGGTTTAGCGGGTTCAGTGTCCTTGGCAACCTTTGTATTCACCTCGTTCTTGGCCTGCACTAGTTTTTCATTATCTAAAACGGCACAGTCGGGTTCATCGGCGGGTTCCGCCTTCGGCAACTTTGGCGGTTCTTTAATAATGTCGGTTACGTCTACTTTACTTTTAGGCACATTTTTTGTTTCGGGTGCCGTACTGATTGTCATTATGTCTTTCGTTTCGTTTTGCTCAATGTCGTTTATGATTGGCGTACTATTATTGTTGAGCATTACATTGTTTGTATTATTAATGTTCACGTATTCATTATTTATTGAACTAGGATGATTTGCGTTGGTCGTATCTTCCAAAGCCGTCTTGTTATCGTTAAATGCATCCATATCTGTTCCTTCCTTAAGAGCGCCTTTCATATTTAGTTCTCGCAATTTATTGTTTTTGTTAGACTGTTTTTGTGGTTGGGAGGTGGGAATGGTGGATGGAGGCGGTTGCACAGGTGACTCGACCGCAGGGGGCTGTGGTACCACCGGAACTGGTTGCTGCTGCTGTTGAGAGGGTGTTTGTTTTTGCACATCCTTGCCTTTGTTGGAAGCATTTTTGGATTTAGCTGTAAGCGAAGCAAAATTAATGTCACTTTTACAGTTAAAAGGTGTAAAAGGAGTGTAACTGTTCACTATAAACACTTAGCTCTTCAGAACAAAGTTAAGTGCGTGTATGTAGTGTACAGAATTTAATCTCCACAGTTTAAACGTCACAAGAACTAACGAGTTTTGTGAAGCTGGACTGCGGTTAGTTACTAATTTATCTAAGCACGGCACATGTCCACTGATAATAGGTCAGGTCAGTAAAGTGAAGCAACATTTTTAAGAAATTGAAATAAAAATGAATCGAATGAATACAGAAAGAAGAGCTGCTATTATTAGCGTCTTGGACTGTGAACAAGAATGTATATTACAGAAACAAATAGATTTTAAAAGATCCGAGTTGGCACTGTTGACTAAAAAGCATAGAATTTTAACAGGCCAGCAACCACAGACGCTAGTCCATAATCGTTCAAAATTAACATATTGAATAATGAATGAAGGTGTGCGAACTTGAACTTTTATGGAACTTTGCTTTTAAAAGATCGTACTTGCCGCGCATTAAAAATATTTCGTCTAGATATAGCCGAAAAACAATCAGATTGTGCACGTAATCCAGAAAAACAAGGTGATGGAATTCGCATTTTAAGGTAATGTGTTGACGTACAACTTTCTAAAGTGGGCCTTGATTACGTAATCGCTAAAAAATATCAAATTTTACCCTTGCTATTAACAGTTTTCCAAGAATGAATCAGATCCTCCATCACTGCGCGATCGGTCACGAGTCTAATATTAGAAACGGTAAAAAATTACACCAAATCCCCTTTTATGGTCAAATGTAAGTAAAAGTTATCGAAACGGCACGTATTTAGTTCAATTGCACTTCAATATAATATAAAACAGATTACAATTACTGGAGATCTAATAGACACCGTGACACATTTCGGCACATTAGCACTAATAAATTAACGTTTTTGTCAACTAATTTAGTCTTTAGAATTAAAATTAATTTTATCACTTTTATGGCAATTTTTAGTTACAATTGTTCGTAATGCGTGCGACCCATGTGGTCGACGCAGAATGAAGTGGAGGCGCCATTTTGAAAATCAAGATCGGTCGGTTTAGCAAAACGAATACAATCGATCTATATCGGGATTTTCTCATTAATATAAGCCTTTTAGTATAATCAATTGTTGCATCATTAAAAAAAATTGAGTACAAAGGTATCACAATCTAACTACGAAGTAATGTCACGGTCATAACTTCTTGTTAGGGCGAGTTTTACAATTTCGGAATAATACAATATTGTCATGTCCTAACGATTAACGCAGAATTCGAAAAACATAATTGCAGTTGATTCCAATGAAACTTTTTTTCTTGAGTAATAAAAAGTTACATAACAGTAAACGGCGAAAAATTGAACGTAAATGCGGGAATTTACAAAGAATGTGAAAATGGAGTCACCTTGACCAAATTAAATTATTACTTAATGTGTGTATGTATACCTCAAATGTGATCGCTAAAAATGTATCAAATGTATCTTGACCATTGAGATTTTGTCGTTTTCCTAATGAAATCTATTTATAAATAAACCCACTCACCCCACCTCTATTGGTTAACCATTGCTTCGTCATGGCCTACCTGGATACAAAATTTGAGCTTTATGTCCGAACGATTTTTTGACGTTATGGATAAAGTAGTTACTGGTGAACGTGCAATAAAGAGTATTAGTGATAGTGATTAATGGTATCTGTTCAAATGAGATCAGAAAAATTGGCACATTTTGGCTTGTCTGGCATATCTTCGGAAGTAATCGGAATGTTGTGATTTTCTTTAAAGTACGGATATCCCCATCGTAGACATCCTTATATTGACACAGTGTATAGAAAAACCTAATAAACTAATATAAAATTTTGGAAATGTTTTTGAAATGGTAGAGTACACATTTTAAGCATTTAAAAATTCCAAATACTTTTACTTAAAAATCATGTTTGGTAAATGTAATGTGATCAAACCAAGTAAATCTGGACCAAATTTTAAACAAGTATAAATTGTGCACAGATCTTGTGCAGATAAAGCGCATTTTTTTAACCGTATGTAAAAGTTATGCACGTTTTACTTTCAGGAAATAATTGGTGGGGGGACCCTCCCTTTTAAACTGCAAAATTTGATGAACGTGTGGCACACCTTCAAGGTATAGGCTACCTACTGCGAAAAATTCCAGGACTCTAGGAACTTCCCCTAGTAGTTCGAAACGGTAGAAATGGGTGCATGGGGAATTCTTAAAAAATGCACTAAAAAATAGAAAATTCCTACACAACAGCAAAACATCTCGCAAAACATATAACCACATATGTTTACAAAAAGCACTTCAGATAAGAAACCACTTGTGATTGGAAATGCCAAGGCGGTGCGTAGGGCCCTTAGTGTATAAAGGTATCTATAAATCCTTCAGTGTTTTACAATCCACCGAGAAATAAATTAATCCCAGTTATAGGTACCTTTCAGTGAGAAAGCTCACCACCAACTTGAGAAAGGAGACTACAACCAGTTGCCACTAATCAATTAATTCATAGGGCACTATCACTGCTGCGCAAAGTGTCGACGAAATTAAGCGATTAAGAATAAAGTACACATAATAATCTAAAGCGATATTTTTTTTGTAAATTCAAATCTCACTTGATCTATGGTAATACGCTATTTGTATGATTTGCAAATTTATATTTGATCACAGAAGTATTCGACCGTCCCTCGTACATGTTATTGGAACTTTTATTTGCATCGTGACCTTCAAACTTATTTTTAGCTCACACTTTTCACGTAGATATCATTCAGGATTAATCTAATAAAGAACAAAAAAAACGAAAAGAAAACTTACATTTTTTCTGTTTCCCCATTTGGCACTTAAATTTAGAAGATAGAAAATAAACGTGGAGGATGCATGCAATATGTCGCCGGGATAACGAACTGCAAGATCTTATTTTTAAGCGGCAACTGGCCTCGTAAAAGGACGATCACCTTAATTACGCGTTAAAACGTTCAAAAGAAAAACTATAACACTCCATTTGTGATAATAAACAAAACGAAAACTTATTAAAAATGCATAATTTGTAAAATTAAAGTTATTTTTAAACACGAACGAAATTAAAAACGACTTGAGAACTTATAACATAACCTTACAAAAGAAAATTGGAACTGCAACGAGCAAGTGAGCAATCGAGGCGTGAACGTTTCAAATACTACGTGAAGATGTCGGCACTTTACCACTTCCTTGACATTTTTACCAAATTCAAATTTATTAATATTATTACTTTTTTATGAACAAATGACAATAATCGTACTTTTTTTATGTTGTACAAGAATTTTTGGAAACTTTTTTTCACATAATTGTACTGTTTCTACAATGTATTTACTAAAAAAATAAGTCTCCTGTGGTATAGGCAACAAAACATTCATACAAAAATAAAGTGTTGACGTCATTAATAATGTCAGTTCCTATGGTCGTATTTTAAATATTGATTAAAAAAATTTCAATCTGCTGAGACAAGGACCGAGAAAAGCATAGGACTTGTTGAAGATTTACAGCTGAAGTGTTTCAAAGTAGAATATTCAAGCTTATATTCCCCGACGCTCAAACAGAATCTGGCCAGGGACATTTAGATGCTTTGGTGAATGATAAGATTTATTTTTTGCAGATCACAGGTGATAAAATGTGGATGTTTCAGTGGGATCATTTCCCAACACGGGAATCAATGCAATGAGTCCACAGGGCTCTCCACCTACCTCCAAAAAGGCCCGGAAATTTCATGGCGACCATTTTCTGGCACTGTGAGGATATTTTGCTGTTTGAATACATGACATTGGTTGAAGAATGCCTTTAAAGTAAACCGATAGAAATCATGGGGAACAAAAACTGCACTGACTAACATTAAAAGCTATAAAAACTATGTGGGAATCTTAACTAATGGTTACCATATACCATATAAAACTATAAAGGATCTGAGGGTCATTAATACTCAATGCTTACCTGAATAAAGCTTACATACTATTACATATAGTTTAGCAAATACAGTTTGTATACCAAAGATCCAATGAACAGTTGTCCGCGTATCAATTCAGCACAATTAACAGTGCAGCCCGCGGAGCCTATAAATAGCCAAGACTAAAGGTGGTTTCATTTATGTACATCGCTCCAGAGTAATGGTAATGCGGTCGATAGACTGGATCGCGTCAGCTAGTTTTTAATCTTTTATTAAAAAATTGATTCAGTCTTTGGTGTACATATTGTAATTAGTATAGACTGTCTTGTGAAAGACTGAAAATTCCCAAATGGAAATATTCTCGAAAGTTTCTGAATATTTGCAATGATAAATAAATTATAGGAATTTTATAACACTAATGACAAGGTAACAAACTCACTTGTGCAACCACAGATGTAATGACATGAATAGATTTGTCGTGTTACTTTGAATTGCAGTCTTCAAGTTCGAAATGCCAACTGTACTAAAATGAGTTAAAAAAATTTCAAATAGAGAAGATGTTTCGGGGACCGCGCTTTCACTTCAAATTTTCTCTAATTTCAAATTAGTATAAGTTTGAATTGTTGATCAATTGACCAACCAATCTTTTACAATTTTCCTATCATTTGAAGAAGCTTTATGCAATCTGCCGTGTATCTTAGAGAACACTAACAGGATATGTAAAAAACATGAAACAGCTACCACTTACCATTGATAACTGGAACTTCAGAAACTGGTTGAGATGAAGGCGATATCACAATTGGTCTGTCCGAGGAGTCTTCAGAAGTCGCAGCCACACTGCCAGGCAGTAAGTGTTTATCTTCTGTTTTGTCCTTTCGAACAACTTTTTTATCGTCACGTATAACCGTCGACGGCATTGTTGACGAAGAAACGGGCGCGTCTTTATTACTAGATGCTACATTTAAAACTGTTAAGTCTTTATGTTTAATTTCTTCTCTAAAAGAACCGACGGGTTTTTCGTTTACAACGTCTTTTAAGGGGGCTTCTTTAACGGGTTCTTTAAATTCGCGAGGAGTGGTTTGTTCCCTTACTTTGGTACGGCCCTTAGCGGGACTATCCCTATCTTTTTGTTTATTTGACGTATTTATTGTTACTTCTTCCGCGTCCGTTATTGCTGACACGACAGGCGTCGTTTCTTTGGCCAATCCAGCTGGTACAAATTCCTTCGTCGCTGCCTGCAAGAAATATTTCATAGAAGACGGACATTTACGAAGGCAAACGGATCTACCTGCAATTTACTAGACTGTACTATGGTTTCGTATTTTTGATGCATGGGCGGAGGTTGAGCGTACATTCCAAATCCGACATGTTCGATAATTTGCGACTGATCAACTTCTTCGACGCCCGGAGCTTCATCTTTGCTTATCGCTTGAGCAACTTTTTTTGCAAACGTAGCTTGAATTTCTTTACTATTACTAGTGGTGGGAGGCTGGGGGGTTTCACGAGCCGACGATTCGCCCGAAGGAGGAAGTGAAAGTGACTCTTCCAATTGCTCTTCGTACAACTCGTTTAGTTTATCCTTGCCTGTACAAATTAATCACTAAACATTAGCAATTCTGTTGAAAAAAGTGAAAAAAAATCTTACCCGTAATTGGATCAATAATTTGCACCGCATTTGGTCTTCTTTTTTTAGCTACTGCAGTGTGGACTGCGGGGGGTTGCGGTAAGGGCATACTTTGTGGAGGTGGTTGAGTTGCATTTTGCGGTGTTGTAGGTACTGTCTGCAGAGGTCTTGGCATAAATGATGAATTGTATAAAACTAAAAGAGAAATTCAATCTTATTCGGTTTTTTTATACTCTCTAAAATCTAAATCATACAAATGGATCCAAACTCACAGCGGAACGCATGTACCATAAAATACAAAAAAGAGATTTCCAATTACTCTCCTAACTAGGGACCTAGTCCAGTCAAATTAGCTCTAAAAGTAGTATAAACTGGATGTTGTCATTTCACTGAACGAAACCCAGCGTATTCTATGTATAAAATCCGCTGAATCGGAAAATCATAGTCGCCCTGGCCGGAAACACCCGGAACATATTGTTATAAATAAGAAACATAGAAAAAATGGGAAAATTTTCACATTTGACTTTGAATATCTCGTTAACTATTGCTCTAAGAGAAAAAATAAATAGAAATGAACTTGTTTAGAATAAAATTTTCTATAAGATACAGTTGGTCTGGAACGCTAATTTTCAATTGTTATTGTTTTTTATGGAAAAATGTAAAAAAAACTTTGTTATTACTAACTAAAATTCATCCGATCTTTTTGAAAATCCATATTTAGTAACTTCTTTTGATAACAAAATAATGTGACAAACCAGATTACCGTGGGTTTGATACTCATTGATTAATTAAATAAACAAGTAGAAAAAGGAATGCTTTGTCTTTCAAACTGGGGGACTACAAGAGCGTTCCCAATTTTTTTATACATAGTGGAACCGTAAAATAATCGTTTCCAATCATTGTCCCAATGATTCTTGCAAATCGAAGACTTGTGTGTTGCTACATCATTGCAATTAAAAAGTTATTATCATACTGTAAATATATTTCAATGGTAATCGTCTTGCAAAAAAAACAAAGGTTTAATTCTGTTCAGTTGAAAATTCTCAGCGCTAGTTTCATGCCAATGGTGCAACCAGACAGATGATCGAACGGTTAAAACTTTTGTTCACAAGAGCATTTTGTTTTTCCAATGTAGTCCAGGAAATAGAGACTGAAAATGGACCATTTCCTGCAAAACGAGAAGTAGTTCCAATTTTTTTTGCATGTCATGAAAGAATATCTGGTGATTAAGAATCCAAGTTTTCGACCTCCCATCCCTTGTGCTTCCCCGTACCACCCTTAAAACCTAAGATATTTGGTTGGCTTTTTAGTTTTTGAATCATATCTTTTTATAGATTCATTTTACAAAAAAATATTGTTATCAGAAATTGTAGGCTATAAAATTCTACTTTGATGTACACTACTTTTTTGTGAAATGTTTATTAAAAACGATATAGAGCTTGAGAGTTGGTTATATTTTTAAGAACTCTGAAATTTCTATGTAGATCTTTTAACCAAATTTTATACTTTATCTCTATAATTAAGAGCTTTATGAGAAAATATTTTGAACTTATCGTGGTATAAATCCCCCTACGCTGCACCCTTACCAAAGGGGATGCATAATAATTCAACTTTCAACCCTTGCTAGTGGGGATATTTGAATCACTGTGAGATTGTAGGGCTTTCTAATATACGTTTGAAACAAAAAAATTATCTCACTTCAGTTCAGCTTCATCCTTCAAATCCTTCATCCCCCCCCCCTCCCCCCAACCGCGGTAGGAATAGATATTTAAAGAGGAATAGAAAACATATATAATAAGCGTTGTACTCTCTGACTAACTTCACAATCGCCACAAGAGCGTTTAAATATCTATTCCTACCGCGCGAGGGGAGGGGGTGAAACTGAACTGAAGTGAGACAATTTTTTAATTTCAAAAGTATATTAGAAAGCGCTACAATCTCACAGTGATTCAAATATCCTCACTAGCAAGGGTTGCAAGTTTCATTATTATGCATCCCCTTTGGTAAGGGTGCAGGGTAGAGGGATTTATACCACAATAAATTCAAGATATTTTCTCATAAAACTCTTAATTATAGAGATAAAAGTATGAAATTTGGTTAAAACATCTACATAGAAATTTCAGAATTCTTAAAAATATAACCAACTCTCAAGCTCTATATCTTTTTTAATAAACATTTCACAAAAAAGTAGTGTATATCAAAGTTGTGTAGAATTTTATGGTCTACAATTTCTGATAACAATATTTTTTTCTAAAGTGAACCATTAAAAAGATATGATTGAAAAACTAAGAAACCAACCAAATTTCAGGGGTTTTGGGGGTGGTACGGGGGAAGCACAAGGGGTGGGAGGTCGAAAACTTAGATTCTTAACCACCAGATGACTGTCTATGACATGCAAAAGAAATTGGAACTACTTCTCATTTTGCAAGTTAAAACCCTCTATTCCCTGGACTAATGCACTTCGGAAAAAATGAAAAATTGTATTTTTATGAAAATTAGGATACTGAACCACCATATGCGACACATCGCTGTAAAGAGGAAAAAACATTAAAGTTGCTACATGTGCTCAATCATCTTGAAAATTAATTAATATTCCAATTCTCCATAAAAAATGCCTGAATAATATTTTAGTTAGAACCATTTTTATTAACCAACTTTCTCTGAAGCGAGATCTTCATAGTGGCACTCGAAAAATGGACACCCTGTTTTACAGTTACATATTTTAATTAGACAAAAATATATCAAATATCAAAAAAGTATACAAATTATTTTCCTAAATCGATCCAAATAAGCTTTGCCTGTTTAAACTGCCCCGTTTCAATAAATATTTAAACAAATTGGAAAATTGTGGCCTACCAAACAGGTAGAAGGTAATGGCATTTTAATAACAGAATTAATATTTTTAATTAATTAGGTAAATAATTTTAGATTAACAATACCAAATAATGATACACAACCTCATTTTTATTTGACAAACACACAGAGAAAGTTGAAATCAAATTGGGCATTTCCAACTTAAATGTTGAAATCCTAATGACGTTATCCATACTTTTGAGCATCCCTCTTAATTAGCGTGATAAACATATTAATCTGTCAACACGACATAACTTCAATTACCAACAAATGAATCTTTGGAAATTCAATATGAACCTACCAACAAGATTAAAACAACCTAAAACCCCAAAAGTAGGATAAATATATATATTTTTTTAAAGGGACCGCAAGGAAAATCATCAACATATAAATGAATATTTCTATATGAAGAAACAGATTCAGGTTCAAAAGAGAGAATAGCAGCAGCACTCATTACAAAAAATTAATTAATTAATTTCTAAATCGGCTACTTAAGTCATTCATTGTAAATCAAATTTTTTAAAAACTTTCTGAGTGGCTACAGAATTCTCATTTTGGCTGACGCGAGCACTAGGGTGACTGCCAGTAGCAACCCAAAAAGTGCCCAGTTAAAAAACCAAAAGGAGTTTTTTCTGACTTTGTGTTGTTAAGAAGTAACAAATTATAAGTGACGAAACTTTGTTTGTTACTCTATTTTCGCTTTCAAGTGCCATTTTCTATAAAACCTGTGTTTTTACCAAACCTGGACGAATAAATTGTATTTCGAATGACACACAACTTACACTGCTGCTGAGCTTGAGATTGAGGCGTCTGCGTATACGCGTACACAGGCGGATTAGGAAGCATCTGATATCCCGGAATAAACCCGGGAGTCCGCTGATTACTGAAATATTGCCCCGCCGCCGGATTTATATATACAGGAGGAATTGGTTGGAATTGTACGATAGACGGTGAAGGTGATGAGAATATAGGCGGTTGTCCCTAGAAAATTCATTAATCAATTACAATCGACAATTGAAATTTAAACGTACCTGTCGATGATTAGGCATTCTTGGATTTTGTGTGGTTTGCTGTTGAGGTCTCGTAAAAAAATTCTGTGAGGCGGGTCCCCTAGGCGTTTGTGGTACATAAGCCTGGAAGAGAATACCAATTAATTGATGACCATTGACGAGAAATTTTTCTATAGCTGTTGAAAGTTCAAAGTGCAAATTTGAAAGTAGCGTTGTATATGTTTGGCCAATTTGATATCCCCTGCATGCTAACAAAATAAAACTAAATCTTAAGGTACACAAAATTACAATTCATTAATAGTTGCCAATATTTGTTTCAATTTTTTGTTTTTATTTTTTTGTGCTATCCCAATTCATAGAACCATTCTATTTTAGCAATCGGACTGTAAAACTACTTGATGTTTAAGGGCAAATACAACCAATCTTGCTCACTATACAAAAACATAATAATTTAGCTTGTTCCTTCTCTTTCATGTCCAGAATGTTTGCCTAATGTGACCACTTCTGGTTTAGTGCACATGAATATCCTAACTAGGGAAGGGAGATGGGAAGAACAAAAAGGAAGAGTAAAAACAAAAAAACAATATTTTTTTTCAGCACACTGAGCAACTTTATCTGTGCATTGCACCACATTACCACCTCTCCATGTGCTTTGGTACACATCATTGTCAATGTTTTGGGTGTCCATTTGTGCGCCCTCTAAGAAAAATTTAAAAAGCAAGATCCTGATCGGCAGATTACAGCAGACTACTAGCACAAATATGACAACTCAAAATCAATTTTTCATTTGGCAGAGGGGAAGGAGAACTTTTTATGTAGGTAACTTAAATTTCGCTACAGGGTCTGCAGCGAGAAATGGGACAGCACGATATCGCAGGAACCAATGCAGATTTTAAAATTTTGTTAAAATGTCAGCTAAGAAAGCTTTTTACGAGTACACAAATTAATGATTTTGTAAGTATGCTTCCGATGAAGTTTATTTAATGACCAAGGTTATGGTTGTATTTGGAATTGCAGTAGCTTATCGAATTTGTGAAATCAGTCAGGTGAAATTAGATGATTGAAGAACAAATTGTACTTTTGATATAAAGAGGAAGGGTAACTTTTGTACAATAAAACAATCTAAAATTAATTATCTACCTTAAAGCTGGAAACACACGATCGAACATCACAACAAACATATACGCGCATACATGTTCGCCAAACATTTTCACAGAGAATAAATGAATGCACCTACATGTTCCAAACGTTTCTCGGTCCAATCGGTCGTGTGTTTCCTACTGTACATATGTGTATATGAGAGTAGGTATATCCTGGACGGGAAAAAAAGTAATTTTTTTTATAAGTAAAAATATCTAGCAAACCATGAATATTGAATTAAATAAATAAATGATGAGAAATGAATATTGAAAAAACAAAAGGTGTTCTGATTAAGTGACATTAAATTGTAAATCTTTAAATCAAAGTATGACAGTACACATTTGCATTTGAATTACATATTTTTTGTTTGGATTATGAAAATAATTTAAATACAAATAGAACTACTTGCACGATTATGCTCGTCTTCAGTTACAAATATTGACTAACCTAACGTTTGAGAGCAAAAATATTCTTGCATTTATAGGTTAGGAATTCGTGATCAGTAAACAAATTATAAAACTTTTATGTTCAGTTTATTCACAATTTTAGTAATCATGATCATAAGATCACACTTTGAAACAGGGTTGCCAAATGTCAGGCATTCAGCCAGAGTCTCAGGTTTTACATCGTGCTCTCCGGCCCCCGGCAGCCGTGACTATAACTCCGGCAGAACAATAAATTTCAATTTAATACTTTTCAAATAGGTCAAACGATTCCTTTTTTAGCACCTAATAACACCTTAATTTTTAAATATGACAAAATCACAAATAAAAACTTTTGTAGAGATCTTGCTTTCAAAAGGAAATGTTACCACCTAATGAGCACTGAAATTCTACTCGTCTGCCGCATGTCGGTCTACGAGTGTGTGATTCCTGTTGAATCAACACCATTACGTTGCGATTTTGGAGTTAGTAGTCCGGTTTGAGTATTTGTTTGCGATGTTGATGTTTATGTTTTATTTATTAAATTAAGTGCACTGTATTTACCCTTCTATTACTTATATTGCAAGAATGTATAGTTTGTTTTATTTGTTTACTTATACCAGACTTATACCAATTTGAAATAAAAAATTTTTAAATTTGGACAAGTTGTTACTGGTGGGATTAAAAACCATTGAAGGGAGGGGAGGGGGGGGGGCGCAATGTATGTAGATTTATGTTTCTCATGCAGTCTTGTCCGGCAGACGGCCATACGCAATCTGGCAACCCTGCTTTGAAAGAATGTGATTTGACAATCCAAAAAGCGCTTCTAATTTGTATGTCATACTTTCCGAAATCCTCACACTATTAATAAGAAAACACCCTGTCTATTTTGAAAGAGGACTGGCAAAGCAAAATTGGTTCTAGTAATATGCCAAGGAAAACACGAATTTTACGAACCTGAATTATTTCAAAATTTTCTCAAACTATTATTTTTGTGTACACATCCTAAATTTTCCGAATTTTTGCCAGTAAAAAATGTGTGCAATATCCTTTGTGTAAACACAAGCAAAATATCTTACCAAGCTCATCGACGGCTGCTGTGTCATCGACTGCACTTTCAGATCTGTGTTAGGAGGCGTTGAAGACTGTGTCGGTGGTCCGGCCGGGGGCATTCGTAGCGGTGGCACCTGATTGTTCTGCTGTGGCTGCGGTTGTTGCTGTACAAAGCTCTGTGGAGTTGCTACATGATAGCCTTCCGTCCCTGAAAAAGTATCATATTAAGTAAATCGTCTTAAGAGAATCGTTTTCGGTCCGATAATACTTTACTTACGGTGAGGTGTAGTCGAACGTTGTGATATGTAACTATTTATAGTGGTAGTAAAGGAAAATGTGTCTAATTATACAATTTTTGTTTGAAAACTGACCTACTTGCTGCACTTCTGCATAGATTATTGATTACTGGGACTGTATGTAAAGGCCCCTAATGCAAAGTTCGTACCCCTAAACAATGGAGTAGAAGGAGGCATTCCTAACAAAAACAAAGTCAGTAACCACCACGTGGGCGAAATATAATTACTGTTGTATAGGATGTAGCAAAAAACGGTGTGCCCTTCGCTTTTATTTATAGAAGGAAATGAATATCGCAATAAAGTAGTAACAGGAACCAACCAATAACATATGAGTCATGAGTCATAATTATTCTAAACATTTGATAAGAATTTGTTACGTGTAAAGGAGAATTTTGTATTTAAGGCTGCAGATAAACTAACGACCTTCGGCGATGGGGTCGATAATCTAATATTCTTCCAAATGCGCCAAGTACGCGCCTGTACCAAAGAAGGATTTATTGAAACAATAGGAAGCGTAAACACGTGCTTTTCAGAAAAAAAGTTAACAACTTACTTTGGTGGGCGATCATCCTATAGTGTTGGGGATGAGGGGGAAAAACGCAAATACCCTCCTGCTTAACAGGGCCGTTTACGTATCGCGATACCATTTTTCCTCAATATTTTAACACCTTATTCATTTGACCTCGTGTCTAATATTAAACGGTAAGTAATTTACGAATTAAAACATGTTGGTTTTTCTCACGACATGTTTTGTAAGACCGTAAGTGAAACTTTCGCCGTAATTTTGCATAAATCCTTCGGCGATGAATGGGGTGATGTCCACAAGGCGAAGACGGTGGGCATTTTATGTCTTTGTGTTAGCCACAACACAACCACCGTGCGGCTGCCGCTGTCAAATTCCCACACAATTACTGCAATGTCACTATAAAAAAGTTAAATCGCGTTTCGGAATACAAAAATTTCATAAATATAAAACGATCTCGTTAAAAATGGGTTGCTCGCACCAAACGGCAGATAAATCGATAAGGGCGTTTTACAAGAACACTTCGCACGTTTCATGCATACGTTATACGGATATGCGAGAAAATTATAGACGACAGTTAAACGCACTCGTACTATACTTAAAAAAGTCTTTTAAAATTAATTAAACAACGATAAAAGTTTTTTGCAAACGTCAAAAAATTACAATTTCCAATGGAAACGCCATTGTATCGACTGTAGTTAGTACGTGAAACGTCCACCCTGCGACAATTCGACTGCGCACGCGCCCCCTTTATGAAAATTCTCAAAAAAGAAGAACGCCGCATGCGATGCGAATACAGATAATTATCCTACTGCCAACGTCACGTATTTTTACATCATTTTCCTCGGAAAAACGATAGTAACGAAAATAAGCACAGAGGAATTAAAAAAAATCACCTGTTCTTACCTGTGCAGTGCTACACGTACTCGTGGCATATGGAACGTAAATTACAGAGCTTACATAATTAGTAGGTAACCTTAATAAATATATAATTGCGAACGCAATTACAAAAACCATAACCTCACAATTTTGCATATGTAAATTTCGAAAAATAGTTCGCGAAATGCCAATATCTAACATATGCTCTCAGCAACAGGAGAACGTAGACTAGTAAGTAACGAAAGTTATTCTCTAAAAACGCGTTGTCGACGTACTACTCGCATACCACTCGAGAGAGGATTTAATTACCTTTCAGTTGGTCGTAATTGCATCGGTTAAAATTAATTGACAAAAATTTTCTCACTTAAAAACGCGAATTACAAACGAGATGACAGCTGATGTTCAACTGACAGATGGGCGTAACGAGAGAAAAAGAAAAGGATACGAGCCTTGGGCGTATCGCGGCTGTGGCTGGGGCACCACAGAAGGCGCCTGCTTCTGGTTGGTACTCATTTCAGCCCTACGGCGCCTCACAGCAAGCGCGAAAAATCTCCACTTCCCCACAACTTCATGTAATAATCGTCGACGTCGTTGTAACACTCTCACTTAATTTTTGCATGTCTTCATAAACAAAATTGAACTTTCGCACACGTACGTCCTTTAATTATTAATTTAATTAATAGTTTTAAATTCCAATCCAAAGGTTAAGATAAGTTCCAATATGGCGGGCTATTAACCCGAAAACATGTTTTTAATCTTGGGGCTTTAGGTGCCCCTGCGAGGGGTGACTAACTCACGGCCGTTATTCACCAATATTCCTTAATTGTCTCCTAAACAATTACTTAACTGACACTTTAAATTAAAGAAATTAAAATTAATATTTGATTAAAAATGACACGCGGCTTTCACGTTGCTATTGCAGCACTGGAGCGGAAAATCGCTGAACTTCAATGTCAACAATTTTCTCCAATGGAAAATCTCCTACCGCATTTTGCAAAAGCTACGACATACCTTACTATCTCGCCTTACTTGTTCCTTGGGTAGCTACATTTGGACGTAGTTCTAAGATCCCACACACTTCAAAGTTCATTCCCTTTTGTAGACAGACAACTAACCCTAAATTCCACTCTTTAAAACGCGATGCAATTTTCGCACGGGAAATTAGAAACCGAAAAGCTCAAGGAAAATCTAGAAAATCAACTGCATCGCCTAGTCGAGCAACTGGCCGATCTCGAAGAATGCAGGTGAGCGTTTCCCAACTGCCAGTATCTCATCAAACGTACATTTCAGAGAGGAACTAAGCCCAGCGGAATACAACGAGACCAAAACCGACACCATCGATCAACTAAAGGAACTCAACACGAGCTTAACAAAGTTAGTCAACGGCGACATTTCCCTAGTAAGCGAGTTGGGTGCCATGCAACTGGTAGGCTCTCCTGAATTTTTCGTACGTTAATAATCTCATTGTAGGCCACACAAGCGGCGATTTCTCAAGCTTTTAAAACACCCGAGGTTATCAAGCTCTTCGGCAAGAAGGAACCGTTACAATTGCGCGAGCGACTACAGATGATTGAGCAGAATTTCAAATTGACAAAGTTAAATCAAAAGGGCTACGATCAGCAGAAAGCAGAAATATTAGTCGCGTTAAGACAGCTCGGAGAGCAACTGACGACTGACGAGTTGCAATTTTTGGAAAGACACAATAATGTTTCTAATGCATTTAAAAATGTGGAGTTTGTTGAAGTTAATGACTAATTTGACGCAAAAATATGTGTGTGTTTGTCATATCTTGCACAAAATGTGATTTGTATTATATTCAACGTAGATATTAAACTATAAACGCATTCGTGGGGCCTCATATTGTACTGATCAAATGTTTGAATTCAGTATTTAAACTCAAAACTTTGTGTTTAATGACTTCAATCTTGGAATTAGACCTTAAAATCCAAAGTTACTCTGAGACTATAAAATGTTTCCAGGCTTGTCTTAACTCTGAAAAGGGTATAAAATTGTCTTTAGTTCATGGAAGTGGAGTTTGCAAGTGCTATAAAGACGTGGAAAGCTCTAGAATCTCGTTTAAATTGTTCCCAGACTCTTGGAAGGCTGTCCATCTCAGCTTGACTTTACAGTGCAGGAGTAACAGTGCTAAATGTCATGCAAATATGATTTGAAGAAAATGGGCGTCATGTACTGTAAAGTCAACTTGTGATAATAACGTCAGGCACATTTCTTGCACCTCTTTAGACCCACCCTGTATCCCCGAAAGCTAGGAGTGTGTACCTACTTATGTCGGGCGTGCCAAATATGAAATGGGCAAAGGATTACAGGCCCATCGTTTCTTCTAAAAACAGTGAGCTGTGATGGATGTGCATACTGGTACGGGGAGACGGTTTTACACAGCCTTGTGTGCAGGATGGAGAAATAGGAATGTCTACCAGGAAGGGGGGGGAACGTATAACAACACCATTCTCAATCGGGAGATGAGCTTATCGGTTACTAGACGGAATTTTCCACACTCTGAACGAGGACGAAGTGTACACACTGCAAAGTTTCCAAACACCGTGTAAGAGCTCTAAACTGAACCTGCCCGCACCTGACGCGACTCTGCTGGTTGGGTGACAAAAATTGCATCAATCCACTTGCGTTTAACATCAGCTTAGTGGACGGTACATATATGCGAGTATAAAATCCATCGAATATAGTATAAGAGGAAAAAGTGTTGGTGCAAACAATTCCATTAAGGCCATTTTCTCTTTTTTTTCCAACTTTGCCTGGGGCACATCAGAAGATTCAATGATAAAATTGTGATATTGTTTCGTAAAACAGTGTATTTATGTCCTCGCAAGACACTGATGATGCGCACTCTCATCCATGGTTCTAGGCCAACTGTATCCAATGAACTGCCTTCGCTACTATATAGGTGAGAGGGAAGGGAAAACTAAGAGCGGCAGCTCTCTCTTACGGTTATGCATCTGATTGGTTCTTTCAATTTTATTTGAATGCGATCCCGATCACCATGCAAAAAATGAGTGAACTTAACTTAGCATCATATATATAGCTACAGTTATAAATTTCTTCACATAAGATCAGGAAGACCTGCAGTTGAAACCAAAACTGAGGAAACCACATAGGGCGTGTTGAAGATTGAATGCTTTCTGACCGACGAATGAAAATCCCAGTGGTGGCAAAAAAATAAATAAATTGATTCCCTGTCTCATTCCAACTCCAACAGAGCAGAAATTGTGGTGAGGAAAGATATTCCTCATGAGCATGTAGACGCTTTGGCGAATGCTGACAGATATTTTTCGTGGATTGTCACAGACGAAGAAAACATGAATCAATGCCGTGTGGGTCTATCAAGGGCTCTCTCCATCCCCAATAATCCTCTTTTTTGGCACTGTGAAGACGCCTTGCTTTTTGAACACATAATTATGATACCACGATTAATAATACAGAACGGCGATTGAGCGCTTATGCAGGGGCGGACTGGGTACTTAAGGGCCTGGTGGAATTGCATAGGTTACAGGCCATTAAAGTATTAGTGTAGTAATGAAGGGGGGGGGGGTAGCTCTGAGGTGCACCACAAAAACAGTGCTCCTTTCTCAAAAATCAATTACCATACAGTTTTTTTTTAAATTGCAGCTGATAATTAAAAGTAACAAAATATACAATCCACACGAGGTGCGTCGCCTATCATTGTATTTCAGAACTTTCATGCTACGACAAAAAATGATAAATTCATTGTAAAACACTTCAGTTAAAACAGAATTTTTTAACAACCTAACATCAACCCCAATTAGAGAAACGTGTTAATAATTTTGAGCCCCGAAAAAAAAATTGTCTCAGATCGACCCGGAAAAAAAATTTTCTTATAGAATGTGGCCTGTAGAATCCATAATTTCAAACAGTTCCAAGATTGGGCTACTAGTTCAAAAGTTACAGCCCTTTGAATTTTTTTTCGAAATTGGTTTCTAGTCTATAACTTTTGATTGAGAAGTCTGATCGAAAAAGTACGAATTGATTTGGATTCTACGCACCCAAATTAATAAGAAAAAGTGTTTTCCCGAGAAATTTTGGTGTAGTCGATTTTTGGTAAAAAAAAGGAAGGTTATACACTGCCTTTTTTTGAGCCCCGAAGAAAAAATTGTCTCAGATCGACCCGGAAAAAAGTTTTCTTATAGAAAATTACCATATAGTTTTTTTAAATTGCAGCTGATAATTAAAAGTAACAAAATATACAATCCACAAGAGGTGCGTCGCCTATCATTTTATTCCACCACTTTCATGCTACGACAAAAAATGATAAATTCATTGTAAAACACTCCAATTAAAACAGATTTTTTTAACAATCTAATATCAACCCCAATTAGTAAAACGTGTTAATAATTTATTAATAGTGCAAGAAACTAAATACAACACATACTTATAAATTTCCAACGGGCCATTATGATCTACAGGCCAGGTGGCAACCGCCACCCGCCCCCCCGGGTCAGTCCGCCCCAGCGCTTATGGCCGTATGCACCAGAAAAGTTTAAGCGGAGCTTAGTTTAAGTGTAGCCATTGAATAATTCAATGGTGTAGCTTAATATCCATGGTATAATGATTATTGGGACAATGGTTGCCATGGATTTTAAGCTAGGCTTCAGCTAAGTTCAGCTGAAATGTTCAAGTCATATCGCAAACCGGGGTTTTACAGAATTGCGGAAGATTTTCGCAAAAAAACGAATTTTCACATGTGCAGTGCGTTCGAACTTATTTTTTACTCGTAGGTTTGAATAGATGATTTCAATTGTCTTCGTTTAAATAGAGCGCTGATGGGACTATTTTTGAAATCAGACGTGCGGCGACGGAGCTGCTACGTCACACGCGTCTTCGCCACGTGATCTACGGTATCGTTTAGCCGGTCGGCACATCTTTTACGTTTTCTTTAAATTTGTGGAGTGTAATAATAAAATAAAGTGACACAAAAGTAAAACTATAAATACGCTAAAAATTGGGACACGTCGCTCGTTTAGGCCCGTCGTGGAATAAAGCGGTGTTTTAAACGCAAAATTGTTCAGTCAAGATGGCGTCACCTTTGAATTCGAATCCAGCGTTTGCGTGATACGCTTTCGAGTTTCGTACACTTTAATTTTGAAATTATTAAGATCGCCCTTTAATATAGTCCTCAGCAACCGCGAAATTTAGTCACATCGTGCTTTTCGGTGTTCAGTAGGTCGAACAAGAAACTGGTGGCGTATTTCAAATTCATTTTGCGCACCGTTTAAAGTTTTGTGTTGAATTTGTGTGTTCACGATCAAGATTCTTAAGAGTTCGTGGCTACGTTGAATTTTTAGGGTAAGTCTATCAACTTTTAGACGTTCTCAATGGTAGTTGATACCATAACCTTAGACTATGGAAGAAAGTTCCTTCTCTAAAATAGGGATCACGTTAACCTCGAAATACTATGTAGATGCCTCGGTAGATCAATGGTTTATGATAAAACAAACACGTTTAAGTAGTACTGAATATTTTAGTGTAAATGATGTAAATCACTCAATTTGCTTATCAGCCGTTGTTGTTAGTTACTTTTATAGTCAGTCTACATGGTTTTGGATTTGTCTTACTTGTCTTTATATCAATTTTAAGCAAATATAACGTTTCATTTCACGAACCTGATGATGAAACTTGGTTGCAGAATTACGTTCCGATTCTTCATTCTCACTCTTGCACTGAGTGGGAAGTCCTATCAAATGCATTATCGTTGACCTGAAAATGTACCCCTTTCACACTGGCAAGCCTCTGCTGGTCTGGTTTGTTCACAACCACGACTTGCGCCCCACTAGAGATTATTTTTAGGTTGACTCTTTTGGCCTTTCAACATGTTGGAACAACGAGAACTTTAGAGTAAAGTTGGAATCCGAGTTATCCTGATAATCAGGGTCAAGACTGCCAGCATTAAACTCCGGTCCTTATGTGATTTATACTTACTTTTACTCTACGTACACGATAAAATCATTCATTTACTTCGTTTAAGGTGTCCAGGTATAAATAGAATATAGGTTGCTTTACCTTTCTGTGTGAGTGTTTTTTAAGCTTCCGCTTTAACTATAAGGTTAGATTTTCACATCTCTTCAAAGCTTACCCCCTTTCTACTATGCGATCAAAAATGAGTTGTGGTCAAGTCACCTTTGGAATTTTTGTTTACATGGGAAATGTTTACATGGGAAATATTTAAAGTATATATTTATTATATAACTTTGTTTCCCAATATTATATTTATATACAGTTGTTACTAATTTTTCTATAAACAAAAAAATATATATTCACCCTCCTTTTCTGAAATGTAAAAAGTAGGTGGTAATGCAAAGTTTGTTCACAAGAAAATCTTTAGAACTTACATAAACGAGTGATTATGTAAGTTTAATCATCATTTTAAACAAAATTTATCACACATACATAATTCTACGTAAAAAATGGACAACAGGATTGTACTACATAAAACTACATTTAAAATTAACTCTAAGCATAGGGAAAAAGTTGCCCCTTATATAATAAAAGTATATAACTGAAAAAATGTTAAAATCAAAGTGAGATATGCAAGAAGTCTTTTGGTGTAGATTCCACACCTCATGTCAAAAGATCCCCAATCACATAAAAACTATTCCAGCACTATTAATGAAACTTACGCCTAAAAACTAAAACACTGGAAAATTTAAATGCTTAAGTAATTAAGGGATATAGAAAAGCGATTTATCGTTTGCGCCTACAAACTTTCTTATGTTCAGTTTGCCAATGTTGCTGCTGACAAATTGGCGAACAGTACGCTGTATTCCAACAACAATGGTAGATTGCCTCTTGCTCACAGTTGTAACACTAGGAAATGAAAGCGACTAAACGAATGCCAAACATAGAAATTCACTCACCCATTGTTTCTTTTTCGTTTCGGATACTTGCGTATTATGGACATCGAACAATTTCTTGACGTACTCATCGTGCGAACTATTAATACGATCGATTTCCGCCTGCATGCATTCGAGCGCTATATTTATTAGTTGCTTCTTATAGTGGCATTGCTCCAACTTTCGTCTTGTCTAAAATTTGGTTTGGGTTAAACTATTTTTAACAGACGCTTTACCTTCTCCACAGATTCGCTATACTGACGGTCAGGTTCGGGCATAACCGGGCCATCCGAATTATCCCTCGAAGAGTTCTCCTCATTTGTCACCATTTGTTCTGTGGAGCTGGTCACTTCTTCGTGACTGTTGTCTTTGCTGTAATAACCGTTTTACAATCACAAAACAAGAGACACTTTATCGCTTACGTTAACAAGCAATCTTCGTCAGAATCAACTTTTTCTGGTTCTTCCATATCAGGAGGAATGGTGGCGGAGTTTGATGAACTTTTGCTCTGACTTCTGGAGCTGTGGGTCCGCTTGGCTCTGTTCTGATTCGAAGGTGTGTGATTTACCTTATTTGCTTTAACAGCAGGTCTTTGGAGGTGATTACAGTAACAGTAACTGTGTGGTCTTACCTTTATTCGTTGGGCTTTGAGATCGTTTTCTCTTGTGAGTCACAGACGCTTGAGCTATGAAACTATCCTCCAGGCTTGAGCGGACTGTTCAAAAATGTCATCGCTTTTCGATAGGTCTATTGTTACATTCTGCTTTTTGCCAGTATCAAGTTGCATTACTTTAACGATGGGTAGGGCCGTTTCTGATGAATTTAATGACTTTTTCTTACGATCTACTTTTGTGAGCAAACTTAAATCATTGGGATTAGATAGCATCTTTTGATGAAGGAGCAATTCGCCAACTGCCTTATTAAATGCGGAACCCTTTTTCGCCTACGGGTCAAACAATAAGATATTGCTGTCAATAAATAGTATGTTACCTGTACATCGTTTACTTTCATCGTTATCGGTTTAATGTATATTTTTTGCAAGATGGATCTTTCATATTTTCCACCAAAAAAACGAACATCACACGTATCTTCTGTTTCCTTCAATACCTACAAGTTCAAGATTTATTATTATATCAGTTTCCTTTTTTTTTGAAAATTTTTGAAAACTAGGTTTTTAGAAATTTCTATTTGATAATGTATCCCTCCAGAATCCCATTCTACAGCTATAATTCAGACTGATTCAGAGTTTAAGGGTCTTACATTTTGGGATTTTTAATTTTTCTATTAATTGATTTTTACATTTTACACAATATGTAATTCAAATTCTGAATTTGGCAATCTTGGGACATAGGATACTATTACCAACATAGATTGCGCAATGTAAAATATAAACGGAGGGCACTTGCACAATTACACGTTTATTGTCGAGTCTGACTAAAAGACTGCAATTAGCCCCTTGAGTGGAAAAGGTTATTAAATTAGTTTTTGCACTGTTACTGTTGAATATTAGTCCATTTCGGTTGCAGTAATCCGCCATTTTAACGCGCACTGGTTTGCATCTTCACCTGACGCTCGTACATTATCAGCAGTAATTAATGCTGAAGTATCATCCGGAAATCAAGTTAAACGTTTAGTGTTGTTATTGAAAGAGTCTATTAATTTAATTAAGAAAATTACAAAAAGTAAGGGACCTAAAGTACTTCCTTGAGGAACACCAATGCACACTTTCTTCTGTGACGAATTGTACTTACTACCGTCCGCCATTATAAAAACAAGCTGTGATCGTCCTGTTAAATAAGATACTATCCATTGGTAGGCAATACCCTCAAAAAGTCATTATTCCCCAAAGGAATATTTAGAGGACACATTATAAAGAAATTTGCGTTTGTATGTTCTTTTGTTATTTGTTTTTACTTTTTGTATTGTTTTGAATAAAAATTATTATTATTATTAAAGTATTAAGGTGAAATTTAATGTACAGGGTGTCCCATTAATAATGGTCACGGGCTATATCTATGGAACCGTTAATTGCACAGCTTCGGGAAAAAAAATTTGTTAACAAAAGGGGCCAAGAGAAATCGCTGGAAATTATTTTCAAGTTTCTAACTTCGCCGCTAGAGGGCGTATGGTTCATGGTTAGGTAGAAAAATAACTTTTTCCCTAAAATATACCCAACAAACATGCATAAAAAATACATGTATAGTAATCTTGTATCAATTTTGCATCATTCTGATGGAGCACAAATTGCTCTAGCTCATAAAATATGAGGAGTGGGGGAAGGAGAACATCTCTTTAAGGAATTGATTGTAACTTCGGATTAGGTTAACAGATTTTCACAAAATAGGTCTTGTTGGAAGGAGCTCTCTTCGCGGAATCAGATTTTATTAAATAGTCTTTTTAGTAAATGTAATGAGTGGTAAAGGGCGCGATGTGACATTAACATAAACTTTGCAGGTTTTTTTGGTAATTGCAAATGGAATGATATTATTATTATATGATATTATCAAATAAGGTGAAATAGTGAGAATATCAGTGAAAACCGGATTTTGATATCTGTTTTCTAACCATAGATCTGACGAAAATACGAATACATTCACAGATTTTAATTGCAATATTGATGCTCATTCAAGTTGGCTTTGAAACAAAAGAAAACAGAACAAAAGAAAGTTTATCAGTCCTTTCATTAAACGTATTCGTGCGAATTATCACCACGATGGGTGCCTGGCACATTTCTTGGTAAGCGAGAGTCGAGGCGAGAGTGTTTGAATTTGAGTTATCCTGGCAAATGGATAGAAAGAGGAAGTATTTTCTCAGGACCAGCTAGGTCACTCGACTTAACTTGCTTAGATTTAAATTTGTGTGAAAGGATAAAAGACGCACAGTCTTTCTAACACGGCCAACTACAAGAAACGATATGGTGACGAGAATTAGAAATGTAATTCATAGTCATGGCTGAAGTTAAAGCAACTGTTCTCTCTACACAGCAGAGACTCGTCTTTGTGTCGAAAATAATGGCAGACATTGAACATTTACGTTAATAATAATAATTATTTCTTTTATTATTTACTTAATTCATATTTCTCTGATTTAAAGTTTGAATCATTTTTTTGTTGCTCATAATTAAAAAACTTAGATTGAGTGTTAATTTTGAACTGCCATCGCCTCATTCACTTTGACATAATTATCGGTTGCTATGTGTTCATTTGTTTCAAATCCAATTTGGATGAATATAAATATTGCAATTAAAATTTGTGAATGTTCGTATTTTCCCCATATCTCTGCTTAGAAAACAGATATCAAAATGCGGTTTTCACTGATATTCTCACTTTTTCATCTTATTTGATAATATAATATAATAATTATATCGTTACATTTGAAATTTAAAAAAAAACTTGCAAAGTTTATGTTAATGTCACATCGCGCCCTCTACCACTCATCACGTTTACTAAATAGACTCTTTTCACGTAAAATCTGATTCCACGAAGAGAACTCTTTCCAACAAGACCTATTATGTGAAAATCTGTTAACCTAATCCGAAGTTATAATCAATTCCTTAAAGAGATGTTCCCCTTCCCCTACTCCTCATATTTCATGAGCTAGAGCAATTTGCGCTCCATCAAAATGATGCAAAATTGATACAAGATTACTATGCATGTATTTTTTATACATGTTTGTTGGGTATATTTTAGGGAAAAATCATTGTTTAAATACAAATCTAAAATGCAGTTATGGACAAATGATAACAAATATTTATGTTCCATTGAGAGCAATTTTCACATAGATTTCTTCAGTTTCTCGTGCAACACTCGTGCAGTACGAGTTTTGCCAATCGAAAACGCTATGAGATTATTAACTTTCCATGCTTTTAGTCTTCGAATTTTAAAATATGAATACTTGTGTTAATATAAAACGGAAAGAAAGGAGTCTTAGGACTCAACTTTTACAACACAGTATTTTTACTTGAAATTTTCGAAATACCTATTCTTAAAATGAGGAATTTCTATTTTTTTGGAATGGCCACTTTGAATTGAATTCTGCAGTCCTTTAAATCTAAACTATACCTACTCTAAGTGGGTATTCTTAATCTCAGGGCATTCATAGTATTTATTCCAAAATTATTAGGACCTTACAATCTTGCAAAAAAGGTCTTAGTCACCTGTGTTTTAAACAAGTGAGAGCCAAACTAGCACACGATTAAAAAATAAACAAACTCTCTTGCAAATGTGTAGTATTATGGCTATTTTCTAGATTGAAATGAAATATTTCTTTTTTATTATGATTAATTTATGGTTTTTTATTTGCAAATGACCATCAACCAAATTAAAATTAAAATAACATGACGATTTTATTTTGAAATTCACGATACTGGATCAAAGTATGTCATATCGTACCTTTGCCGGCCAGTACGGATAGCCTTTCTGTTTAGCCCAGACAAGCTTATGAGGCACTCTGCATGGTAAACAAAACCATTTATTGTTAATTTTCTCGTTACTATGCTTGTAACAATCGAGACAATTGGATAATTCCACTAAATCGTGGCGACAATCCTCCAACATATATTCAGAAGCGCCGTATTCCTGAGATTCAACTGAAAGAAATGTCATAAAATACGATCAGTTATGTAGCCACCCGATACTCACTGCCGTGATATATCGCCACATTATGCTGTATGGTTAAAACATCCGCCTTGAACGCAACCAGATACTCGTATTGCTTCTGTTTTATCTTATTTTCAATAACGATCATATTCATAGGAGTTCGAAATAATTGCTTCACTCTCCAATTAATTTCGACATCATTCATCCATTCGGGCTTAGGTTCCATCGACATTGAATCAGTAATGGATGCGGGCAGCTGCAATGGACGTGACTACAACCTTGCAAATTCATCAGCCGCTACTTACCCACGCTTTAATCCGCGTATGTACAAACGATAACAAATAATTCAGTTCTTCCTTATCAATATTAGATCTCGGTTCCAATTTGCACATATTGCATATGCTGCATAATGACGAATCGTATTCGGTTTGATTTTCCTCGCGCATCAATAAGCTAATGTAATTAGTTGCACTTGTTTCATTATCGGATTGTTTATCAACCTTATTGTGTTTGTTATTGTTTACAGGGGCATCATTGTCGTTGGTAATATCGATAACGTCATTAATGCCCTTCAAATCTATTGAAACCTCTTTACTGCCGACGGTGCCATTTCGGATGTAGATATTTTGCTTTTTGTTAGCGCATTCCATATGATAAACTCTGAAGCATACGCGACATTCGATAACGTCGCCGGCTAAGTGACAGTCTATGCAGTACCAATCTTTACCGTCATCCAATAACTGGGAGAACATTTTAGAAGACGAAAAGGAAATGATAACTTACCAGCGGGAGTTCATAATTTGGTATTTTATAACTTTCGACTTGAAGACCTACTTTTGCACCTTTAACTGTCGTCTTATTTAAGTTGCTAAAACAGAGACGTTAGAAATGAAATTAGTCGGTAGAGGGAGCATTACAGAACGAGGCCATCTTCGAGACTTTGCTTTAAGTATAGTTCAGCTTGAGCTGTTGTACAATAGTCATTACGTTGGAGGTATTTGATGATACGTTGAAAATCGGCCATCTGCTTTTGGGAGTTTGCAGAACGTATCGCGTCCCAAACATATTGCAGAGGTTTAGGATCAGTTGATCTTCTTACGGGCATCCTGAAAAAATTCGTCGGTTTGATGAGTAGGAAAATAACGCCAATAGATTTTTGCGCATTTTATTTTCATTAAAAAATTTGTGCCGCAGGTATTTCGAAGAAGTTTTTAATTTCATAAAAATTTTGAAAAAGGAACAAAAGCAAAAAAATAAACAAATAGTTACATAAATAAAATTGTTATCGGGTGTGAAAATATTGTTTTTAAAAATAGGATTAGTACAGAAAAATTTAATTTTGCCAAAATTGTGGATATGCTCTTATGTTTTTGGTCATTACATTTAAGTACAAGGCAAGTTTTTTCTTTGTCTTATTCTTTTATTTTATTGACTAGTAACGCTTGTACCATCATAGCACCGTTCTCAAATTTTAATTTTTTTTATTTTTTATTTAATTTGTGTGCCTCGACTACTAGTGGCCATTGGCACGTCTACAAGTACCTTTACTTACAATGCACGTATTCTAATAATATTTCGCTTATTAGACTATTATATAAAATTGTACAAGTTTGTATCTCTTAGAAAGTTTAGTACGTTTATAATACTTTTCGGTAATGAGAGGTCTTTTTTAAGGTCCATTCCAATATGGTATTTGCTTCGGATTTCCAATTGCAGTGGACACTGTGAGAGGAAGTGGTTCACGGACAAAGGCTCGTTGCATTCACTTTTAAAAGTCTGTTTAGTTCCGGATTGCGTATTAAAATATGCCATCTCCAAATTACCTCAGTTTTGTTCTGGTATTATTAATCTTGAGCATGTAATTCTTTTGTTATTGGAACAAAAAGTGTTTTTTATTTTATGCAAGGATTGTGTAAAACACAGGCGGCTAATACTTAAACAAAAGAAGACAGACGAACTGCCGGGAAGTTTAAAACAGTAATAATTCCTTTGTCTTTAGAAGAAAAATCAAAATTTTTTTTGTATAACCTTTTTTTTACAACTTTTCTATCTATTATTAAGTAAAATGCGAGGAAAAATGTTCAACTTTTCAGTATATTTCAACTTATTTCTTTTTTTGTTTAAAGTATTGGACGTCTGCGTTTTATGTAATTGTTTATTTCTTCAGCGTGAAACAATTTGTCAGGGTTGATCTTGATTGTCCCTATTGGAAAACTGTAAATTAATTCATGTACTCATTAGCTACCAGAAAACTGTTAGAGGCAATTGTCATATCACTAAAATGGCAATAGAGGTACCCCCATTATGATAAACAGGAACAGTTATAAAGGGTATAACTTCATTTAATTGTTAGTGTTGATTAAAAATGTACAAAATCTACTTTGTGTCAGGTGTGGTTTTGGTGTTAACAGCTTTCTGCGTTTTTTTCTATTCGTTATACAGGAAAATTAACAAAAGTGAAAAGTTAACAATAAGTGCTACATTTCAATTTATTGCCACTATGCTTTTGGGTATATTTTATATTTATACAGACGTGTGCATTAACCAAAAGCACATGATACCACTTGCAAGTGATACAAACACCACAGTGGAAGCATTCATGGTACAATATTATAAATTTATAAGAACCACGGATGATAAATGTACCAAGCACAACTATTTACAAGAAACGATCTTAACATACTCCTTTATCCATGGAATTGTTGCATATCCGATCTCAATGTGTATGAATTGTGGAGAAGTGGCTGTGAAGCTTAAAAAACAATTGCTATACTCAACGATGTGGTTTTTACCTGTGAGCGCTGCAACGCTTTTCTACTGCTTAACAGCTCCACAAGAGGGAGCACTTGTACCACCGCTAGTCTCACCGAACAACATACGAATTAGGAACACGGAAATGGAGGAGCAAATCAACGTGACCATTACGAAAATCTATGAGATAGTCTCAAATACAAGTCGGTTGAATTTTCCGACTCAACATTACGATTTGATCAAGTGTGGACCGAATCAAAGTTACGATTTTGCAATGAAAGTGTACACTTTTATTTTGTACAACATCGGATACTTTCTGATTTTATCTTATGCATTAATCAAGTATGGGAAATACTCCGGCTTAAATGTGAAACAGTTTCGCGTATCAATAGCGGCCTTGCTGCTTTGGTTACCCACAGTATTACAGACAATAATAAGAATTTTCTTAAAAGGGACATCGGCCGATTTAGAGGATGAAGTAATGCTATCGCTAAGTAGTATCAGCCACATTCTCGAAAATGTCAACACCATATTACCTCAAAATAGAGTAAATAGTGATAAAAGCCAAACTGATCGTGAAAATGTATAGTTGTTTACATAAACACGCTTGTAATCACATAGATAAGCACTTACGTTTTCGACAAAAAAAAAATCTATTGTTGCCTATATTTATATTAGAAGAATGTGTGAAGAAAGACTTCGGAAAACACGTCCTTTATGCAATAAATGATAACGAAAACACATATCACAGCACTAGACTGCTTGCACTTGCATATAGCTCATTACTTTTCATATCTCTTCCCACCATTTTGTTTTACAATAGGGCCAACACACTTGCATTTAAAGCAAAATGTGACTCCCAAAATGCGCTGGCGTCACATGTGTCACAGTGACATTTCAAAACAACTATAAACAAAACATACAAATGCCAAATACATAATGTAAAACATTTTATTTCATACTGCTTTCTTTTCTGTTAAAAACCATACAAGTTTTGATTAGAATGTTGTACACCTTCAAATAAAAGCAAAAGTCGATGACAGATGATTTATGATTATTGTTTGATCTATGATTTAAGTAGTGTGCCTTGGTAGGTCTTATTAGTGCCAATCAATAATCATAGAGGTATAATTAAGATATTGCAATTTTAAAGCATTCAACAAATGTAATGTACACTAGGAAGGTCTTATATGTGTACCTTTGGCTTAGCCACAAGACGTAAGCGCTATTTTAACATAGTTTGCCCAGTTTCTTTTTAAAAAGCAACCCCTTCAACAAAGCGATAATTATTTCATTGATAAGGGATCATGTTTAGATCGAGATGCTATGCAAGTGATATCGCATAGTTTTTCACTTTTAAGGCTAAAGGCATTCCTCTCTTCTTACAAATATTACCCAAAAATGCGGACTACCGGTACTACTCCAAAATAGCACCAAACCATGGATGGTATGGTAAATTAAAAATAATTGGCAACCCTGTTCTTAATCTTATTCTGAAAATAGAATTAAAAACCTATCCCGTTCTTTCAATATTGCTAAGCGATATTTTTATATAAATTACATTACTTTCGCCGAAGGGTTTCTATTTTCAACATACACATTTCGTTGAGACTGAGCAGCTCCTATAAATCGTTTACAATATTGACAATTAATTTATAGGTTAGGTTTTCCCCACAACAAAATGTCATTAAATCCCAAAACCTACATTAGCGATTTACGTATAGCGGTAATATGCTCGAGTAACATGAATCGTAGCATGGAGGCGCACGCCTTTCTTGCTAAAAAAGGTTTCTACGTTAAATCGTACGGTACGGGAGATAAAGTTAAGATACCCGGCTCGGCGGTTGACAAACCGAACGTATATGATTTCGGCGTTTCGTATGACGAAATTTACACGGATTTGCTAGCGAAAGATCAGGCTTTGTATCCTTTAATTCGTTCCAAATGCGAGTAATGCCAAATTTCTTTTAACACCGATTAGATACACCCAAAATGGTCTTTTACACACTTTAGATAGGAATAGAAGAATAAAGACTCATCCCGAACGATTCCAAGAATGCGGCGATAAGTTCGATATACTAATAACCTGCGAAGAAAGAGTCTATGATCAAGTTTTAGAATACATGGAGAACAAAGCTCCTTCGGATAACTCGATAGTACATGTAATCAACATCGATATACAGGATAATCTCGAGGAAGCTACAATTGGGGCCTTTTTGATAAGTGATATGTGCATAATGGTAATTACCGATAAGTAATCTATAACTACATTTCACTAACTTTAGATGGCAAAGAGCGAAGATCTCGACAATGATATCGATGAAGTTTTACACAGTTTCGAAGAGAAATGCGAGCGGCCAATTTTACACAGCATTGCCTTTAATTAGTCGACTTTAGTTTCCTATTTAATTTAAATGAAAGCTATATTGTATGAAAGGTTTGTATTTCGTAATTTATATACATTTTAAAATGGTACAATTAATAAAGTGGGATTTTTAATGTTTATCCAAATGTATGTAGAGCTTCCTTAGCTTCTCCCGTTTGTTTTTATTTTTGTGCCTGTTCTCTTGTTTCCACGGTTTTGAATTTTCCACATTTCCATTTGATGAACTGCAATTAAGAGAATCTATTCAAACATAAAACATAATTAAGTCTAATAATTGTACTGTCTCATGCACCCTTAATAGAAAACTATGTATAAAAAATATATACCTAATTAAAGTGCGCTCTTTTTTTTAAATAAAAACTGAACTAAATTGTGTACTGTGTAAATATATCCCAGTTTAGTTTTTAGATGAAATTAAAAATGTTCAGGATACCTTTTATTGAATATCCATTTGATTATAAATTTTATTACAATTAGAAAAAATCATTACTTTAAAAAATCAAAAATTCCTCATAGTTTTAATGGGTCACCATCATTAACACACGTATCAATTTTCAGGCTGTATGCCCAGTTTCAAAAAAAGGATATCGATTGATCGATGATTAATTAATCAATGATTTTAAATATTAGAATAACATGTTTAAAATGCTATTTTTAGTCATTGATCAAATACTGGATTAAGAAAATCTAGTGATTGAACTTGTCGTTAAATGATCTAAACTAGAGCAACGCACAAGTCTTCGATTACAGAAATAAACTAATTGCATTAACTACAATGATTCAATTACTTTGAATGTATTTTTGTCTGCTTGAATATTCTTAACGTACTTTCGCACGGACGCGTAAACTTTAATATTCGTTTTTATCAATTTTAATTCCATATTAAGCGTCATATTTTTCTATTATAATCATTTGGCAAAAATGACAGTACCAACTAAGTGCTTCATCCTCAGTTGGAATTTTAAATTTTACCAATAATGATAAGAAAACGATCATTAATAGTATGTACTGCAAATAGAAAAAACCGACAACAGACCACAATTTTATTTTTAATTTACACAAATTTTGTTGCTTCCTGGAGAAAACTCTAACTTTTCCAAGAAAATAATTAAGCAGATTTCCTACTTTTACATAGAAAAATTAAAAAATGATAGCGGCAATCAAGGAAAAATGAGTTAGCTTTGATACATAACAAAATAAAAAAAAAATTAGTTGATTCAGTACCGAGCCAAAGGTAAAGATTCTTCTAACATAAACTATTATTTTGATTACTACATATTTTCTATGTATAATTATTTATCACATAATTATCGACTACAAATTTAAAAAAAGACATACCTTCCCGATAATATCTCAGTGGATTTCCCTTTAACGTGAGCACCATTCGATTGCAAATTGAAGAAAGTCTTATCAATATCTTGAGGTGTGGCTCTCAATGACTGAAATGGGTAATTAAATTGCGGCTTTTCAATCTAGACAATTTACCCTAATGGCACGTGCTTCTTGAGGAGGCAGAACACGATTAGCTTTGACAAGTCTTTGACGCTTTGGCCACGTGTGATAAATATTCTGATCAACACCCGGAGGCGCATGGGAGTATAACAATTTTCCATTAACAAAATCTTTGAGTATATAACGAGCGGCACGAGGATTGTCTGGTTGCCCATTTGACGTCATAAAACCTCTATTATCTGTAAGAAATGCGTGAGAGTTACTGCCAATGGGTATAAACACAATTTGTATACATTACAGCCATATGCATTAAGAAGCTCCTCTGCAGTTGGGCCTCGGTTTTGATCTTCACACTCCATCGGCAAAGGTAGCATTAATCCGTACTTGTCTTCAAAAATGTGCCTCGGAATTAAACTAGTTATCAAATTAATGGGAGGAACATGATCACGCATTTGATCTATTGGCAAAATTCCGTTAATTATCATCTCTGCCTTCGTGTAGACAAAGGATGGCATGACAAGTCCCGGGCAGTCGCACAGTAAAAGGTCATCGTCAAGAAAAAGAGTTTGAAAGTGCTTGGTTTTTCCAGGAGTGGCCGATACGGACACCTTTTTTGCACATAAAAGTGCATTAATCGTGGAGCTTTTGCCTACATTTGGGTATCCCACTAAGCCGATTGTGGACAAATTTTTGGTTACCCTTTCTCCCTTATGGAAAGTTTTGAAAAATTCGATTAAGCCATCTCGTGATAAAATTGCGCTCGAATTACTAATTTGCGGTTGTTCATCTAACATCTCTTCTATTTTCTTTGAAATGCGATTTATCTCTTGAGCACTGCATTCCACTGCATGTTCAAGTTTTTGAACAGACTTGTGTAAGTCTGCCAGAGACTTTTCAACATGTTCTTCTTCTTCACTACTTTCATCTTCACATTCCTCATTTTCAGATGATGACTCCTCAATTTCAGCTGATGTGGGCACCGTAATCGCCGAAAAAAATACAACATGCACACCTAGCGAGGAAAAATAGTCAGCCCAAAATTGCCGCTGCTCGCTTGTTAAAAAATCGGCCTTATTAATAAGAATTAGATTTAATTTATCTTTGGACACTTCCGTTACGTATTTTTCCAAGTCATCACAACGGAACAGTAACGGATTTCTGGCATCTACAATTTGTACAATGACATCACTCCGCTCAATGACCCTCCACAACTGCCTCCAAAACTCCAAATTTTTCTCAAAAGGAGTCAACAGCACGCCTTGTTTTTCTTGTAAATCCGCCAATGTGCGACGCCACGTTAAAAAGTGCTCCCGTTCATTCTGATCCAACTCGTCAGCGCCCATATCTTTAGTCCACGCCGGTCGTCTCGGAATCGTGATCAACTCCCTGTTTTTTTCTTGCGACTCATTTACTGCTCGCTTTTCTTCTTCGGTTAACAGACCGACATTCACTTTCGGATTAATGAACTTTATGTTCAGTTTCTCCGCTTGAAATTCGGTACCCGCCAGTTCGGCGGTGGCCAAAAATTCTTGAAAGGACGATTCTTCGGTTACCGATTGTAAATTTAACCTTCCCCAGTCGTATCCATCCTGAACCTCCGTGGTGTGAAGCTGAAAATTGGAAAAATTGCTTTCTACTTTTGAATTCGAGGTTATTTTACCATGGACTTGTCGCCTACGAATTTTCTCGCTTTGGGGCCCCCAAAGCGATCCTTAATTAGAGCTCGTCCCAAATCCGAGTTAATTTTCTGCTTCTTTCCCATTTTAAATTACAACTAAACACCTACATTCGTTAATCTTTTTATCAAAACTGTAACATGAATTACAATTAACACGTGCTCTTGTTGATAGATTCAAACCAGTGCCGGAACGGAATAAGGAGAAATACATTTTTTAATCAATTGTTCAATATAAGGTAAATTCACAGATTCATCTGGACATTCGAGCGAGTTGCCAGATCTAACTAGGATTTTACAGATCTTTTTGGAAATTTAAAAATTTATCTAAAAATTAATGCGTAGAGGAAATTAGTGCCTACCAAATAATTTTTGTTCGATGATTCTTCTACACGTGTCCTCTCCGGTCTTCTGATTTAGGTACCTATGTTAAAACAAATTCTCATCATAAGGAAATTACAATTCATAAAATTAACAGGCGATCAAAAAAGGAGGAAAAGTTGTTGTTTTGGGGTTAGGGCCCAAGGGCTAAAGCCAGCACTGATTCAAACCACACTACATCTTTTATTTAATTCAACAAATCAACAAGACAAGACAAACTCAACTCACCGAACATTAACCTTTGCATGTAGAAGTGGATTGATTTAACCTCCCCCACAGACACAATAGTCCATATAAATCCAACCTACAAGTCCAAATTATTTATTTGTGCCTTTAAGCGATGTTTACACACATTTTTATACTATTTCCAATTTTGTTCATATCAGTGGTTGGCGAGCCGGATTTCAAAGTATGGGGGCCCGGCTTGAAGCCTCACACCATTGTAATGCCGGCTCGCTACTTTTTCCTTCAAAGCTTTAATGAAAGGTACCTATAATGCGAATCGCACAGTTCATTCAAATTAACATTTTAGTTGTAATTTAAAAGATTTGGATGTAGAAATCGAGGGTACCTCCCCTGAAAATCAACGGTGTAGAATTTGGAAGAATATTCTGTACACGCATAATTGCCTGTTCATAATAAGGTACAAATTGTACAACACTTGTGACAATCTAAGAATCAGTATTAAATACGGCGATCGGGAGCAAACGTATGAAATAAAAACTCGGGTTTATCCAGAAGACTGTAACTGTCCCAGGAAAGACGTTGGTCATTGGTTAAAAGATTGGAACTGTGGTTCGGTTCCAAAGCAAATACTTAAGGATCTGGCTATGTTTAAAACGGTCAACTTTGATACCCTGCGAGAAAAAGTGAGTGCATTATTTCCACCGTTTTGTGATAAATTCCCATTAGATTCTAGAAAAGTACAACCAACCGGGTGCAATCAGCTTATGCCATTATGTGGTGAAGAGCAACAACCTATACCGGCGTTGTTACGGAAAGTATGTGGGGTTTAAAATGTTTATGGATAGCATACTGCTTTCACTATCGCGCAAATTCCTACTTCCGGATATTGAGTTTTTCGTTAACTTAGGCGATTGGCCTTTGGTTAAAGATGCAAAAGACAGCTTTCCCATATTCTCATGGTCCGGTAGTACGGATACTTTCGACATAGTAATGCCTACATATGACTTGACAGAGTCGACTCTAGAAAATATGGGCAGGTTTGTACGATGGAGCACATACTAAGGGTGTTATTAAAAATTGTTGTAGAGTGATGTTGGATATGTTATCTGTGCAAGGTAATGTTGATTTCCAATGGGAGGACAGAATCTCCAAAGTATTCTGGAGAGGGAGAGATTCCAATCGTGAACGATTACATTTAATTACCCTTTCAAGAGAATACCCTCATTTATTCAACGTATCCTTGACTAATTTCTTTTTTTTCCGCGATGAAGAGGACAAGTATGGGCCAAAGACAGAGCATGTATCATTTTTTAAATTTTTTGAGGTAATTACTTATTCTTCAATTTATCTTGTACCTAAATTGGAAGTTGCAGTACAAATACCAAGTGTGTATTGACGGTACCGTTGCCGCATACCGTTTACCGTACCTTTTAGGGGGAGGCTCCTTGTTATTCAAGCAAGAATCAAAATACTACGAACACTTTTACAACGATCTTATTCCCAACACCCATTTCATGACAGTTAAGCGTGATTTGTCAGATTTAGTAGAAAAAGTTAATTGGGCGGTCGCAAATGACGATAAAGCTAAAGAAATAGCGAATGCGGGACGGTCCTTTGCCATTGAAAATCTTCTACCAAAAAATATATTTTGCTATCATGCCTTTTTATTGAATGAGTTTTCTAAAAGACTTACAAGTAAAATTACAGTATTAAACGATATGGAATTGGTAGAGAATACGTCTGGTGACTGTCACTGTGATAAAACTAATAAAGATGAATTGTAATATTCCATTATTTTTTGTACGTATGTTCTACGTTATTTAAGATTAAATCTAATTCATGAAGGAGTTCTCGTTTAACAGAATCTGGTACCATAGCTCTCGCCGACGGTGTGGTAGCGGCTATAAGTTCATCCAGTGAAGTTACGTTATCATTCTCTTCAAATACTTTACGACATGCTAAATGCACCTGATCACGCCATCCACATTCCACTAATCTTCGACGTACTAACTCTGAAACTCTGTTTTTCAGTCGAGTGATTGACCATAATGAGCAACGGCTCTTACCTATCAATATCACGTTTATCTTCTAAAACCGCGTACAAAGCATCCCCTTGACGTGTAGACATTCTTTAATGTTTATTTAATATTTTAATTAACAATAACAAGAAATCTGACTCTAACCCTATTTTGCTATTAATTTTTTTTAGGTAAATTGTTGAAACAACAAAAATTAGGGACGTTGGAAAAACAGTTTGACGTAGTTGCCAAATGTCAAATACAATTGACAACATCGTTGAGTCTGGAAGAACACAATTAAAATTTTTACCAAACTTCAAAGAGCATATGAAAAAATCTAGCTTAACCTTCAAATAAAAATCTTATTCAATATAAATAAATTCAATTGTAGGAAGAAATTATACTGGATTTTCTGAATAAGGTCTCTATTCAATTGTTTGGGGGAACTAGTCATAAATACTAATTTTATTTGAAAAAAATGTTGGGTTCTCTCCCACCAAAATTTTTTAAATATAGCTACATCCTGTATATAGTAGTCTTTAAAATTGTTAGGCAGTTATATATTTGATTATGTAGGAATTTCTTTGCACAAGTAGTGCAGAGTACGTTTTTAGACCATGAGACACTTGGTTTAGAATGTTGAAGAAAATAAATAAAATATGCACTTTATTTGCAATATTAAAATTTCATAATTTTGTTATTTTCTAAACCAGAAATATATTACTATGTTTAAAATTATACTTATAAAATAACACATTAACTTCATCGAAATGAAGAAAGATAATAAACAAATACAAATAATACATTCGCACTTAACACTATTGACGGAATTATGATAGTCGAGATATCGTTATCTACAATCACCTATAACTAAAATGTACATTGATAACGATATATCTTCTAAACGAATTATTAACATCTTATTCTTACGACTTTTCGCGCTTTTTAAAGTTGCGTTTACTGGCACAGCGGCTTATAATATCGGTCACGTGTATCTTATGGTCAAATATTTTCATTATTTGTGTTTTCGCTTCAATCATTCCATCGTTGATGATTTTAATGCGTTGTAAGTTTCCCTGAAATTTTTCAATTATTAATTGAAATTAGGGGAGACAGTTACCTTAATAAGCTCATTAATGCGATTTAGATCTTTGTCAAAGCCGTTTCCCTCTTCTGCCTCTGTGTCTTTCAGCAAATCTCGAAGTTGATTATAAACATGTTGTTCTTGATCCGCCTGTGTGGATGAAAGTTTTAACGGAAAAGTTACATAGTGTGACAACTTAAACTAGCACTATTGCTAGCTTTTGTATTTTTTAAGCTACACAGTTGGATAATGAGCCAAGGATTACAATGATCAAATCATAAAACAATTCACTATCAGGTTATAAATATTTCTTGAATTTTTAATTTAAATTAACAAATTTTCGAGCAATTTGATAATCATCCCTTGGTTTGTAATTTTAGTTAGTAAGAAAAACATTATTTTGCTGAATCTCTTTATAACGTTTTTATTGTAGTCTCCATTGGCCCCAATATTAGGAACGTTACCAATAGTGCTGGCTTAAGTTGGAGCACCTTCAAGCTTACCAAATCTTCCATTTGAGTTGACAAATGATGTACTTTCCATCCGTTAACTTTGTCAAGCACACGATATTGATTTGAGAGATCCATTATAGTGGGACGGCGTTCATCTTTCGGTTTCACATCGCTATATCTCAAATAATGATTGTGGGTGGCTTTCCACGTTTGCCTGTAGCTGTTAAGTAGACTAACGCCGGCAGGTTTACGTAAAATGCGACGAGTTTCGGCGGCAGTCTCTTCTCTAGCCGGATCCGAACGATTGCCGTCTGATTCCGGCTCTTTCTTCACATTCGTTTCCGATATGAATTGCATATCTTCGTGCATGTTTTCGTCGATATCATTGCCGGTTCTACAAAATTTAGATTAGATTATAGACACGAAACGGATGACTTACAGTTGTTGTTTTCTCGGTTTTTTACGGGGGCTCATTTCGGGAGGCGGACGAGCATTTTCTTCTTCTTTGATGTTTAGCGGAATATGCGGCATGCTGTCCTCGTTTGTCTCTGCTAAACCTGGACTAGATGTTGCCGATATTGTCGTACTTCCTCCTATTAAATAGTATTGTATATGAATGGATACTTTTGTGAACATTTTACCGGAACTGTTGCCATTTCCTCCTGAATCTGGACGTGAAGGAGGTGAAATAGGCGCTTGCGGTTGTATGGGTAAAATACCAAGTTGGGGTGCTAAATTTTTGGCTGCCTTTAGAGGGGATCCTTCGTGGTCTCGTTTACGTAAGATGCTCGGACGAGGCGATGACGTAATCTTCGTGGTTGGCGTTTGCGTATTTTGCTCTTGAGACACTTCCATGGCTTGTTGATTAAATTGCGTCATGCGATTTTGGTCGACGACCATAATCGGATTAAACCTCATCGGCTGATTTGACATGATCCCTAAAGCACAGAGGTTGTTGAACGAGGAAAATAAAGCCTAAGGATCTTTAGTTACCGTGTACTTGCGTTGCACGTATTTGTGGAGCGTTCGATTGAGGCACTGTCGTGAATGACGACTGCTGACTAAAAGGGCGCGCTACGGAGTACGTACCGGAGGCATCATAGAAGTAGGTACCACTTGTTAGTGGATAGGTTGATAAAGATGATGTGGATACAGCCGTTGTTTGAGTAATAGGTGTTGGGCCTATAAATTATTTTGACAATTGAACTAAGGTAACTAGATTTTGCCATTTTAAAATTTTTTTGTTCTGGAGTACCGGATAAAATTTAACTATTTGTCAGGTAAACTCCAAAAAAAATAGTAATGAACTTTTTTGTAGTGTTCTTTAAGCCATTTTGGCCAGTGTATGCAAAAAAATTTTAAAAAATTTTTTCAAGCCGTTATGGCTAAACTTTTGACATCCTCAATAACCATGAAGATGGTCCAAATCGGTCCAGGGTTTTAGTTATCGCGTTCACAAAAAACGAGCTACATACCCACACACAGACGTCAAGCTAAAAATATAAATAAACTTTTTTGGGGTCTGTGGGTTTCAAAAACGTCCAGAAAACGAAATATTGGCATATCAAAAATTTATCACAATACTTTATACATACATCGTATGTCGTCAGAAAGTAAAAAAGAAGGGAGAGAAATTGAGGGTGATGCAGGAACGATATAATTACCTGGAGAAGACTTTCTTGGAACGGAAGCCATCGGAGTGTGTATAAATATATTAGTTGTAGCCTGATTTGACTGATTATCAACTGATTGCGGAAACACTTTTGATATTGCAACTGCCTGAGTGGCACCGGCTGTAATGGGCCTCTGCGTAACCATATTAGCTTGCTGTACACTTACTGCAACATCAAAAAGGATATAGAATTACACTTCTGTTTTGTGGAATGATTAAACTGTACAAATAAATTACAGTCATAAGAATTTCTAAGATTTTCTTGTTCTGGTGCTTGATTTTTTGATTTAATGTTCATTCTCAAATCTTTACACTTGAGAAGAAAGTGCTTTTCAACTCTCAACTCAACTCATTGCTTTGTTACACTGCAGTTTCTTATCTATTTATGATTCAGACTACTGAAAATAGGTAATGCTTAATGCACAAAATGTACTTAACACCGATTTTTTTTCTGTGGAATTCGCATCAATTATAATGAAATTATCAGAATTACAAACTTACTCGTTCTTGTAGTAGTAGCAATTGGATTAGGTTTCATAACAGATGACATCTGAGGTATTGAAACTGTATTGCCTAAAACTATCTGTAAAAATTTGCACGCGCTTTACCGAAACAATATTACCTTGCACCGGCTGTGCTATGACCTTAGCCGTTTGGGCCTGTATCGTTCGCGGTTGTGCATTATTAGCAACGGCAACTAACGGATGCAGCGATAGCGTCGATATTCTAGTCTGACCCAATACATTTACGCTGCTCACTTGTGTAGGTGCACTTGTTACGCTAACAGACAGTCGGCCAAGTGTCACCGTTGACTGGGTTGTTGATACAATTCTCGGAGGTGTAGGTTGTTGCGTCGTCGGTACAGTTGAAATTCTCGCTCCTGTTGTCAAGACTGTTCCTTGTGGCGCCACTAACCGAGTCGATCCTCCTTGACTGACTATCGGCATAGTCAAACGAGCCGTTGTCACCTGAGCCTACAACAGATAATGTGTTGTATTTATGCAAAGAAACAACTTTCTGCACTTGAAGAAGAATAGTGATTTGTGCAACTAGAAGAAGGTGGAGAAAAACACTTTCTTCTCAAGTTTTACACATATTTTCAGAAACACATAGCAATCTAGATGCAGGTATGTTTCAATTTAAAATGTCATTATTAAGATTAATGTAGCAATTGTTTTCACTTTCCTCACTAGAGAGGAAAATCACACTTTCTTCACCCTTTTCAAAGAAGGTTTCTAAAGTAATTTCAGAAAAAAATTTACTATTCAATCAGAAATTAATAGACCGAAAGGGCAAATATGAAAATGAGAAATTTTTTTCGTAATCAAATGGGAGGTCTAAGGTAAATGAAACACCCTTTTTAAGTGCCAAATCAAAATCTCGGATCCGTGAGCATCAAAAGTCTGTTTAAACATATTGGCTTGACCGATAAATTATGTATAAACATACTCTACTTACTTTAGAAGTTGTCGATAGCCGATTTTGTATAGTGCTAGCTATGGTTAAACGTGGAGCCGAAGTAAACTGCGTCCCATTTGTGCTGTACACGAGCGTTTGAGTCCTTGAAGGAATCACCTGGGCTAAGGTTACGGTGCTACCGAGAGTTTGAATAGCAGTCGCGCCTTGATTGGGTTTGAATGAGTGAAGCTGAGCTCCTTGTCCGATAGTTATGGCAGAATGCAGGATTGTGGCAGTCGTTGGCCTAATTGTGGAAGTGGTTTGTGAGAGCGGTTGCGCCCTGGTTAATAATTGGGGTTTGGCAAGAGTGCCGGAGACGGTCGCACCTCGTACGGGTGGACTTAAAACTGTCGGTGCTCCTTTGATTTGAGAACCATTAGACGAACTCGTCAACCATGCGGTACCCTGAGCAGGGCTAGGTGCACGAGGTGGTCGAATGAAGGCCTGTTGCTAACAAACATGAAAATATAAAGATATTGTAACGTAGGCTTTGATTAGCCACATTTAGACTTCCACTTTAAAACTCAAATTGAAGATTTAAACTACGAATTTGGTGTTTAAAGGGTGAAGTCACGATTTGACATTAAATTAAACTCGACCAAATCTAATGTAGCTCTCTTTGCCTTTATACATACATTAGCCTGTGCAGTGACGACCATCGGAGTACGAATCGAGCCAACAACGTTACTGCGAGGAGCTGCCAGGTTGGCCACTACTGCCGGCCCTCGAGGCACATGGTAAGTATTTTGAGAAACTACAGGAAGTGAGGATGCAACAACGGGCAACGAAGCGGCCAATGTAATTTGTGCAGGTCGTTGTAAGGTGATAGAAGCAGTCCCCGGTGTGCTAACGGCGTGTGCTCTACTGGTATCACCTGCAATAATAACATTCTTAAAGATTGTTTCCACTGCACTCTACACTTACATTGCTTCAAAACCTGCGGAACAATGTTTGTGGTAATAATAGCGGGCGTTACCACTGACGTTTGACCAGAATTACCGCTAGCCGGTTGTGTTAACACCCTCATATTCCTCAGAGGTTGCCCTGTCATAACCAAAGGAGTTTTACCGTCCATTGTCTTTACGGTGGCTATTTTTGCAGCCAAATCTAACGGAAACGCTTTGGGGGCTTCAGATTTTTCATCTTCCGTAGTTCCACTCATGTTAAATAGGAATTATGTGAAAGTTAAACGCGTTAGCATCTGTTTATGAAAATGAAATTTGAAAATAACTTTTTTTGTATAATTTTTATACAAATGGGACTTAAAACAACTACAGTTTATACACGAACATTAAAAAATATATTATGGGATTAATAAAACTCCAAATGTGACTATAATTAAACGACTTTATTAAACCCATCGCTAATTTCACAGTTTCAACTTTAAAATTTTAGTAGACCTTCTACATAAAACTACGAATGCTACGAAGGACGAGAAAATCGTGCAACGTCTGCGCAGATGCTCTTTTTTGCAGTCTGCGCAGATAGCTACGATGCGCTATTTCTTTTTGGACAGAGACGAAAAATTGGCGTGACGCCACAATGGCCGCATTCGGCGTTATTGTCGTAACGTTCTCAGGACGCATTCGGCTGTACGTCTTTATATACTTGGCGTCTCAAATCGTAACCAAAATTATAAAACTGTTGGTATAGACTTGTACGAAATGAAATGCAGGTAACTAATTTTAATGAACTTGTAGCACTTCTCAAGAAAGGAAATACAAAGAGGACTTTTGAGCTGTGCTTTCTTTGATAATTGAATCGTTTGATTTATTTCTGTTCGCGGTGTTGGATATTTCTACTTTACAATAAGTTAGTGCCGCTTTATATTTTCCTGTATGTGCTTATCTTCGAACACAGCGCCATCTACGACCGTTTTATAATGAATTAGGTGAATTAATTTGAAAAGAGCCCCCTTTGGGATACGCCACTGTTTAAATGTTACCTTCACGTTGAATAGCAACAGAATGACATCTATGCTATGAAGTTAGTTAATTCGACATTTTTGCAGCTAAATGCTAATGTAATCACATGTACGTACTCCAAAAAAAAGGTGATAAAGTGCTGTTAAGTGTACAAGTTTATAGCGGTTTATTTCTAGTACTCTATTTAAATTAGAGATGCAAAATGAAATGCATCGGTAATGTAATATGCGTCTTAAAGTGTTGGTAAATATGGGATGGTAGCTACACTACAAATCGTTAAATGTGCACGTTTTATCATCGCCTGCGCAATGCAGATTATTTATACCTTTTAGGCACTATCGCCATTTTAATTTTTCCTAATGTTTTTGTACAAAATTTCTTCATAAATTGTGATAGCGTCGATTACACTTTAAGAGACTGGTCTTGAATGGCTTCCAAAGGCTAAGGTGTTTTTTTTTGTGAAATCCACAATAATAACAAAAAAAATGGAATTTGCACATCCACCTCCGGTACATTTGCCAAATGCAAATATGTCCATACCACCACCAAATATGAATATGGGTGGAACACCAATGGGGCCTCCTCCGATCAACAACACCTTTAACCAGAAATTTGACTCGCGAAACGGTTTTAATAATACGCGCCCACCTTTTCGTCCGTTCCTAAATCTCCAAAGACCCCTGCCCGGTCCTTTAAACACAATGACCTTAGAAGATTTCGACGGCAAACGTCTGAGAAAGTCTGTGATGCGAAAAACTGTCGATTATAATTCTGCGATCATAGTGGCATTAGAAGTAAGCACTTCCGCATCCTTAAAAATCTTCCTCTAACGATATTATTTTAGAATAGAATTTGGCAAAGGGATTATCGCGATCGCAGAGCTCTCCAGCCCGACGTGATGTATTACCCTGACATGATGCCTCCGCCCAGCTATCCCGATAATCCGATTAATTGTGTTACGACACGTTTTGTGAAGACTGCTACAAATAAAATGCGATGCCCCATTTTTTGTATGGCGTGGACGCCGGAAGGTAGACGTTTAGTTACTGGCGCCAGTTCGGGAGAGTTTACTCTGTGGAATGGGCTCACGTTTAATTTCGAGACGATTTTGCAAGTAAGTGGTTTTTTTTTTTCGCATACCCCATGTTTTGGTGAGATTTTTTGAAGTAAATGGTTTTTGTGGTATTCATTCATCCAGGTTACTTTTAAAATGTGAAATTTTGTTCCCCCAGAAATGATTGTCGCTATTAGATTAAACAATCTCATCGTCCATCGTGTGCCTATTTAATTAAGGTTTCAAATACCAAATTTGATAGCTTTTATAGAAAACTAAGAGCCAGTTTAGTTGTCACATCATTACTTTTATTTACACTACTTTAATATTGAGTTTCTACACTACATAAATAATTCAAAATTATGTTGATTTATGTTGGCATCTATTTTCTGTTACAAGAAAAATGTTGCTGCTGTTGTAAATTGTCATTTGATTGTACAAAGTTTTATTGCAAATACGAAAATAATCATCCGAAACGGCAGTTAGCACAGCACCATACTAATTGCTACACTGATGGAAATTTGAAATGGGGTGCACTTGTGAACAATACCCTTAAGTGACTTTTACTCTGATTATTGTTTTAACCATCGACATATATAGAGTTGGAATGCTCTCCCTATCGCACTTCTGCTGGTCGCATACAAATTAAATTGAAAGAACCAATAAGATGCATAACTGTAAGAGAGAGCTTGCCTTTTATTTTTCCCTTTGCTCTCACCTGCAGTAGTCCATCTCTATATGTTGATGGATAATAACGCACAGTCAAGGCATATCCAGATTTTTATTTTTGAAAAACAGTGGTACAAAAGGTCATTACTATCAAAAGTTTTGATTCCGTATATACCAATTTTCATCGCATTAAAAAACGTAGATCGTTATTTACTGCTGCTTTTAGGCACACGACAGTCCAGTTCGATGTATGGTGTGGTCACACAATGACAGTTGGATGGTGACGGGCGATCATGCGGGCTACGTAAAATATTGGCAGTCTAATATGAATAATGTGAAGATGTTCCAGGCACATAAAGAAGCCCTTCGTGGCATAAGGTATCTACAACTTCACTACGTCTTATTCGTTTTTGTACATATTTTTATACCAAAGTTAATAAATACCACCTTCCTTTCCTTAATATTGTTGATTATACAAAAAGAAATAAATAGGTAGCAGTTACGATGTTGAAATAAAGGCTCCCAAGTCCCAACTCCTCAATTTTGTATTACTTGCTGTGATTTTAAAAGAAAAATTGTTGTCGTGTTTTTAAAATGTAATTTTTATCGAATAAATTCGTTTTTAATATATTCTCGGGAATTGCCTTCCAGGTTACCCTTCAGAGTACGATCTCATTTCTCCTTTGTTGTGCTCTAAAGAGATATTTGGAAAGCTATATTTATTTCGTTACCTTTTTGGATTGGGCTCTTAATAAATTTTAATAAAAGCAAAATAAAAATAGTTTTATTCTCGCGAAAATATGGGTTCTAGTAACTGCTTCGTCAAGTCATAGTAACTTCTTTTGTGCAGAGAACATCAGGCAACAGGTTTCAATTTAAAACTTTCGATCTCCATAATTCGAGACATAGTTAATGTCGAAGTACTGGCCCCTTTTTAGAACTTCACAAAAATATTTTAATCACCATATTAAGGATTGACTTCTCTTTCCATTTGTTTTTGTTTAGGAACGTGATCACTCTTGCTGTGACATAAAAATCTTAATTTAATCTCTTTTAACACAATTTTGCCCTTTTCTTAATTACAATTAATTTTTTTAACATATTGAGTGAAGAAAAGTGTGTCGTTACAGGGGTTCATGAGACCTTTTTTTCTTTTGCTATTTGATCAAAGTAGCTCTTGAAATCTTTTATTCTATTCCTTACGGATGTGCTGAAAACAACTGAACGCTTAGCTACACGAAAATAGAATGTCCATTGTCGAATTTGAGTGATTAATCAATTATTATAGATGTCTACCAAAGATTGTTCGGAACCATTTGAAATTTTAAAGTAAAGGACAAGTACCACATGCTCTTCGATTGTATATCTTTTTGCTTTGACATTTCCCAGTGCTATTTAGTTTAAAATAAAATACAGTCCTAATAAAAGTGGATTAATCACAATAGGATACTTAATAAATCGTATTTTGTATTACTGCAAAATTGTAATGAATTTTATTGCAAAAATAAATACTCGTACAACATTTTACTCAATCCCTATTCCTCTTCCTATCATTTTTGATAAAATGTACTTAAATCATAAATAAATGATAACAAACTCCTATTTGTATTATTTATCACAGCTTCAGCCCTTTCGACTCCAAATTTGTGACTTGTTCAGATGATGGGACCTTACGTACTTGGGACTTTCTACGATATCAAGAGGAAAAAATACTGCGAGGTTAGCTCTCTTTTTTCTTTGTTTTACATATTCATGTATTATTTTCAGGGCACGGCGCTGACGTTAAGTGCGTTCATTGGCATCCACAAAAGTCATTGATCATTTCTGGTAGTAAAGACAATCAACAACCGATTAAATTATGGGATCCGAAAACGGGACAGTCGTTAGCAACACTGTAAGCCTATCGTTATGTTTCCTCGATTTTAATGGATTTTGTGTTTCAGTCACGCACACAAGTCGACTGTAATGGATCTAAAGTGGAACGATAATGGAAATTGGTTAATCACAGCGTCTCGTGATCATTTGTTAAAACTTTTTGATCTCAGAAATCTTGGCCAGGAAGTGCAAACGTTTCGAGGTCATAAGAAAGAAGCTTCTAGTGTTGCTTGGCATCCCACCCACGAAGGCCTATTTTGCAGCGGAGGCTCGGATGGCGCAATTATGTTTTGGCATGTTGGGTAAGAATTTATGAATTTATGTGTCATGCACTATATTTTACTGTTGCAGAGCCGACAAAGAAGTGGGTGTTATTGAACAGGCGCACGACAGCATAGTTTGGACTCTTGCGTGGCATCCGCTTGGACATATTCTTTGTTCTGGTTCAAACGACCACACTAGTAAATTTTGGACAAGAAACCGACCTGGAGATCTCATGCGTGATAAATACAATCTAAACACTCTGCCTGCAGGAATTTCTGGCTTAGAGGATGTCGATATTGGTAAGCATACATCTTTATTACTTGCTCAGACAGGTTCGATATCGAATGTATGTACTGATACAATATGCAGAATACACTTACAAAACCAGGTGTCAAATTCTTGACAGAATAGCTTCCTAGCTGAAACCAAAAATTGCCAACATATGTACGCACTTACAGACGGAAAAAATAAGAAAGGTGCATTTTTTACGCATGCTTTTTGTTTGCTTTTATTAGAGGGACCTACCATCCAATTTTCGTTAAAATTGCTCCATAAATAAGAAAGTTGAATGTTGCACATGCGCAACTCGATTTTTTGCGCATGCATTTTGTTTTCTTTTATTAGGAGGACCTACCATCCAAATTTCGTTTTAATTGTTCCATAAATAAGAAAATTGCATTTCTGCGCATGCGCAACACGATTTTTGCGCATGAATTTTGTTTGCTTTTATTAAAGGGACTTACCATAGAAATTTCGTTTAAATTGCTTCAGAAACAAGATCGTTGCGTTTTGCACATATGCAACACAATTTTTTAACTTTGACAATTTTTTTCTTCGTTTTTTGATAATATAACCCGGCCCAATTTTTTGTAGGTTGTACACAGGAAAATAAGGTCTTCCAAATAATAGAATAAAAATTTTAGGTTGCTATTTGAAAAAAAAAGTTCGATGCCGTTACGGCGCTCCAAAATTTTTTTTCAAAAATTCGGCCCGTTATTTTTCTGTTCGGTATGCCTAAAACATATATACAAAATTTCAACAAAATCCGTCGAGCCGTTTTCTCAGAAAATTGCCAACAAACGTACGTACGTACATACAGACGGCAAAAAATTGTATTCTTTAAAAGTTGCTTAAAATGGTCTAAAACGTCGACATTTGATGAAATTTTGAAATGTTCAAAAAACGACTATCGCAATAGCTACCTAGCACATGCTAGGAAGCTAAAAATTAAATTAATTTATTAATAAAATTTCACAAGCCGGGAAGAATGTCAAGCACAGGGCAATTTTTAGCTTATATCCTCTCTTGTCTCGAGAAATCTCTAAAATTGTCTTCCGTGCTGTAACAGTTGCATCTTACATTTCAGATGAACCTTCCGTTATACCGGGTATGGGTCCGGATGACAAAGTTGAATTCACACTGTCTTCTGAGACACCCACAACAATTCCAGGACTAGATATAGATATAACTTCAATCTCAATTGAAGATAAATTTAAGTCAAAAAAGGTTCCATACAGTAAGCCCATACCACGAAACTTCCAAGCACAATGGAATGAGACTGCATCTTCAGGTTTGTCGTGTTTCATAAAATCTTAGAAATTGTCTACCTTTTCCAGCAGAAGATGGCACTTTATCCGAAGTGATTAATCAGCTGGTCGAAAATACGTCCGGTGTTATTCCGTTACAGAAAATTGCTCAAAATGCTAATGCATTAATAATTGGGGGGAAACTTATCGCTGTCCAACGTAAGTTGCACCAAAGAGTACTAACCACAACACAGGACAGTACCTACGAATTACAGATTTCTACAGGTTTTAAGGCTATATACTATGCAGTGTCTGAGACTGCTATGATAACTTTTTTAACAAATGCTGATATTACAAAACTTAATTTGTTTTTCTACAATCGATATCCAAAGTAGGCATTTGCGCTCGTATTTGACAACGCAAACGTCATAATTTTCGAGGAATGTCACTTTGTCGCTTATAAGCGACAAAATAGAAAAAACGCTCGCTCTCCCAATTATTAACTATAAATCAAATATGCATGGCTCAGAGTATCCAATGACAACGAGTAAATGACATCTTTCATTTGGGCATAAGATTAAAATGATTTGAGTGAAAAATTTAAATTTCTGGAAATATGTGAACTGCTCGATTGTAGAAAAAATCTTGTGTGTAATTCGAGCGCAAATTGATTGTCGATTTCAAGAGATTGCCGCGCTCCTTCGTCGCGCGTCAACTGTCTCTTTCAATCGACAATATATCATTTTGCGCTCTTAATACACAAATAGCTATTGTATAAATTAGATACAGAAATGTAGTAATTCTTACACTAGAACTAATTTTTTAAATATTAATTTGTATATGCCAGTGACGGAACAAAATGAGAAGAGTTTTAAAAGATGATATGTTCTTAAACTAAGTACATGTAAAGGCGTATAACCTTCCCTTTTTACCAAACATCGACTACACCAAAATTTCTCGGGAGAACACTTTTTCTTATTAATTTTGGGGCGTAGAATCCAAATCAATTCTTACTTTTTCGATCAGACTTCTCAATCAAAAGTTATAGACTAGAAACCAATTTCGAAACAAAATTCAAAGGGCTGTAACTTTTGAACTAGTAGCCCAATCTTGGAACTGTTTGAAATTATGGATTCTACAGGTCACATTCTATAAGAAAATTTTTTTTCCGGGTTGATCTGAGACATTTTTTTTTCGGGGCTCAAAAAAAGGCAGTGTAACCTTCCTTTTTTACCAAAAATCGACTACACCAAAATTTCTCGGGAAAACACTTTTTCTTATTAATTTGGGTGCGTAGAATCCAAATCAATTCGTACTTTTCGATCAGACTTCTCAATCAAAAGTTATAGACTAGAAACCAATTTCGAAAAAAAATTTAAAGGGCTGTAACTTTTGAACTAGTAGCCCAATCTTGGAACTGTTTGAGATCACATTCTATAAGAAAATTTTGTCGTAGCATGAAAGTGCTGAAATACAATGATAGGCGACGCACCTCGTGTGGATTGTATATTTTGTTACTTTTAATTATCAGCTGAAATTTTAAAAAAAAACTGTATGGTAATTGATTTTCGAGAAAGGAGTACTATTCTTGTGGTGCACCTCAGAGCTAACCCCCCCCCCCCTACACTAATACTTTAATGGCCCGTGACCTATGCAATTCCACCTGGCCAGTAAGTACCCAGTCCGCCCCTGTGTCAAGCAGCAAATTGTTGTAAAAGCTTATTCCTTGTTCTCCAAAACAATTTTGGTGAACTCTTTCTTTTTTGTAAATTACACTTAAAACAAAAGTTCGATGGTATGTACTGCGCCATTACTTTATTCCACACCAATAAAGTGGGAAAGTGGCGCCAAGTAATATTTTTAGTTAGGAAGAACCCACATTATATCTGTATTTCGTTGGTACTGAATTTGCATTGATGGATAATCCAACACTGAGGCTTAAAAATGTTGTACTTTTTTGATATACTATAACGTTATTAAAACACTTACAGCGGGATCCAAACTAGAAGCTGCCGTTGCAGAGGGTTCGAAGAGCCTGTACGAGTACATTGTCTCCGGTCACGTTCCTGAACTAAATGATGTCATGGATCAAATCCGTGAGGAGTACAAGTCATTGAATCCGTCGTATGATGAGGACAACGATGATATGCAAGATCTTTCCGAATCGAACCATCCTCCTCCTTTAATGGAAACAAATCCTTTTGTTGTGAATTTTACACGAAAACCGTTTGACTCCCCAAATCGATTTATGGACGGTAGAAGTGACAGATTTTACGATGAAGAATCACGCTTGGATCAGGATATGAGGCAATTTAATTCCTTTAATTTCGGAAACGAACACTCTGATGTCGATTTGAGAAATGTCAGGAATATGGATGTCGATTTTCGGCAACGCGATCAAGATATGAGAGGAGACGGACGGATGACGGATCAAGATTTTCGCGAACCATTTGACGAGGACCAGGGTTTCAGAGGTAGATATAATGATGGTGATGATCAATTCGATTACGACGATGACAGAAATTGGAATGATAATTTTGGAAATTCGCGGAGTGGTTCGAGAAATAATAATTTTCAAAATTATAGACAATCTAATTTTGGTCGAAGTGAAGGTGGACGATCGTTTAGGCAAGGTGATGATGAAAATTGGTCTCCCCCACCTAATGATTATCGAAATCGAAATAATCGTCCGCGTGGCTCGGCGAGAGGTAGTCAAAGAACAAATTCGCGGGGTCGTAGTGGCTCATCTAGAAATAAGGGATCTAGAAATAACATTTTACAACGTAGAGGACGTTACTAATTAATTACATTATGTTTAGTGGTTATCGAAACTACATTTTGTGTATAATTCTCGTGGCATCCATAAGAATGAATTGTTATCCGATATAGTTTTACATTTATTTTTATGTGACTCCTATTTCTTCTGTTAGTATTACCTAATTTTAATCATTAGCTCCGATTGCAAACAAAATTTAACTTTATTGTAATAAAAATGTTACTGTTACGTAATTACAAGTACATCGTAATCGGATGACCCCCATTAATTTTATGGAATTATTTAATTTGTATCATTAGTTTTGTTCTTATCTATTTTAGGTACTTCATTAGAATCAACTTATTCATTTTTCAGAAAAAAATCACGGAATGGGGAATAGTTTACAATTTTTCTGATTATTTGAAAACATTTGCCCAACAGTTTCTTTGTAGATACCATAGTTTTATTTTTCATGATCCTGGCTATCTGCATTATCTATAATATACATCTGTGGAACAGCAAGATGTACCATATCTGCAGCAGTATATTTAAAAGACTACCTTATAAGCAAAATGATTAACACAATATGAGGTAAAATTTGGGTATCGCATACATGCTTCAATAACATTAAATTAATCATTAATGTCAGTTACGATCTTGCTTTGAATGAAGATTGATAAAATAACGATAATTGCGTTAGCTGTGGCGTTCAGAAAAGTGTGGATGAAAACCTGGATCTCAACGTATTGGGGTAGCATGTTTTGATATAATAGTGGACATCTCTTCCTTTGACTGTGCGGTAAGAATCCTTAATCAGGTTTTTTTTTACTTTAATGAAATATCATTATTACTTGTGATGTACCTAGATGTATTGCACATTTTTATTTTTTTAAGTGGGTGGGGTTTCAGCCATGGTTGCCGGTACAATCCAACCCAAATATCCATGACTGAACCAACGACTCTTAGCACCACAATAGAGTATATTAATATGGTTGGAGAACAAGTTAATATCATTCTTGTAACATGATTACTTACACAATAACAAACTTGAATGGGGTTAAATTTAATGATGAAATGGAGTTATGTATTTCCTGAAGGAAGTAACCGAATACTGTTCAAACGCGAAAATTAATCCCCTGCTGCTTTTGAAATCTGTTCCCAAATTCTAAGAGCCCGTTGTGCCATTGTCGTTTAATTGACTGACAGAATTCAAAAACTTTTAAGTTTAACTGAACTGTGACAACCGGCCATTTTAGACACAACATCCTGTACAAATTAAAATATTAATTATTTGTCATCATGTTGGTAGCCTTGTAATAAATGTGTTGGCAACACTACAAACGTGAATCTTGAATTTTTCGCAGTCATCAAATCGGAAGTGTTTGGTTAAAAGAAGTAATTTGCAAATACCTAGTCCATTGTTTGTTACTTACAGGTGCTACCTTTAATTGAAGGAAGATGAATATCACCTCAGCAGGTAAATACATTCCCTCACAATTTATTATTATTGAATAACAAACTTTTCACGCAAGTTTTGCAAGTCACCGAATTTGTAAGCCAAAGATAGATTTGTTGCATTTGCTTTTTGTTTTCAACTTGGTTTTTAATTTTTTGAATAATAACTTTAGTCTCTATTTTCTGTTACTGATATTGGTACATTTGAAATATAATGTTTACAATTTCAGCGGGGATTATCTCCCTTTTGGAAGAGCCTAAGTCAGAATTAAAAGCGTTCGCATTGAAAAAATTAGATAACATCGTGGACGAATTTTGGCCCGAAATTTCTGAGGCAATTGAAAAAATGTAAGGTTACGTTTTCATTTAAAAGTTTGAATTTGAAACTTTGATTTTTAGTGAAATTCTTCACGAGGATAAGGTTTTTCAGCAGCATCAGTTAGCTGCTTTGGTTGCTAGCAAAGTGTACTATCATTTAGGCTCGTTTGAGGATTCGCTTACCTACGCACTCGGTGCTGGTGATCTGTTCGATGTTAATTCTCGAACGGAATATGTGGAAACAACACTAGGTTTGTGACTAGGTTGATTGTGCAGTGTGTAAAGTATCTTTTTTTAGCGAAATGTATTGATTATTATACGCAACAGCGTATTTCTCTGGCAGATGATTCTGCAACAGCTAAACCGATTGATTCTCGTCTGGAAGCTATTGTGAATCGAATGTTTCAGCGTTGTTTGGACGATGGGCAGTATAGGCAAGCGTTAGGTTTAGCTTTGGAGACACGTCGAATGGACATTTTTGAATCGGCCATCACACAGTCGGACGATGTGGCATCGATGCTCAGCTATTCCTTCCAAGTAGCCATGAGTCTTATACAAAATCGGGGATTTCGTAATTCCGTTCTGCGTTCACTTGTGGAATTATATCGTAATCTCGCTATCCCGGATTATGTTAATATGTGTCAGTGCCTCATTTTCCTGGACGATGCGCTTCCTGTTGCCGAAATTTTGGATAAACTTGTACAAGGCCAAGAGGTAACTTTCTGTGAAGTTATCTAATTATTATCGAAAATTGGGGAATTTATTAGGTAGAACTTCAGTTTATTGTGTTGTATTATATACACACGCAGTTGTATAGTTTCCTGTGGGCCATGCTGTGAGAACTTAAAGTTCAGTATGTAAATTATAGGGCTAAAGTGTTGTAAAATACTCCAGCATTTATTATTCGAGCAATTTCCTGCGCAAATTCGCGCACATTCAGGTATTATCAATTATAATGCTTGTTCTGCAAGCAGTGTTTCAACCTAGGTAAATTAAGTCTATAGTTATTGTTTCAGAATCGAAAAAAAAACATCAGAATTATAGATGTATTGATTTTTTTTTCGAAATTGGTTTCTAGTCTATAACTTTTGATTGAGAAGTCTAATCGATAAAGTACCAATTGTTTTGGATTCTACGCACCAAAATTAATAAGAAAAAGTGTTTTCCCGAGAAATTTTGGTGTAGTCGATTTTTGGTAAAAAAGGAAGGTTATACACTGCCTTTTTTTGAGCCCCGAAAAAAAAATTGTCTCAGATCGACCCGGAAAAAAATTTTCTTATAGAATGTGGCCTGTAGAATCCATAATTTCAAACAGTTCCAAGATTGGGCTACTAGTTCAAAAGTTACAGCCCTTTGAATTTTTAGGTACTTATAAGAGCTAGATTGGTGTTTGCCTCATTTTGCCCGTACTCTTCATTTGTACCTTCTACCAGAAGAGTGGCATCATCGGCATACAATACACAATCGGCATTATTCAAAATTGTTGACGGATCTAACAAATTATAATTACAAAAATCATCGTACAGTCACATAAACAAACCCATAATGGGCGATCAAAAATGAGTTGCTGTTGAGTCGCCTTTGCAAGTTCAAGTTAAGTACGATTTCCTATGTAAACAAAAATTCCAAAGGTGACTCGATAGCAACTCATTTTTGATCGTTAATGTGCTGGACAAATGTTTTAAAAGAAACAATAAGAATTAGTGCCATGAACAAGGCAGTAGGTCATGAAATCAATTGTAACCATTCCCTAATTTTTGATAATGATGTGCTCTACGCACTGTTCTTTCACCAAGAATACGGACTAACAAACTTTTTGTAGGAGAGCCAACTTATGGCATACCAGATTGCATTTGATTTATACGAATCTGCCACTCAACAATTTTTGGGGCGTATTCTAGAAGCGCTGCGAACAACCGCCCCTCTTCCTCACTTATTTGAGTCCAAGTTAAAATCGAAAAGCGACGCCTCTGTAGAAGTCGGTGAGAGTAACGAAACTAAAGCCGAGGTCAAAGATGAGCGTGCGTATGACAGTTTGAGCGATGGAGAGAAAGAGCACCAGGGTCGCATAGAAAAGTTACACAGTATTTTGTCTGGCGAAATTTCGATTGAGCTCCATTTGCAATTCCTCATTAGATCGAATCATGCGGATTTACTTATCCTCAAACAGACAAAGGAGGCGATTCGTGTTAGCATTTGTCATACGGCGACCGTTATTGCGAACGGTTTTATGCACAGCGGTACGACGAGCGATCAATTTCTAAGGGATAATTTGGAGTGGTTAGCTCGCGCAACAAATTGGGCTAAATTAACGGCGACCGCGTCGTTAGGTGTGATTCACAGAGGACACGAACACGAAGCTTTAACTTTGATGCAGAGTTACTTACCGAAAGAAGTGGGGCCAAGTTCTGGCTACTCCGAAGGTGGTGGCTTGTATGCGCTTGGTTTGATACATGCAAATCACGGTACAAATATTACCGACTATTTGTTGGGACAACTGAAGGATGCACAAAATGAGATGGTACGGCATGGCGGATGTTTGGGATTGGGTCTGGCTGCTATGGGTACTCATCGGCAAGATGTTTATGAACAGTTGAAGTTTAATTTATTCCAAGATGATGCGTGTACTGGAGAAGCTGCCGGTATCGCGATGGGGATGGTGATGCTTGGATCCAAAAATGCTTCTGCCATTGAAGATATGGTTGCTGTAAGTACAAGCTAATTTTGCATCCATTTTTGTTTATTGCGAGGTTTATTGCCAAGTTTATTGAATTAAGGATTAATAAGTGAACTTACCAATTAAACCTACCTACATTCGTTTAGTTGAAATTGCAATTTTCAAAAGCAGATTGGCTAACTTTGTCCGTAGTTACTCCAAGACTTTGTAGCTAGAAATTTCTTCATCCACCGTGAAATGTTTTTTTATACAAACATGATACACATCCCAGAGGGAATCTCTTTAGAGAAGCCTTCAATGAAACGTTGTAGTTCCATTAGAAATACTTCGAAATTTCTTCTCGGAAACTTGTGGTACTGGAACTCATTTCGCAAACCATCTTAGAATGAGAAATCTTATTTGAATTCAATTTGGAAATCTCGAAACAATTTTTAAGAATACTTACTCTTCATAACGAGCAATATCACAGATAATACTTACTAACCATAGACTATCTGTGGCAATTACTATTAAAATTTTTGATATTACTGGTCGTAAGGTGTCAAATTAGCAGTTGATGTACGCATTTTAACGTAGTGTAAAACTCTTCGAATGGAATTACCTTCTTTTTTCCAAGATTTCTGCTCTAATACATACGCTTTAAAACATGCACTGCAGGGTTGGTAAGAAATAACAAATAGCAACCTTAAAATATCTTCAACTGATGCAGCACAATTTAATACGAGTTGTAGAACAAAATATAGCAAATGTTGTTATGGAAGGATTAACGGTAATCGAAATTGTACGTTGAAAAAGCGAACATTTATGTTGTGATTATTGGGGCGAATCTTTTCGCGTCGGTTCTGAACTGTGTTTTTTTAAAAGAGGATCATTAGCAGTCTGCGTAATTGCTTTATCGTTTATTTTTTCATGTGGCCACGCTGAGTTCTTGTAGTCGGTATCTGCAATAGGCAGATCGTGGTGACGGCAAATTCAATATTCTTAACAAACAATGGAAATTCGTTCTGCAATTGAAGCAGGAGTTTAATGACGGATTCGGAATTGAAAGAATAATTTTTATTTCGACTGGTTAGTCACAATATTTCTAATATTAATAACAAAAGGAGTTCATTTTAACGCTTATACTGACGGTGAAACGGAACTCAATACTCGACGATATTGGAAAACCCTATTGAGACTGTATGTGTCTTATTTCTTTGAAACTGGAAACTGTTTGTATAAACCGTCGCGCGTTCTCCGTCGATATTAGTGCCAATAACGGAATCGGAAGCACCGCCATTCGTTTTGTTTCTCTTTCGATTGTTCCCGCAACCCTCGACCGTCCTGATGAACGAGAGTCATTTACTCGTAAAATTGTAATTTTTCTCAAGATGGAGATCGATTTTCCATTTAACTTACTTTTATATAAACTGGAAGGGATTTAAATGTATAATTTTTTGGTATATCTAGAAATTGGAAGGTCATGATGTAGGTACTTGAATCTTGCATAATATTATGGCGACTTACAATTGAAACTAATGACATTGATCAATGCTAATGAGCAAAAAGACTGCACAGGATACCTACGCAAACGAAAATGTGAACAAATCGAAATATTTGCCGCGTATCACAGTTTTCATCTAAATGGGTCGAGTGTACGACCCTTATAATCTCAATTTTGCTTGTTCTTCAAAAGTGCAAATCTATAGAATTCGGCGGCGTCAACTTGCAACTCAATGCCCAGCCCAGTATATCGTCCGAATACATAAAATAATTGATTATATGTGCCGGGTTTCCTTCTAGCTTGTATTAGAAGGTGCTACAGTTACATGAAAGCGTACTTTCGACGTCATGTAATTCCGGAAAACATATTACGAAAGACTAATTGAAGTTGCTCGTTCGGACTGCGTATAGTGTATAATACTCGTGGATTTATGTTTCCTTTCTGATATCGGATAGGTACAGCATGCATGCAGGTATCCGGATTAGCGAAAACGCAATTAAAAAGATATTCGAAAAACTAATTGTTCAAGGTTTGCATTAGTTTATTTACTGTCGATAATCTTCCTCGGTTCGACAAATGTATGAATTTGGTACAACTTCTTCTATGCAGCATATACAGGGTGGTGACTTGCGTAACGCATCATAGGGATTTCAATGTAAAATTCATAACATGCGTTTATTGGCTCCCCAAATTATTTTAGAGCAAAAATGTATTAAGGTTTTTTGTAGAAAAAAATTTTTTACGCCAATCAACCGTATTAGTTTTCAATTTTGTTTCATATAAAAACGGAAAATTGAAAAAATAAAACCTGCATCTTTTTCAATAATCTGCGATGCCATGGAATTTTCTAAAACAAAAAGATATCCAGTTATCAATTAGCAACAGTTCGAAATTGATTTTATGATGGACTTGGTTACTGTATTGCAGTTAATGGAGACGTATTCGAACATTTATTGTAAATTGTTATTATTAGGAAACCGTTTTTAGTAATTTGGTCTTGAATTCGCTGTTCTAAATATAATACTTTTTGATAGAAATTGATTTGTTTTATAGCAGACATTCCATGGCGTGACGGATATTGGCGTAGTTTTTGTATTATAAAATTCCATGGCATCACAGATTATTGAAAAAGATGGGGATTTTATTTTTCCAATTTCCGTCTTTATTATGCAAAAAATTTAAAACTAATACGGCTGAGTGACGTAAAAATTTTTTTTCTACAAAAAACCTTAATACATTTTTGCTCTAAAATAATTTGGGGAGCCAATAATCGCATGTTATGAATTTTACATTGAAATCCCTATGATGCGTTACGCAAGTCACCACCCTGTATACGGTACCTATCTGTCACGTTTACAGGGTAGTCGTTTTTTTACGCGTATTGTTTTTGTGGTAAATTGTACTCAAATGAAGGTAGCGTTTAGGAAAGACGGGTGAAGAGCCGTAATGGAAGCGCGAATGAAAGATACGTGAAAGAGGTGTAAACAAAAGATCCATAAGGTTGCAGAATGAAGGATTCCAAGAAATATGTATGAAGGAAGTGTGGAAGATACGTAGCAACAGGCGCAGATTTAATGGAGTGAGGGGGGGGGGGGCTCCTAGACAGGGGTAGTTAGGCAGGGGGTCCCCTAGGGACTATTGGAAGAGATTAGATTCTTGGTGATTTAATAACTGACCGAAAAAATTATCAAATTTAAACGTAAATATTGTTTCGTCTGGCAGGACGAAATTTTGGGATTCATAACTAGGATGGACAAGGACGGTTTCCTATTTCCATGTGATTAATGTTCATAACTTAAATTTTTGTTTTGTGTCGTTGGTTAATTACGGAAACAGAAATTATTCTCATACGAGAAAGGGGTCAAGGTCGTTTTTGTTTACAATATTTAAATCCAATCTTTAATTTTATTTAACGTAGATTTCCGAGAATTTATATCGCTTTTATTCTCTTATCAATTGTAAACGCTTAATTTAATTGACAGGTGGATGTTATTTATCGCCTTTTCTTTGTATTTAAAAGAAAGAAAGTTCTATTTTTCCTAGTATTTTAAGTTTTGTGTTATCTCTTAATGTCGGTTAAAAATGTATTATAAAATTAATTTCTACCTCTAGTTTAACGTAGGGGGGAAATTTTCTGTTGTCAACTGCCTATCATTGGCTGTTTTAATTTGTAATTTTGGAAGAAGGGTTTCCACCTTAAATAGAACGGACTGAGAAGAGGAAGGGCTTTTTGCCACAGTCAACGCAGAACTACGTTTCTTTGAAGAAGTTAATCAGATTTTTGCCAAGTTCAGAGCGTTTTTACTTCACATTGAAGAATTTTTTTTGTTTCGTGCGAGTTACCGCCGTAGTTTGTTTTGTGTAGAAGCCAAATTAAAGTTAGAAGAAGTTCCGCTATACGTAGCAACAAGCCGAGTTCGCGGCAAGTTTGTGTTGCGTTGCATTTTTCGAGGCATTTTTGGAAGTTTGGGCCTTCAATAAAGTGCGTCAATAAGGTGTGGTCGGCGCCGACTTAAGTGTTTTTGTTTAATTTGAAATTTGTTGTTTTTGTGTACCGTATTTGGATTAGAAGTGCTGGACATGTACCTAATGTAAGTAGATAAGTTTTAATTTTAGTTTTCTTTGTAATAATTGTTTGTCTTATTTTCATTGTGTGTGTGACATTGCATAATGGTCACTGAAATTTGTAATTCTCACATTAATGTCTGTGTATGTCATTCCAACGATTTCATTGTCTTTAATTTACTGTTCTTTGGATGCTTGCCCCAGGTCCATTTTATTTACCTAATCAAAATCCTTAAGATCGATTTGGAATTTAAGGTCTTTGGTCCAACACATTCTGGTAGAAGTTAATAATTTAACTGAGAGCAGAGTCGAATTCCTCCTCTGTGCTGGGGGAGAAGTTTTGTTCCGTGAAGGATAAGGTTTGAGCTAGTTAGGTTTGTGTAGGTGTTTTGTGTACGGTCTTTTTGGCCTACGGACCGGTGCACACAGCAATATATTAATACCTAATTTTCTTCAGGCCCTCGCAGTTGATAACATTTTCATTGACAATAAATGAGTACGGATAACTCGTCATTTACACAACTTCTGGGTGAAGTGCAGCGGTATACACTGGCGCAGATAACGGATTTCGGAAACAATAAACGATATGAAGATGGTCTAATTTGAAACAAATAAATTTGCCGATTTCGTTTTTATTTTTTTCTGATATTATTGAACAAATACAAAAAAATAGTACATTATATATCAAGGTAGAGAAGTCCACTATTATTGGCTGAGCACCAAGATTACATCTCGAGGCGCTTGCGCCGAGGGGTGTAAGGTGCGAAGGCAATAATAGACTTCTCTACCGTGGTATATATACTATTTTTTTCACTACTAGCACTTGAAATCCTCTAAATTAACATATTATATTGATAAGAGAGTTAACGGTTGGACAGAATTGTTTGTTTCTTAATTTAACATGTCAATCAAGTACGTGGAAGTACAAGTCAAACAGGCCGTATTTTGTTCTGTCATTGAGATTTTTCAAAGATTAATTTCGTTCGAATTTTTTCAAAATGTGATAATTTTAGGTATGTAATTTCCCTGGAAATTGCGAATGGTGGCAATTATTCGTTTTAGAGAACTTGTCTAAACGTTCATTGAGCGAAATTTCCGGTTGTGTTTTCTAAAAGTGACAGCGTGACAGTTCTCATTATTGACTACTAGTTAATAATAAAAAATTATTAACCACTTTGAACAAATGCCGAGAAAGCCTACTTTACAAGTGGAAAAAAGGTTAATAATCATGTCATCAGACGCTAGTAGTGAAAAAAACATTTTCTCATTGCCCTTACTGACAAGACACCGTTGAAATTTCACGTTTAAAGCAAAATTGTTATTTTAATGACAAACGTGTAAACTTTGAAAATATTAAAACAAGGTTGTTTCAGTACGCTCAAGACAGTCAACATGAGAAAATTTTGCGCGGGCTCGCTGTGGGAATCGCCTTCACGATGTACGGACGTCTGGAAGAAGCCGACCCGTTAATTCAACAGCTAACTTCAGATAAAGATCCGATTTTACGTCGCTCTGGGATGTACACGTTGGCCATGGCTTACTGCGGAACTGGACATAACCAGGCGATAAGAAAACTTCTTCACGTCGCCGTAAGTGGATTGCTTTCGTTCCCCTTGGTACCATTCCCGTCCCTAACAATAATAATTGTCTACAGGTATCCGACGTAAACGATGACGTAAGGAGGGCGGCGGTCACGGCGCTAGGATTTTTATTATTCAGGTGAGTGCATTTCCGTTACGTGTTTGCGCCGCAATCGGGTTACTAAGATAGGGAGTCTTATGTGGGTTGTTAAATGAAATGGTTTACGTCGAGGACAGCGACGCCATAAATTTCTCGCGCTTATATAACCAAACTTCCGTAAATGTTAGAGCACTCTTGGGGCTGATGTGCGCCTCTTTTTAGTCACCTATTCAGAAACATGTATGCCGTTTGTAATCGTCGACGTCAAATTTATTTATATCTACGTGTCAAATGGCAACGTAATTGTTAATCCCCTTTTCTTTGACAATTAAAGCTTCGCTCCGTCCTTATGTTCACGATATATGTACATATTATGCAATAATTATTCAACTATAGTCGAAATCGCGGTTCGACACTTTTCAAATAACTCGGAAAATTCGATTTGGCGAAGAAAATGGAGGAAATAATTTGCTTTGTATTGCAAATTCAATTTAAGCGATGTTTCACGCCGGGTAAGTAAAAATGTGCGAATAAATTGAATAAAGTTCAACGTGGTGCGATTTTTAACGGTTAGTATGAAAAGACTGCACGAGTGAGCGCAGTTTTTTAAGTAAAAAAAGTCGTCGTGGTCTCATTTCATCGATGAATCGCTTCACATTAGTCAAGTTCTAACTCTCAACAGCTAATGGTGTATTCAGAGTAATTCAGCGAAATTTATAAATTGCATTATGACATTAACAAAGTTACTGTGTGTAATAAGGAGGGCACTTACCACTAATTAATTTGACGTAGAGTGAACGCAGGAGCTCTCTTACTTGTCAGCTTCTCATTAATGTTAATTTTGTAAATCGGTTCCTGTAATTGGAATCTAACGTCAATGGTCTGAATGGCGCAGTCCAGTTTACTTTGTTTACAAGTTGGTATTTGATTAAGCTCATCTCATCTCATCATTTGAAAAGCTACAGGTATTTTGAAAATATTTGCAAAAGTCTTCTTTGCTTAAAATTAATCTTATTATTAAACTTGCAGAGAATTGTGGAAAGTGGAAAGAAAAGACACATTTTGATATTATTGATTTTGTCAGATGTGAGGTAATTTTTAACGACGTAATGTGTGCAGGATGTTTATTCCTTTTTCCTATCGTATTGTTAGGCAATCCTTAAAAGCTCCAATAGTAGGTTGTCATTACTCAAAATACAATTTTAATTTGGATGTATAAATGTTTTGCAAAACTGCATTTACATGTAAAACAAAATGGAACTAACTAGAGTCTTGGGGAACCTGTAAATTCTATACTGCTTTGAACAGATAAGTAAGTCACTTGAGATTGTAAAACCGAACTGTTGTACTTATAGGTTTACTTTAGTTCATTTAGAAACTAACACGATGTTATTTTGAAGTACCTACGTCCACGATAGAAATATGAGAGTATGAAACTACGCTGTTTTTTTTTTAGTTAACGTAACTGACAACCTATATACCGTTGATGTACAGATATTGCTTCTTATATATGCGATAGCGCGACTCGAATAATCATAAAAATTGGAAGTTAAGTATTTACGTCCATCTGCGCAAAATTGTCAGTTGAGTGACGTAATTTCTATATTATATTTTTGCCTGAAAAATCATGACGATCAAACGCCATTCCGTCTGTGTAATTTCTCGTAGGCAGGATCATAAAAATACAATTTTGCTTGTTTGTTTGTTTGAAATATTTAGATAAACCGAGAGGTGATTTTTGTATATGCTGTAGAAACTTTTTATATTTTATAGAAAATTTTTAGACCCGTATGACTAGATACAAATTTTCTTTTATTGAATACTAAAAGTCTCGTATAATACAGGTCTTAATTTGTTTAGTAAAGCGTCTGAATAATTCCATTCTTGTATTTGACTATGTTTATGTGGTGAGAGTACCACAATAGATACAGCATGGATAATAAAGGTTTGAAAAAAAAGAGGGAGGGGAGGAGTCAAAATTATAATGATTTCTAATGTCATACGTTTTCGCAATTTATTTAAAGTAGTTAGAGCGCGTTCGGCTGAAGTCAAGTGATGTACTCGGCCTACCTATTACTTACGGTAAACGTCCCCAAAAAAATGTTGTTATGAAGGAAACATAATTAGAAATACGGTATGAGTGGTATTTTGTACCTCAGCACAATGCAAACGTCTTACATGAATTTTAAAAAGGTATATACAGTAGTCAACTTGACTAGTCTCCCTACTTTTCGACCCTGTTTCAAACCTTTGCACACTAAATTTAATGTTGACGACACACCGCGACTAAATATTCACAGTGTAAGCGGTAAATCCTAAACGAATATATTTATTTTTAATCAAAACATATGCGAGACGTATGTAAAAGCCGGGAAACTAAACAATTTGGCGTTTTACGTGAAGTCGGTGTAGTGGATTTGGTTTTTCGATGTTGGCGCCAGAGATCCCCAGTCGCTATCTTGATCCCGATCGGATCAGTGTGTCAACAAGACGTGTGCAGGCCTTTATAAATATCGCTGGTTTTGGTGTTCTTTCTAAAAGACACCATGCCTTTTGTGAAGAAAAGTGCTCAGCAGATGAAGGAAAAGATTGTCCTAGCTCAGCTATATACTAGACCTAGTGGAAAAGTCATCAGATTTAAACGCGTGCTGCATAGTGTGCCGCCGCGTCTGAGCAAACGCCGCTCCGGCGGTAAATATCTTCCTTATTTCATCATGAACATGTACTTTTCCGTGCATATTTAGATTCGTCACAAAATTTCGCTTCTAATGAGACCCATCTCATTTAAGTCTTGATACAAAAACCTTCGCTAGCTCAGAAAAACTGAGTCTGTCCATAAGAGCCCATGTTAAAATACCTGTTTTTACTGTCAAATATCTCAGAAACGGCACATAGGAACACTTTTTTCTTTTGACCATTAGAAAGTTCGTCTCTCAGAGAATAAGTGACCAAATTTTCACCAACTTCTTGTTACTTTTACCTAGGCGCTCTAACTACTTTAATAATGAAAAATATGGCTCATAGTGTTTCCCTGGTGCGTCCTACTTTAAATTCGTACGATACGCGCCTAGCACAGTGGCCCAATCTCTGGCCTTATTTCGAATAGTTTCTGGCACTTCTTCCTCATTCATGATGAATTGAATTACTTAAAATCATAACTCAAGCTTCTAAAAGGTATAACTACATCTGACGGAAATGGCGTTACATGGAGGTTTTTTTTGCTCATTCTGAAGATATCGATTTTAAAAGGTAACAAAAGACTGCGGTATTGTAGCCAGTTACGCTGACAGCATTTGCAAAGATGGTACGAAGAAGCATAACTTCTTTATAAATGAGTAATATTGTAAAGTGGCCAATTCCAGCAGTATAATTCAGTCATTTGGGAATTTTTTTACGTCCTTTGCATGCAGGTAAGCTTTATAATGTCTATATTGTCGTACATCTCTTGTAACGAGGGCACGTACTTCTGAGAGATTCAGTTATGACGTGAGCATGAAACATCATTAGCGGAATCTCCCTATCATATTAATGTCGTATTCGTGTTCAAATTACTGATGCGATTCACTCAATTTTGTGAAAGTTAACTATTTTGAAACCCGCGATTACTAATTTCCAATAGATTTATCAGCAATATTATTACTAAATCTTTTCTTCGGCGAAATTTCTTGTGCAGTGTTAGATCGTATGGTGTGGAAGTAACGGCCCATTAGTTTCTTTTATGGATGTAGCGTAGCGGCACTTGTTGAATTGTTCATTTGCCAAAAAAAAGTCATTACAGTTTGGCCACATTTCACAACCAATTCCATTCAAATAATCTCGAAGGGTTGTAATCTTTTCGTTCGATATCAATATATCGACAATATGCATTCGTTTTATACGGAATGGCGTCATACGTTCAAATTGATTAAGTTCGAAACTCCGATCCCTTAATGTCCAGTCGCCGCGAATTACGTCAAAATGAATTTCGTCGATAAATGCACAATCGTGTGTGACCATAAAGTGAACGTGTCGATATGTTAAGGGCTTCACAAATAAACTGCACAACAATCAATTTCGCTGCAAACACAACGACACGAGCATCGCGCCCAAAGACTAAATTGGGCACAAAGCGACGTATTCGAAAGTTTACTCTTTTATACAAACGTAAACGTCAAATATAATATGCAATTCGCAATTTCGTATTTCGCAACGTCCTGTTTTTGTCCTTCTGCAAACAGTTCACTGGAAACCTGCCAGAAACTCGTCGGGAGAAACTAAGAAAATATGATACGGCTAAAAGGTGTTACGCCACTCTAAGCCCTCGTTGCTTGGGCGTTGCACGATTTTTATACCAGACTGCGTCTTCCCATTTCTTTCGTGAGCTAAATATTTCGCAGCTTAAGAGGATTTAATAGTTTCCATTACTATACCGACGCCTAAATTGGCTTTTGTTACTTCGATGTCTTCCGGATAAGGCCCGAATCGTTTAAACCGACAACATGTACCGCCCGCAACGGGAATTAAGCTATTATATCTAATCCCATAAAGCACCACAAAAACTACACACACCGGATAAATTGCCTATTTTCTGGAAACTCTTAATTTTACAAGTGCCGAGAGTTGAAAATACCGGAATATTGAGCAACGATCGGCCACGATATCGTCTTGCGATTAACCCTGATGTGGTATGTATGGGGCATTTCATGTTACGTATGATCAAAGCACGTACGCGGATTGATCTTTTGCCCAGTCCAAACATTTACTTTGATGTTAAGCAATGCTTTACGTATCTTGAAATTCTCAGAGAATTCACCTTATGACTATAAAGTAGACAATTTCGTTTTGCAATCACGACACGCCACAAAATAAACGATCGAAATTCATTTCGTATTAGAAACGAAAAATGTCTCCGAAGTAGGTACTATTTTTTTAAATATCTGTGAATAACCTACACTGCGAAGAAATACAGAGAGATTATTTTAAAAAGGTTCATATTTAGTTTCTCAATGTATCCTTTTATATGGGCCTGGTTACAAATTTTGGAATTTGGTACTAATTTTATTTTAATCTCCGAATCAAACATAAGGCACATGCAAAGACAATAAATGAAACTTAGTTCAACATAAAAATCGAAAAAATAAATTCACTTCTATAGGTAATGTAAATTATCGATGCGCTCATTTCCACAAATGCGAAGGGCTGAAATCGGCCTATTATATCTGAAAAAATGTGCATTTCTTAAACTTTTATCGAGTTTATGGTATCAATTCACCATCGACATTTTTCTCCTTTTTACAAATTAAAAATGTCTAGCTCGATAGCAAATGCGGTGTCTCTGGGACAACAACAAGACGTCATTTTTTATTAAATGCATATAGCCAAGAAACAAAAGAATGATTGATTTGTAAGCATTTTCATTTTTATTGTATGCACATACCGGGTGGTGCACGGTAAGTAGGAATATAGGGATTTAACATGGGAAATTAGTTTTATGCCATATCCTGCCCTCCTGTACATTTTACAGAAAAAACTGTAGAGTTTAAAGTTGTTCAGAATTAAAGGGTGCATACAAAACTGTATTTACATATTTTATTAAGCTTTTGGTATATCCGCAAATTTAAAAATAAATTTCTGTTATTAGTAGCAATTCATAAAACAACAATAGTCATGGATATCGCTACCAATAACAGAAATGTTGAAATTTGTTTTTAACCCGCGGGTATACCAAAAGTTTAATAAAACATGCCAAAAAAACAGTTTTGTATGCACCTTTTAATTCTGAACAACTTTAAACTCGTTTTTTCTGTAAAATGTACAGGAGGGCAGGATATTGCATAAAACTAATTTCCCATGTTAAATCCCTATATGTTCCTACTTGCCGTGCACCACCCGGTATATTCATAGTAAAATTGGGTTTTTTTTCTCTATTATCTCTCGATAATCCGGATTATTTGATAATCGGGCGGTTGCGTGGTCTCATATGTGTCGGATTATCAAGATTCGGCTGTACTTTGTTGTCGTTTATTTTCAAGGATATGTAGAGAAGTTGAATGCATTACAGTATCACACTTAAATAAATCTCCCTGTATAGTAATTAATCTCGCATTTTCACACAAATTCGGAAGTTGGGCGGTTAAGAGTTTCATCAAACCGAATGAGAAGATTATAAATATTTAACAAGTTTCCTTACGGCATAGGTAAACATGAATAACCCAAACGCAAGTAGCAGGCGTCTATCATAATCCCCGTCCATTCGACGAAGTTTTTAAATTTGTCCCAAAAAGTCTTCACAGCTCAATACTATAATATTCATGAAGGGTTAGAACGAACAGGTAGATAATCCAGAAAATTGGAAGCTCAAAATCTACACGATATTTCAATTTAAAAAAAACCACTTCGGAAGTATAGAATTATTTGAATGACAGCCGCAATTACAATTATCTAAGACCGCATTGAGGAAATCCTAGATACGCGTTTGCGAATAGAAGCACTAACATTTGCATAAATTGAATTACCATTTTAATAAATTTCAACGTGTCTTAAGGTACAAAATTTAATTTCCCTTAATCTTCTTAAAGTATTCACCAGAGGCGAAATAGGGTTGAAAAGAAAAAAGTTCGCTTACTCCCGCAATAGTCTCCAAGTTAGTGCTGGGTCTCGACAATAATATATAATATCGGGAAACCTCCTTAATCGCTATTGTAAAGTTTATGCAGTAACAAATCGTTTCGGTGTTTGGCTAAGGATACCGCACAATTGATCAATAGACCAATGTGTCCAATTATTCGGGGCTTAAATACTTCATCTTGTTTACTTTTCTCTTTTACACCCGTGCAACGCGGGATAATGGACAATGCAAAATATGCACAAACATCTCCGCAGATAGATCGCGTTATTCGCTCCTCAATATTACGCAATTCCATAATGTTACATACAAATACAATATTTTATTAGCTATGCTATGAGTGTGTACCGTAGTGAATTTTATAAACAGTTTCTTAAATTAGAGTGATATGTATTTGGGAAATTGGTATATGATAGCAGACTTGCACGAGTCGCGTAATGCAAGTCACAGAGCTCACGCGTTTGTATAATGTAATAGTTTTGCAATAAATGTATTTCAGTAACCTTCCGTTATATGTGTATATATCCAGGATATCTAAATACAAAAACAGTGGCGACGAGTGTCTTGATATTTTGTAATAGTGGAACAGTGGAAAATTGTGAATCAAAATGGCATTAAATCCGGTTAAAGTTGAAAACGTGCACCGCAATTTACACGAATTTGACCCAAACGTTCATCAATGGGACCTTTTTGTGCGTAAAATGAAACAATATTATTCTGCCAATAATATCGATAAGGCTGATAAACAACGTGCTTTATTTTTAAATGCGTTAAGTGATAACGCGTTTTCTTGAATGTTGGATCTTTGCATGCCGGATAAACCGGAAGAAAAAGATTTCGATAGTTTAGTGGAGTTATTCAATAACCATTTTAATCCAAAACGTGCAATATTCGCGGAAAAGGAACAATTTTACGGGGCGCGTAAGGAAAAACATGAATTGTGTAGTGATTGGGCAGCGCGTGTTCGTAGATTAGCAACGTATTGTAACTTCGGTAATTCTTTAAACATGATTTTACGTGATAAATTTATTATCGGTTATAATGACGGGAAAATTAAAGACAAATTGTTTCTAAGCGAGGAAAGTGTTACGTTTCAAGAAGCGGAGAAACAGGCGAAGACGTACGAAACACTAGAAGCCACTAGATCACATCAAATAGCCAATGATCAAGCGGATTTTTTCTACCGACGTGTCAATAACCAAAACCCCGGAGCAGCATCAACTTCTCGAAAAAGTGAGACGGCCGTAAAACCAGAGCCTTTGGACGTACATCTGGTAGGGAAAGGTAAACGTTTCAACAACCAGCAAGGTAAGAAGTCTAAATTTAGTAATTGGGACAAAGACGTAAACACTAAGTGTAGAGTATGTGGGAAAAATTCACATGCATCTACAGCGTGTAATTACAAAAACTATCATTGCCACAAATGTGGTAGAAAAGGACACTTACAGAGTGTTTGCGCCAACAAAAACATTCAACCACGGAAAACCGCAAACTCTCATTTTGTGGACGTAGACGATGACCTGGACACATTGTACAGTTTAGACATTAACAATCAATTTTTGTTACCCATTCGCACTATTAAAGACACAGAGAGTGGCGAACCAATTTTAGTTGATGCGTGTTTAAATAATGTGTATTTGCAATTTGAACTGGATACGGGTTCCGCGGTATCTGCAATGAACGAGTTTTTATTTGATACACTTTTTCCAGACGAAATTTTGGAAAGAACGAAAATTAAATTAAAAGGTTACAGTGGTGAAATTATTACCTACTCCACTAGGTGTCGCGTCAATGACAATCACATGCTCAAACAATAGGCATCCAATAAATATTTTTGTAATTAAGTATGGTGGACCACCAATTTTGGGACGTGATTGGTTTTGTAAAAATCAGCAAAATTTTAAAGTAATTAATAATGTGAACCTGTTTGGCGGCGACGTGGAGAAACTAATTTATAAATACCCTCAAGTATTTAATAATAAATTAGGCACTTTTACGGAAGCAGTGGTCGATTTAAAACTTAAAATAGGGACTGAACCCAAATTTTTTAAACCCCGTCCACTTCCCTTCTCGTTAAAAGAAAAGGTGGAACGCGAAATTAATAGGCTAGTGTCTGAAAACGTCCTATCTCCAATAGTCATGAGCGAATGGGGAACACCTATCGTCCCGGTATTGAAGAGAGATGGATCTGTCCGAATATGTGGTGATTATAAAATCACACTAAATCCATATTTGAAAAATGTGAGCTACCCTCTACCCAGAATCGAGGACTTATTTTCCAAATTAGCGGGTGGTAAATATTTTACCAAAATTGATTTAAGTTCGGCTTATCAACAAATTTTATTAAGCGAACAGGCCAAATCGTTATCAACCATAAGTACACACTTGGGTTTATTTGCGTATAACCGAATGCCGTATGGAATTAAAACAGCTCCATCCATTTTTCAATTAATAATGGAGAAAGTTTTAATTGGGTTGGAAGGCGTTACGTGTTTCCTTGACGATATCTTAATCGCGGGAAGAAATAAGGAAGAACATCTTCTTAGAATAGATTTGGTGCTTAATAAATTAGAGAAGTATGGATTAACAGTGCGAAGAGAAAAATGCAATTTTTTTCAAAAATCTGTTAATTACTTAGGGTTTGTAATAGATGAAGAAGGGCTCAGACCTTCTACTGAAAAGGTAGATGCATTACTAAAAGCTATACCTCCTAGAAATAAATCGGAATTAAAGTCAGTATTAGGAATGTTTAATTATTATCGTGCTTTTATTCCAAATTTTGCCAGTATGTGTGAACCACTTTATAGGTTGTTAAAAGACGAAAGTTCTTGGATTTGGAATAAAACCTGCGATCAAGCATTTGAGACTTTGAAGAAAACGATATCTTCTAAACATGTATTAGCACACTACGACTCTGCAGTTCCTGTAAAGTTGACAGTGGACGCTTCTTCAACCGCAGTGGGTGCAATTTTGACACACCGATACGAAAATGGAAAAGAAAGGCCAATAGCTTTTGCGTCTAAAATTTTGACAACCACTCAGAGGGCTTATTCTCAAATAGATAAAGAAGCTTATAGCATAATTTTTGGTGTATCAAAATTTACGCAGTACCTGTATGGTCGTCATTTTGTATTAGTCACCGATCATAAACCTCTTTTGTCGATTTTTGGGCCAAAGAAAGGTATTCCGATAATGGCAGCAAACCGTTTACAACGATATGCTGTATTTTTGTCAGCGTTTGATTACACCATTGAATACGTTAAATCGGATAAAAATGTAGCAGATTGTTTATCTAGATTGATTGAAGACAATCAAACCGAGATGAAAAATTACTTGGACGACGACGACGAAAACTTTACCTACTTAAATTTAATAGAAAAACAAGATATTTTTCGGCTTGATAAGAAAGTTATTCAAGAGGAAACTAGGAACGACGAAATATTGCGAAAGGTATTCGAATTTGCGTCACAAGGTTGGCCAAGTGACTGCAAAGAAGAGGAACTGAAACCTTATTATATTAGGCGAGACCAAATTACAATAGAAGATAACCTATTGATGTGGGGACATCGGTTAATCATACCATCACGTTGCAGGAAAGAAGTTTTAAAAGAGATACATTCGACACACATGGGAATAGTTAAGAGTAAATCATTAACTAGATCATTTGTATGGTGGCCTTCGTGCGATAAAAACGTCGAAGAATTTTGCAAAAATTGTTTAGCTTGCTCTAAACACAGAAACAGTCCGCCGAAAGCTGAAGTGATTGAGTGGCCAAAAACTGAACAGCCGTGGGAAAGGGTGCATATTGATTTTTTTGGTCCACTGCATAATAAAATGTTCATGATTGTGGTAGATTCCCATTCGAAGTGGATAGAAGTTGTTTATATGAAGAACATTACTTCGGAAAATACAGTAGATAAGCTACGAGAAATATTTAGTCGGTGGGGATTGCCAAAGATCGTAGTAACTGATAACGGACGTTCATTCGTGTCGGAATGTTTCAAGCATTTTCTATATATGAATGGAATTCAGCATATTACACCACCACCATATCATCCTGCCACAAATGGGTTAGCAGAGGTTTCGGTACGTACTGTAAAAACTCATATATTAAGGGCCATGGAAGAAAGGAATTCCACAGATCTTTTTGCGGCATTAAACCGTTTCCTATTGCACTACAGGAACAGCATTCACAGTAGTACGGGTGTTACTCCAGCTGAACTCTTGATAGGAAGAAAGCTACGCATGCGATTGGACCTCATTTTACCGGAAGAGCAGCTGAAGCGGCAGCATTTACGTAAAGAGGAACGAGGGAGAGATCCGAAGAGACTAACAAGAAACAGTGCGGAAGTGAAACGTAATAATGTGAGTGCGAGAGGCAATTTTAAAAAAGGTGATCGTGTTTTTGTGCGCGATTATCGACGTGCTAAACCGAGTTGGGTACCTGCAGAAATTGTAGAACAAAACGGACCTCGAAACTATAAGACATTAACTAACGAAAACCTTATCTGGAGAAGACATTCGGATCAAATAATCAAAGGACCTTCTTACGATGATGACGATTTATTAGATTATTATTCACGTCCTTTGACTGTTGATTCAAATGCAACTATTGTTAAAAATGTTGATGATGTTGTAGTAGAGGAATCTGCAGTTGGAAAGGCTAGTTCTCCGGAACCAATTAGGGAAGCTGAAACAATTGCAGATGATTTTGTAGTAACTAACTCTAGAAGTATGTTGCGCCCAACCAGAAACAGAAAACCTCCTGACTGGTTCGCAATAAAATAACTTATGTTATGTGAGGGAGGAATGATATGTATTTGGGAAATTGTTATCTGATAGCAGACTTGCACCAGTCGCGTAATGCAAGTCAAAGAGCTCACGCGTTTCTTTAATGTAATAGTTTTGCAATAAATGTATTTCAGTATCCTTCCGTTATATGTGTATATATCCAGGATACCTAAATACAAAACAAGAGTATTTTGTTAACGTAAGGTGTACACAACTGAAAAGTGTAGGAAACATTTCAAATGCAGACCACGTTAAAACGCACTCACAGAAAAAAATTACAAAATCGGCTATACCAAATACTTGGTATAATAATTGTGAACAAAATTCATTCGTTTGTTGTCTAGCATAGTCACCGTCAACACGGCCATTGAATTATTATACGAGTACATTGTAAACATACGAAAATCTGTGGTACATCGAACTATAGTAAATCTAATCACGAACTTTAATACTAAAAGTGGAATATTTTAATAAATTAGTACCACATTTTTATATTTATATAGCGAATTATACAGGCTGTTTCACGTAAACCGTTACCTAAAAGTATTCAGACTTCTATTAATAATTTAAATCTGAAAATTTGGGATTAGTTTTGGTAACATTCTTATGCATTACCTACATTAAAAATCCCTAACTCAAATTATTTCATTTCCTGGTGGGCACCTTTTAAATAGGTAAGTGCAGCACTTGTAGAGTCAGATGTAGCAATCACGACAAACGACGAATAAGTAAGCAAAGAGGCGAAAAGCTTTAATAATTTAGTGTAGTTTACTTGAACCCACTAAAGATCTAGATAAAACAAAGACGGACCAAAATTTGATTGCGTGAGCTGCGCACAGACGGAATATTTCGCCTTTATCTCACCACAGCAGAAATGAAGTTATCAGCGTTAATGAAATAAAACATTTTGTAACTTTATCAGAGAGAGAATAACAAACTCGAAACAAGTTTAAACGCCCCCCACTTACATAAAAATCAATCAACCCTCCCAAACTGGAATTCATGTTGGCAACATCCCAAGATTCTCGATTTGGTTTTCACTTAAAATGTTTAACAGATCTCTTCCGATCACGTTTTTATCTGACGGGGACGTTTCCGTTTTCCAGTATTAATTGTCGCATTTCAACCGATCCTTAGTTTAACTGTACGCGACATATAAATTGCGAGGGCCATATTCATTTCCTAGCTTTATTAATGATCTAAATAATGCAGGAATGGAATAGACGCGCGAGGAATACATTTACAAAACTGATGTATATTTTTTGCAGTTGAGACGATGTCGATATTTATAAAAATTAAAACTTGCTGCATAAAGACCACAAGGATTCATCTAATTATCATTGAGTAAATTCTACAGATTACGTATAAGGTATATGCATCATAAAGAACTTTTCCGGTTTCCCAATAATAATGATAAAACGAGAAAGGAAAGAGGCATTTCCGATTTCGAAAATAACGAAATTGTCTAGTTTTTAAACTCAATTCAACTCAAGCGACTTAAAAACCTCGTCGTATTATCGTTTCGAAATTTCCAATTAAATTTTACATTTTATAACTGCATGCTCGTCGTGTACCTATTTATGCCAGTCACTCAACTTTTGCAAATAAAAAATTTGAGGAAGATTTTACAATTTATTGTCGATTACGATCGTATTTATTTTTCTTAATTCAGCTACAGTATTCAAATCTTCCACCAGAAGTCTAATTACAATCGAAATGGAGATCAGCTACTGTCTTAAATTAAATTTCTACAACTCCCTCCTTGAAGTTAAATTTAATATTTAAACCGATCTTGCCTCTGTTTTCTTGCCATAAATGGAATTTATTTCGTAACATCTAATCTGTTGAACGGCATACTTAACCTGAAAATTCGGAACGGACAAGTCTTTTCAGGTCCCTCATTTCCGTAACAGTCCCCATAAAAACTCTTCTTTAGCATAATTATTTGCGAACGCACATTGGAGAGCACATGAGTTTGAATAAATTACCACTTACCTCCAGCACGACCATAAAGCTCAATTGGATCACGTGGACATGCAAGGTATCATTAACATTTACATAATTTAGTTAGGTGCAGTTAAAATATCGATTATTTGCACATACCTTACCTTGGATGTAGATCGTGCATTAGTTATAGTAGTAGTACCTAGTAGTTCTATAAAAAGATCGTATACTTGGAAAATAAACCTACTTTGCTTCGACACTATTCTTAAGATGGCGACTCCTTGAAATCTTTCCAACAAATTGTTTTTTAAGAAATATATCGATTGGTGATGTCAAAACACGCTTAAAAAAATGCACTTTATGTGCAAGAGTTGTGCACAATTTATACTTGTTTTAAATGGTTCAACCATTGAGTAATTATAATATAATTATAATTATCCTTCACTCAACGGTTCAACGTCTTGTGAGCTATTAAATTGGTTGTAACGTTAGGTTAATTTTTCTTCAAACGGAATGCAATTTTTGTAAAAATGGAGAGTAAATGTTACGCAAAAAAGAGTAAACAAAGGGGTGGTATCAAAACATCAACTTCCATTTAAACTGTTGAAGCTTTGTTTGTCTTTGTAGAGCGCATCGTTAAATTAAATTTTTATCCAATTTAATTATTGTAAGCAAACATGCGTTTTAACAATTTTTATCTTCCGAAAATGTTTACGTAGCTTTGGTACACCAATTAACCGCTAGGAGTTTGATATCTAATTACTATTTTCTTTGATACGCTTATACCTTTGAGTTCCAATTAATATCGCTGTCGCTTGCTTTAGATCTTACGTGCCCTTACGGTACCTACCCTTAACACAGCTGATTATACTCCTTGCGTCGACTTCCCGCTTTGCGTAACACTGACGCTGTTTCTTAACCTTTAATTTAGACGCGTACTTTCCGCAGGGAATTTGAGAAGACTTCGATCAATTTCATATTTTTATTTCTTATTAAGTTCTAGGGCGGTTGCTAATAACTTTTTAAGTAATTAAAGAATGTTTTTGTTTCCTTTTCATCATCGTCCACTCTATCTCTTTTAATTTACGCAATTCTTCCGCATCGCATCCCATACTGTCGCAGTCAATTCCATTTTCTCGCTTATTTCAGAAAAAAAATTGCGGAAGCCCATGACGCCAGTTCGATCTTGGAAAACATCTGCGGTTAAGTTATGCTTTACATATACTTTCTTTATTGAATCGATTTCGGGTTAAAACGAAAATTGCCATTCGACCTCGATGGGCGCTTAACAAATTCAAAGCATGTAAAGCATTAGCAAAGTAAGGAGTGTAATAACAAGCGGTCGTAACTTTTACTTTCTTCCACATTTTAGGAGCTTAAGTGAATGTGTCATTGGGATTTCGGTCGTAAATAACGTTTTCCGAACAATTTTTACGTATAGGGAACGCATGATGCAAGCGGATTTTTTTACTACTAACGTACAGGGTGCTAATTTCGTCGATTAAAAATCTTCAGCGTTTTTGTAAATGTAAATTCTCATAGGTGCAGTCATTTTAGTAGACAGAAAACCCGATTCGGCTCGAAGGACCGCGGCTCCACTCTTTAGTTCTGCTGAAAAATGCTTCTGACAGAGACTAGATACTTCACGCCATTTTTCTCGACGTTGCGTTTTGCTAATGGGACTTTGAAACTATACATAGGCAATGGCACAGAATTCGCGTTTGTAAATGCACTTCTGAGATTCTGCGGAGAATCTTTGAAAAACCTTTCCATATCATGAAACATTTGCAAAAAATCTGCAACCTGGAGCCTATTTCATAAAGCTACTGTGCAACTTTTCACTTGTCATTTTGCAATTTTTAGATAATATTTTGGCCCATAAAGACTTTTGACGCGATATAACACTTCAAATATGTAAAGTAATATTTTATGAAACAGATAATCTTTGCATTTCGAAATTATGCAAATGCAAAGTGACAAGTGAAAAGTTGCCAAGTAGCTTTATGAAATAGGCCCCTGGTCTGCGATACACACAAATTTCTACGTCAAAACCGGATTGGAAAATGCAATCTCTTGGTCGTAGTCGAGCATCAAATCCCGTTGATCAAGCTTACGGACAAGCCAAGTTGCATTTTTAGGTTTTTTTTTGTGAACTCTAAAACCATAAGAGCACAAATAGCACAAAAGCAACACAACATTGAGGAACGAAAAGATTTCAAAATTAAACCTGACGAAACCTAAATTGGTAGTTTTTATTGTTTTCATCTGTCCGTTGGGTTTCCCTGATAATTCAGACATCGTTATGTCAACGTCATGTTGTTTACATCTGAATTGCATAATAAAATTAGCGTGGGCTACTACCTTTTTGATAGCTATTTTAAATAGCTATTCAAAATTAATGTGGTAACGAAGAACTAAGTTCGTCTTAGTTTACCTACATCAAAACTGATGCAAATAAATGTTTACTTAAAGCTCATAGAAAAAGCAAAATCAATAGAGCAGGTAGTAATAAAAACGATACTAATGGCCTTCGTGTCATTATTTAACTGTATCGTATCGTTAATATTTAATTTCACAAGTATTTATTAGTAACAACGGGAAACATTCGTATAATTTGGGTTAATAATATAATAACTTTTAGTAGAGCACGTTTCATTAATTTGTCATTCGAAGTACGACAATTACTAATTAAAATATAGTATCGTTCGAGCAAAAGAAACCTTTTTTTTTTCGGTTTGTATGCGACGAATAGAAGATTTTACGACCGTTTGGTTACCGCAGTCTATAGACTTTTCAGTTCAAATCAGGTCCCTTTACAACCGAAAATAAATAGAAATATAATGAGAAGCACACGATACGTCGTTTCCGTATAACGTGTTCTCGTGCTCCACTTCCGATTTTGCTACATCTGTATGATACAAGGCCCTACTTAGAGATGCACAGATATTTCGAGGGCTGGGATGGGATGTCACATAATTCGAGATATTTTACTGTCGTGTCGAAGAATTTTGCACGAAGACAGATCAAATTTTATTAACAGACGTAATAGAGTCAATGTATTTTCATATTAAAAATTCGAAAATACGTTTCTGGAATTCAGATAAAAACTAATTTTGCATTTTTCACATGTAACTTATGAT